GGAAATAAAGGTATTATAAGCATTGAGAACATCATCTGAAGAATTAAACATTGGAAAAGAATCTTCATCATAATAAGAACCCAAACATGTTGAAAACTTTCTCCAATTTATTCTTTTAAGACAATATTTATGAGAAATAAAATTAAAGAAGACAAAATAAATGCCAATTTTAATAGAAATAGGAAAATGATCACTACTCAATTTATCTTCTAAAACATCCCAGGTAGAAATAAGTTTTAAATTATTTGAGATTATCGAAAGATCAATAGCAGATATAGAACCAAAAGGATATGAAATTAAGGTAGGTTTACCATTATTAAGAATTGAGAGGTCATAATCAGGAAAAGCTGAGATAAAAGAATCACCTATATTACAAGATCTATCACATCCCCATAATAAATTATGACAATTAAAATCACCTCCTATAAAAAGAGTAGAAAATTGTGATAAAGAGATAAAAAATTCATCAAAAATAGAAAACCAATCTAAATTTGAATTTTGATAATTTGGAATTCGATATACATTTACAATAATAAATTCACCAAGATGAGTCTGTAAAGAAATGGCTTGAGTATCAAAAACATCATCAAGATTAAAAACAGAATTAATTATTTTGAAAGGAATATCATTTTTAATTGCAATAAGAAGACCACCACCAGAACGACCGATGCGATCCTTACGATAAATATTAAAAGAGGGAATAGAAAAGGAAACTTTAGGTTTAAGCCAAGTTTCACATAACAAAATTATGTCATAATTTTGAGATATACGCTCTAAAAATCCTTTTTTAGGAAAAATACTATGACAATTCCATTGAAAAATGTTCAAAAAAGAATTATTATTAGAATTCATAATAAAGAAAATTAATTAGTGGAAAAATTGAGAGGAGAATTGATAGATTGAGGATTTAAAAAAGAATTTGAAAGTTGAGAAAGAATATCTGTCAGAGGAGAAATTTGTTTAAGAAATTGTGTAAGTTGAGAAATTAAATGAGTTAAAGTTTGTAAATTATCAGGAAGAAAAGAGGGAGTAACATTTCTATTGAGAGATGAAATAGATGCTGATACAGGAATAGGAATTTGAGACAAGTTAGAACTATGAGTTGATTGTGAAGAATTCAAATTAGAAGGAATAAAAGAGGATACTTGATTAGTAAGAAATTGATTCTTATGATTTACAGAATTATTTTGAAGAATTTTAGATGACTTTGATTTATTAGATTTCAACAAAGTTGGATTAAGAACAGGAGATGAAATAGAAGAATTAGTGCCCATAGCTGAATCAAGGTCGACTTCACCTAATTCAGGAAAATTAGAATAATTAAAGCGAGGAACGGAAACTGACTTTATGTTAAAAAGAGGAGTATCTTTAGAATTTAAAAGAGATGAAAAGTCAAAGGAAAAATTTCCAGAAGTAGCACGTTTTTTCTCGGAATAATAAATTTTCTTAGCTAATCCAATAGAAATGTTTCTATAAGCAGCTAATTTCATTATATTATTTTGATCCTCTCGGCTTGGACATAATTTATCTGTACTAAGATGAGGTCCAGAACAATTTAAACAAACTGGTGGTTTTCCAGAATTAGGACAAGTAGAACCTTCCTCATGACGTGAATTGCCACACGATAAGCATCGAGGATTTTTACATATGCTTGAAACATGACCAAACCTAAAACAAGAATAACACATTTTAGGTTGTTGAATATAAGGATGAATAACTGACCTTGAACCATAAAGATAAAGAAAATTTGGTAATTCTTGACCTTCAAATTTAATTTGAACAGTTGAACCTGGGAACAATTCACCTTTGTCATTTTTAATTAAAAATCTACGCGCTTCAAGAATTTTAACGTTTAAATCATTTGTAGAATCTTTGATAATATCATCCATTTCAATATCTTTAGGAACAAATCGAACAATTCCTTCTCTTGAAATATTAAAATTTGAAATAAAAGCAGATAAATTGACAGATGAAAGAATTTCATTATTATCCACAATTTTGTTAGCACTTTCACGATCTATGCAAGTTACCATAACTCGTGAGAGACCTGTTTTTTCAATATTTTTAATAGAACATCTAAAATTTTTATGTAAAATTTTACCACATTTGAGAGGATGTAAAGCTGAATTATCTTTAGTTTCAACAATTACTTGAAAAGGACCTTTATTATTAGAAGTATATTTGTTTTTTAATAATTTATCAAAAGAGGGAAGAGATTTTTCTTTAGAATTATCTGATTTCTTTGCAAAATCATTATTATTATTATTATTATTATTTAAATGTGAAGATTTACGTTTATTAGACTTCGAAATAACTTGATTTTGAAAGCCAGAATTAGATAAAATTTGATTTTCTTTATTTAAATTTTCCAAAGATTGATCAATCATGATTGAATCGAGAGGGTCCTCATGAAAATCAGGATCATGATCAAAATGAGATGGATCATCGGTAGCTGACATAATAGTCAGCGGCCCTTAGGCCTCTAATAAATGAAAAGAAAAAACTTACCTTTATCAAAAATCAAAAACGAAATAATAAATATAAAATAAAGAAATAACCTCTTAGAAATAAGTAAAAGGATTAAAAAGGAAAACACCAATCAATTAAATTTCGAAATATTCAAAACGTTTGAAAACGTATAACACTCGTAAAAGATGCGCAGTAGGTCTACACTTGACGACAATCATAACGAGAATCCCAAAAACCGAAAGAATAAGTTAAGGCGCTTGTTCACCTTCCCGATCCCGAGTATGTTTCCGCCGTTAAGATTTTGACATGATTCTTAACCTAAAAATTTTTTTTTCGTATGCAACTTTTTTTTATTTTTGATATCGGAGTGATTTCCAAAGTATTTTCGTCCTCTGAACACGATTCTGGCACTCAAATTTGCTTAGCACGTCAGAATTTTGAGAAAAGAGGGTGTAAATACTCCAAAAAAGTGTTTTCAGCATATTCTTAACTTAATAAAATTTGTTTCACTCAAAATTCTTAAACGGCGTTTTTGTGTTCAAATATATGTATGAAAATGTTTCGATCACACCATAGACCCACACAGCACAACATCTTACACCAGGCCTACAGCAGGCTTACATGTAAGGTTTGTAAGGTAACATCGTAAGCCCATAGTAGACTTACAGTAAACCTAAAATGTCCGCCTTACAGTAAGCTTACATGGTAGGGTCGAGGTAAGCTTACATGGTAAGGTCGAGGTAAGCTTACACGGTAAGGTCGAGGTAAGCTTACATGGTAGGGTCGAGGTAAGCTTACATGGTAGGGTCGAGGTAAGCTTACATGGTAGGGTCGAGGTAAGCTTACACGGTAAGGTCGAGGTAAGCTTATGAGTAAAGGCTGTGGTAAGGTTATTATTAAGTTGTAAGGTTGAGGTAAGGTTGTGGTAAGCTTACAAGGTAAGGCAAGTTATATTCAAATAATAATATTAATAATAAATAAATATTCAATAAAAAATTTTTTCTTTTGCCTTATTCTATTTTGGGAACCTATCATTTCGCAGAAAGTTTTGAAAACAAATTTGGGAGGAGTAGGATTCGAACCCGGGACCGAAGTATATACCTAACAACCTAACCAACTGAGCTAAACGGGGAACTGACAATGAGAAAAGTAATCTTGCTTTTAAGGAGTTGATTATCTTCTTGGTTCCACTTTAAAAGTAAGATTACTTTTCTCATTGTCAGTTCCCCGTTTAGCTCAGTTGGTTAGGTTGTCAGGTATATACTTCGGTCCCGGGTTCGAATCCTACTCCTCCCAAATTTGTTTTCAAAACTTTCTGCGAAATGATAGGTTCCCAAAATAGAATAAGGCAAAAGAAAAAATTTTTTATTGAATATTTATTTATTATTAATATTATTATTTGAATATAACTTGCCTTACCTTGTAAGCTTACCACAACCTTACCTCAACCTTACAACTTAATAATAACCTTACCACAGCCTTTACTCATAAGCTTACCTCGACCTTACCGTGTAAGCTTACCTCGACCCTACCATGTAAGCTTACCTCGACCCTACCATGTAAGCTTACCTCGACCTTACCGTGTAAGCTTACCTCGACCTTACCGTGTAAGCTTACCTCGACCCTACCATGTAAGCTTACCTCGACCCTACCATGTAAGCTTACTGTAAGGCGGACATTTTAGGTTTACTGTAAGTCTACTATGGGCTTACGATGTTACCTTACAAACCTTACATGTAAGCCTGCTGTAGGCCTGGTGTAAGATGTTGTGCTGTGTGGGGATTGACCTGTTTAAAGCAAAAATGCAGTTGTACCTTTCAAAAATGTATAAATTTAAATGAAATCACGATATTTTTATTATCATCTTTAAATTATCGCCACAGGAATACAATTAGAGGCACATCATTGAAATAGGTCTTAAAAGTTTTGTTTTTTCATCACCTTTTAAGAAATGCATTGAATTTTTATTTTTATCCAACGCCGTAATAGATATTTTCATAAGAAGACGTTCAATTGATTTTTTTTAAAAAGTGCTATCACTCAATCAAACCTTCGTATTTTTAGTTTTAGTGGTGGCACACCAATTGGTTAGTGAAAATTTTTTGACAAAATATGTCTGTTAGATATTTCCATATAGTACCTATAGCTGAAGTGATATTTTACACGCCGCAAAAATAAAAACGTTAAGAATTTATAAACTTTTTCAAGAAATTCAAATGAAATTTAAGCATTTTTTCACTTTTTAACTTATAAAACTAATTGTCAAATAAATATTTTATTCTAATACTGTACATAAATGTTCCTTTGTATATTATAATTTAGCAAAAAAAAAAAAAAAAATGATACCCAAAGTTTTAATTAAAAATAATTCAGATTTTTAAGTGTTCGATTCGAGAATCACAAAAGTTAAAAGTTTCGTGGATTTGCCCATATATAGATATTTATTTAATTTATCTAATTTTAAGTAAAGAAATCGTATATTTAATATAAATATCAGGTGAATGATTTTATTTTTATAACTTTTATTTTAGACGAGCATCACGAAACACCAAAAGCTCTTCCCTTTGGAAATGCAACTCCACCGCCATCGAAGAGTTTAGATAATAATATCGAAAACGACGATAGCAAAAACGACATCAAAGAAAATGTAGTCGAGACCGACAGGTACGATTCGAAAGACTGTTCTGCTCAGGAATATGAAATTATGAAGGTAAGTTGCACTTGAGTGCTTTACAAATAAGTAAAATTTGCATATTTTTTTTTTTTTTTTTTTTTACAATAATCTAATTTAATAGTTGAAAGATCATTATTTTTCAAACGCAAGAATTTATTTATTCGCATCCATAATTCATCATTTATTTTTATAATAAAATAACTGTTTTTGTTCAATTATAAAATAATGCTGTACCTAACTAAATTTAAAAATATATATATATATATGTAAAATAATTCTGTGTTCATTCGAGAACACAGAAAAAAAAATTTAATAAAATACATAGTGGTAAATTGTATTGTGAAATATAATAAATATTATATATGTATATAATAAATGGAAGGTAAATAAAAACTCTTTTTCATCTTTATTAGGACAATTTGCTGTTGTATAATCACGCGAGGCTCATGGCTCAGGATAATCATAGCAAAGAGTATCTGGTGAGCATCATGTTCTCCCACTACGATCAAAATAACAACGGCAATTTGGAGCGGGAAGAACTTGAGCAGGTAAATTATTCTTCGATCTACTCTCTTGAAAAGCTCGCTCGCAATTATTATTATTATTATTATCATTTTATTAAACTAACAATTTTATATATTAATATTGTATTCCTTATTGTATATTTATTATTAATATTATTAGAATTTTTTGAGTAAATAATAATTGATTTGCATACAATATTATAGGTTTCGAATAAAAAATTTGCGAAAAAATGACTAAAAAATTGCTTAAAAAAATATGTTTTTTTTTTAAATTAAAAAATGCAAAATTGAAATTATTTGATTTAAAAAAAATTATTTTTTGACCAACATTTCAAAAGAATGGTAATTTTATAGATATATATTTAAAAATTCAAAAAAATGCAAAAAAAAAAACCCCTTTTTTGACTATTTAAATTGTCAAAACATGTTGAAACGGTAAAATAAGTTGTAAATAAAATTTTCTGTGTCGGTGTCGCTATTGAAAATTTATTAACTTTATATAATAAAATAATAGAAGATTTTCTTCATTTATTGTAGTAATTGAAATGTTTAAAACCTTCAAAGTTTAATAATATATTATAAATAATATAATTAATTAATAATTAAAATTATAAATAATTAGTTTTAAAAATTAGATATAGCAGAATTTTTTAGGTACCGAATTTGTATTTTGCAGAATTTTTATTTTACAAAAATTTCTCTTTACACAACTTTTTATTTAAAATAATTCCAATTTAAAACCGAATTTTAATTTAGCACAATTTTCATTCAACCGAATTTAAGGTGATTCGAATTTTTAAAATTGTCAAATTTTCCATTTTTCCAAATCTTTATTTGTCCAAAATTCCAAATGCCCAAACAAACAATCGACAGAAAGATTTTGGCGCGGTTTTTAAAATTTACCTATATCACGAATTTCTTGATAATTTCTGATTGATCAATTTTAAAAATCGCGCCAAAATCTTTTTGTTGATTTTTTTAATTGGTTAATTGCAATTTCGAACAAATTTAATAAAGATTCATCATTACAAAAATTCTATTAAATAACAATTCGAACAAATTAAAAATTCTGTCATTTAAAAATTCAAAGTACTTAAAATTCAGTTCAATGAGAACTATATGCTAAATTATAAAAATCGATTAAATTCAAATTCTTCTAAATAAAAAGTTAAATAAAGAGAAATTATATAAAATAAAAATTCTGACAAATACAAATTCGGTACCTAAAAAATTCAGTTAAGTAAAAATTAGTTTAAAAATAAATTCTATCAAATGCTAATTCGAAAAATAAAAATTTATTTAAAAAATAATTATATATCAAATTAAATTCTTGAACATTTTTAATTAATGGTGATTTTTATATGGGACAATCATGGGTTTTATATTTTTTTTTTTTTAAATCAAAAATTATATTTTTAAGTTTCTTTTTTAGAGAGTAAATTATTTTCTTAAGTTTCAAATGTAAACCTCGAAAAAAGTGAAATTCAACACTAGCCAATTTGACCAAAAGTATTTATTTTTCTTGTATATATTTTTAGTGTGGATTCCTTTTGAAATTCGATCAAAGTAACCAAAGAATACAAAAGTTTTACTTTCGAGTACTAAAAGACTTTTTTCATTAGGAGAGATAAATTAAATGGACTTTTTTAATTTTCTAGATTGCAGAACGTGAAGATTTAGAGCAACTGAGTAAAGGATGCTCTCTTGGTCACATGATCAGCTACGACGACGCAGATAAAGACGGACGATTAAATATTAATGAATTCTACATGGCTTTTAGCAAACTTTACAGTAAGTCTTTGATAAAACTTTCCGCTTACTTTTTCTACAATTTATTTATTTATTTTTTTATTTGTAATTCCGCACGGAAGTTACTTGTTAGTTTTTCTTTATATATATATATAGCGAAATTTCAATGGAGAAAAATTTTAAATTTTAACATTTCATTCCATTTAAGGTGGAAGGTAATGAAAAAAAATCGATTTTCAAGCTGTAAAGTGAAGTTCATCTTGTTTTTCACTTTTTTATGTTTATCCGAAATTCTTTCACCTACGAAACTCCTTGAGCTTTTTTCGCTTCGGCATCTGGAAATTTAAAGTTCGCATTTAAAATTCTTTTTTATCGCCTTGAAAACCTTCTTTTAGCCTCCACTGATGCCGAAAACAAGTGTCAAGCAAATTCTGAAGGAGAGAATCTTAAAACTCGGTCACTGCTCTTGGAAAACGAATTTATTAAATTTGTATATATTAAAAAAAGAAAATATCTTATTCAGTATTATAAAGAAATTACCTCGCGATTTTTTTTTTTTATCACTTCAATGAATTATTATTTTACTTTGCTTTGTAATAATAGAAAAATATTGTAGAAAATATTTACTGACGTAAAAGAAAATAAAAATCAAATTAAATATAAATATAAAATCAAATTTTAACAATATTTTTCGCCTATTTAATAATTTTCATTTTGAAGAGAAATCGCCGGGGCGCATGATTATCACATAAAAATTATTAATTAGAATTTTAAAAAATTATATTATATAAATAGTTTTCACCTGAATTTTTATTTTTTGAATTAGCAATAGACAGAATTTTTTTTTTTTTGTATACAAATTTTTTACTTAACATAATTTTAAGGTACCAAATTTTCATGTATTTGAAATTACAAAATGGCCAAATAAACAATCGGCAGAAAGATTTTGACGTATTTTTTAAAATTGACCAATCACGAGTTTCTTGATAATTTCTAATTGGTAAATTTTTAAAATTGCGCCGAAATTTTTCTTGTCGATTGTTTATTTGGTCATTTGTAATTTTGGACAAATAAAAATTAAACGTCTTAAAAATTCCATCAATATTAATATAATTCGTATACAAATAAAAATTTGGCGAATTTGAATTTTTATCATTTAAAAATTCGAATCACATAAAATTCGCTTAAATGAAAATTTGTTTATTATATAAAAAGTCATGTAAAGAAAATGACTGGTAAAATAAAAATTCTGCCAAACAAAAATTTGGTAGCTAAAAATTTTTTTAATTAAAAATTCGTATAAAAAGAAATTCTGTGAAAATGCTAATTCGTAATTATTTTTGTAATAAAATATTTTTTTAAATAAAAATTTTAATTAACGATATTTATGTAAAATTCATGCACCCCCTAAATTGCATTAAATGCCCGGAAAGTTTTTCTAAAAAAAATTTTTTATCTTTTAATTCACGATGTCAATGTGAAGAATGAAGTAAATGGTCTGAAAAGAGGGAAAATTCTTTTCTTTTCAGGTGTCTCGGTAGTTTCTTTAGACAAATCTCTGGAAGTGAATCATATATCGGCGAGAGTTGGAGATAACGTGGAGATAAAATGCGACGTCACTGGAACGCCCCCGCCCCCCTTAGTCTGGAGACGCAATGAAGCGGATCTGGAAGCCCTTTCAGTCCAAGAGGTAAAAGGAAAAACTTTCTTGTTAGTTTTAAAATTAAAAGAATCTTTAACTTTAAATTTCTTCTTGCAAAACTCCTCTCTCTCTCTCTTTATTCATATATATGTATATATACATAGTATTCTCCAACTTTTATATATTCCTCTAGAGTCACATTTAGATTTGGATTGCCCTCAAAATTGGCGAGTTTCCCTCATCTCTCGCCAAACGATTAACTTCTTTCTTATTCTTTTATTATTATTATTATTATAACATAAAGTACAACTTTGAGTTAAGATTTTGAAAATTTCCTCGTACTTTAATTATTATAAGAGTGTAATTTTTTTTTAAATGAAAAATTATTACATACTTTTTTTGAATTAGTGAGAATTTGTTCACTAATTCAAATTATAGTAGAAATTTTCACTAATTTTTAATTAAAAAAACTTCAAAAAAAAAAAAAAATTTTGTCAAATGCTAATTCAAAAAATGAAAATTCGTCTAAAAAATAATTATATTTATTAAAGACCGAATTCATTTCAAATCAGACAGGCTTGACTTGGTCGGAGCTGAAAATAATTTTCACCTTCAAAATGTTGTTCTTCAATGAATTTTAGACGACACGTATTTTTTTATTTTGTTGAAAAAAATTTTTTCTTTAAGTTATAAGGAGTTCAAATATATAAGTCGAGAACTTCGTTTTTTTTTAAATGAAGAGAAAAAATCTTAAAAGTGATGTAACTTTTTGAGTAATTAAGATAATTCACTTTTTCCTTTTGTGTCTGAAAGGACTTTTATTCTTCTTTCGAAATCCATTGGAAAATTTAAAAAATATTTAAAAATAACAAAATGGCGGCCATTTTACTAAAAAACTTTCATTTGAAATTACTCAAAAACCCCTCCTTTTTTTTTGCTCAAAAGTTTTTTGGGAATTGTGTTCATAGGGAGGAATATTGCCCACAAGAATTTAACTTGTGCCCGATTCTGGCACAAGAGAAAAAATTTTTTTATATTTTTTAAAAGAAAAACATCATTTTCCTCAAAAAATACACAAGATATAAAAAAATGTCTCAGATAAAAGTTGTTCCTCGTTAAAAGACCTAAAAAAATGTCTGTTGTCATTTTTGTCCATCTTGTGTTTGTTCAACAATATTTGCAAAACATGGATTAAACGCTCACATTTATTGCTTTTTAAATATCATTTAAAATAGTTTATAATAATCTTTAATAATCTTTACTGTCACAGTGGTTAAAATTGTTAATTTTTTGTGTTCAGTAAAATAATAGCGAGTATTAATATTAAGAAATTAAAGAATCAGTTATTATTTTTTAAAAAGCAAAATAAGGTATGTTTATTTAATTTTTGTATTGTAATGTCACTATTATTATTTTTAAATATGAAAAGGTCTTTTAGGTCTTTTAACGAGGAACAACTTTTATCTGAGACATTTTTTTATATCTAGTGTATTTTTTGAGAAAAATGATGTTTTTCTTTTAAAAAATATAAAAAAAAAAAATTTCTCTTGTGCCAGAAACGGGCACAAGTTAAATTCTTGTGGGCAATATTCCTCCCTATGAACACAATTACCAAAAAAAATTTGAGCAAAAAAAAAGGTGGGGTTTTTGAGTAATTTCAAATGAAAGTTTTTTAGTAAAATGGCCGCCATTTTGTTATTTTTAAATATTTTTTAAATTTTCCAATGGATTTCGAAAGAAGAATAAAAGTCCTTTCAGATACAAAAGGAAAAATTGAATTATCTTAATTACTTAAAAAGTTACATCACTTTTAAGATTTTTTCTCTTCATTTTAAACAAAACGAAGTTCTCTACTTATATATTTGAACTCCTTATAACTTAAAGAAAACGTTTTTTTCAGCAAAATAAAAAAATACGTGTCGTCTAAAATTCATTGAAGAACAACATTTTGAAGGTGAAAATTATTTTCAGCTCCAACCAAGTCAAGCCTGTCTGATTTGAAATGAATTCGGTCTAAAATTCTTTAAAATGAAAATTTCAACTATTTTTTATGGGAAATTTATGAAACCTGTTGTTATTGTTGACATATAATATAAATATGTGACGCTTTACGCAATGAAAGGGACCTTAGCTGCAAACAATTTTAGGTTATGTTTGTGACTTTTGGAGGGAAAATTATCTCTAAACATAACCTAATTTTTTTTTGCAGTTAAGGTCCCCTTTGGCCGTAGAGCATATCACATATTTGATATATTTTTAATATGCGAATGATTATAATAGTTGAAATAATAATATATATAGAAAAATATTTTTTGAGGTTATGTGATTATTGATTTAAGGTTTTTGGAATTATCGATTACTTATAATCATCATCTATTATTTTATTATATGAATCAATATAATTATAATCATTCGATACTATTTTTGTTTTAAGGTTCGCGTTTTTAACGACGGAAGCTTGTACCTGACAAGGGTACAGTTAATTGATGCCGGCAATTATACATGTCACGCTCTCAGAAATAAAGATGTTGTTCAAACTCATGTTCTTACAGTTCACAGTAAGTAAAAATTATTTATTTATTTTATTATAATAACATAATAATTTACAAGAACAATCTTTTACAAAATTGGGTAGAACCGAACATAACCTATAAAATTAAAAATGTCCAGTTGGTCGAATTTTCAAATAATTGCGCCATTTGAATGATTATAAATTTGGAGGTTATGTTTGCTGATAACTTAAGGCCTGAGCAGAATAGAAACGTAAGCGTAATCGCAATCGTAAACGGAAGAATGGGTTTTAGAGAAGGATAGACATATATTTTTGTTCTTCTCTATAACTAATTCTTCCGTTTGCGATTGCGATTACGGTTATGTTTCTATTGTGCTTAGGCCTTTACAGTTTAAAGGCCTGAGCAGAATAGAAACGTAACTGGAATCGTAAATGCAAACCATGAAGTAGGATAAGGAGAGGTAACGGCGTATATTCATTGGCCCTCAGATAGACGGACCACAGTAGTAGGCTTTCTTTTTTCCTAATGTCGCGAGCGCTCCTTTGGGGAAAGCGAAGAATTAAAATTTATCGTCTGCAACATGGCTGCAAGTCAGCTGTTTACAGAAAATGTAAATACTTTAATATTAAAGGGTAATTTAATTTTATATTTTGCAGCAGTAATTTTTCCATTCGTAGAAGCAAATCACGTTAAAGAAAAACAGCAATGGACCAAATCAAAGGAATATGTACATTTGAAGAGTACAAAAGCTGCTTACAGGAGATAAAAATGCCTTCAGACAAGTGGTGCTTTGTAAAAGGTTCTGAACGTTACTTTGGTTTTCTAAAAGTAGAAAATTTAAATGTAACAAAGAAATTAATAATATTAAGTGATTTAAGTGTCAAAATTGTTATTGGTGATAGAGTTAGTTTGTTATCGAAATTTATAAAAATTTCAAGTGTTGATGAACTGATAAGTCTTTTAGAAAGTGTGGACGAAATGTAATTAATTATTCAATTTTGAATAAGTTATTGTAATTTAATTAATTTAATTAATTATAGATTATATATATATATATATATATATATTTATTTATTTTAATTTTTTATTCAATTGTGTATATTAATAAAATATTCTTGATTAAATTAGAAATTGTCATTATTGATTCAAATCTTCGAATAGCCTCTGACCATGTTGCTAACATTTTCTATCGAAATAAGAAATATAATTAACATTATTTATTATTTACATAATAATATCATGAGTAATAAAAAAATAATAAACAATTTCATTCTACTTACCATGGAAGGTTTAAAAAAACTTCGAACACAACCATCTCTTTTTATTTGGGTTTTCGAACCCGAATCGCAATGCTTTATAAAACAACTCTTCATTTTTCAAAACACTAACACATTACTGAAATACTTCATGTGTAAAACAAACGACTGAATTTTAACAACAAAAACACCATGTGAAACATTCAGGTTATGTTTCTCTTTTCGCGGTAGGTCACGTGATAAAATATAATTCAAATATTTCCCACCGCAAGCGCTGTCAACAGTAGGAAAATAGAAAGTCGTACTACTGTGGTCCCCCCTATATGGTGTCAAGTTTTCTAGCGATTGGCTACAGGCGTTACCTCTCCTTATCCTACTTCATGATGCAAACGCAACCGGAAGAACGAGTTAGAGAAGGATAGACATATTGTTTGTCCTTCTCTAACTCATTATTCCGATTGCGAAACACTCACCGTGTTTTTACAATAGATAAATAAATTTATAATTTAGAAGAAATGATTTGGTTTTTCTATAAAAAATTGAAATTGAAAAATATAATAAAATTGTATCAAAATTTATAAGTGAATTTATATTGACTTGAAAATTGTGAATAGCCATTCCAGAAGTGCGAGTAACGCCAAGACTCCAGTCAAAGAGGCCGGGCGAAGAGGCGACAATGAGGTGTCACGTGGTTGGAGAACCACTTCCTCGAGTCGAGTGGCTGAAGAACGACGAGCCTCTTCACGATGAACCAGATAAGTTTGAGGTAATTGGAAATGGCACGAAATTGCTCATCAAGAACATTGGTTATGCCGACACTGGCGCCTATATGTGTCAAGCGACGAGCATCGGTGGTCTCACCAGGGACATTAGCAGTCTCGTCGTTCAGGAACAACCGACACCCTGTAAGTTTCTATCGCAAATATATTTATTACAATGACATTTCATGTTTCTAAAAAAAACTTGAAAGACATGGAAAAGACATAATTTTAAAATTTTTATTGAAAACCTAAAAAGACAATCAAAAAAATTGTATAAAAATATACAAACATACATACCATGCAAAAATTAAAAAATGCTACTACAACTACATTCAATTTTGGTTACAAAGAATAAACCTGAACTTCAGAATGAGTTCAATTAAACATAAATACATATTCCACTAAATATAATTTTTGTTAAATAAAAATTCGTTTGTTCATGAATTCGGTAAAATAAAAATTCTGGTAATTTGAATTAAAAATACTGTTTTTACGCATTACGATACAATTCACAAAATTAAATAGCAGAATTTTTAGGTTATGAACCTTCTAAATTGACTAATATACAAGTGTGCCAACCATTTAACATAAAACTTTAAATATTGGCGGCAAATTTAAAAACTTGATAATAAAATTACTATGTATTTAATAAAAAATTATATTAATTTAAGAAAATTTTTTTTAATAAAAAGTACGAAATTTTTAAATGTTTCTGGATATTATAGAAAAGGACTAGAAATTTGAAAATTTCTAAATTCAAGTTTTATCTTTTAATAAAAAAAAAAAAAGAATTCATTTTTACACAATAAGATATTGGTTACACTGTCATTCCTTTTTTTATTATTTTTTTTCTATGAATATATAGAAAATCATTAAAAGTCAATTTTTTCGTGCCGTGTGGGCTTTCTGATAGTTTGACGTAAAACGGCTTGCTGAAAGAGAACGTGCAGTGAATATTAATGCCTCGTAATGGAAAACGAGCTGGATTTGGTTGGTAGGCCCTTGAGCCATGTAATCGCGGATATTTGCATTCGAGATTCGAGTTCTACCCATCGCCTGACATTATTCGAATTTCTATTGGACGTCGTACGTTTCCTGCACTTTGAGCTTCAAGCCAGAGGATGACAGCTTGTGGCCACTGTGCACTGAGCTTATACATTCCTCTAATGGAACTTTCCTTCATTTAGACTGAAATCGTTCGACAACAAACTATTCCAAAGCGTCCGAGAATTTCTACTGATATATTACAATATCAAATTTCATCCCTTTTGAATATCTTCTCAAATGAATGTAACTATTTATATGATGTATTCTACGCCAAATTAGACACCAATTTACATTTTACAATTCATATTTTTTTTTCGAAACTTTTTTTTCTTTTATTACTAATTAAACTAATTTTTTTTAACAAATTGTTTACAAGATATGGATTTTTCAAAATTACAGAATTTTAATGATTTTTTATTTATTTATTTACATGTATTGTTAATGTTATTTGATATAGAATTTTTAAAGCGCCGAATTTTTATTGTTCGGAGATTTTTAATTGTGGACAAATAAAAATCAGGTGTTTTAAAAATTATATCTAATAACGATTCGGATAAATTAAAAATTTGGACAAATGAAAATTCGGTGAATTGGAAATTTTGTTATTTAAAAATTTGAATTATTAAAAATTCTGCTAAATTAAAATTCGGATACTCACTTTGAGTTCAGATTTTTTTCTGTGTTCCGAATAGAATTACCATTGAAGTGAATTTTTATTTTATTTTTATTTAACAAAATTCCCTGGCGGATTCGATTTGCGTAATGTCTACTTAACTAAGCGGACTTTAGGTAGACATTAGGTAGACATGTAAAAAAACGTATAAAAAAGCTATTAATCGACTTATTATGATAAAAAAAAAGTTGATAAAAGGGTAAATGAATGTTTATAGAGTAAATTCGTACAAAATTTGTAATTAATAAAGCAATAAATAATTAATAATGAATGGAAATGTGCGCGAGGTACCTGATCAGTTCAGCTGTACAATTATTTTCGTGCTATTTTCATGAAAAGAATATAAATTAACTGCAAAAACAATTGATATTTATAAAAAAGTGTAAAATTGATTTAATTTTATTGTTTGCAATACGAATTATTAAATAATAATTAAGTTTTTATCAAATGTGAATAGTGTTGTGAAAACCTGTGAAAACTAATGAGTTACTACATTACCGATCGCATATGATAATAAAAAGTTCTCGATGAGTGTAACAAAAAAGCTGCAATCATGTCCGTAATTTTGGACGAGAAACAATTATGAAATCAATAATTATTTGTATAACTTTATTCTGCATTTTAAAATTCACTTTTTATTTTCTTTCAAAGCAAAAGCTTGGAAGAAAACATGCTCGCACTGTATTGTAAAAACTGGTGGCGCCATCTCTCATATGCGATCGGTAATGTAGTAACTCATTAGTTTTCACAGGTTTTCACAACACTATTCACATTTGATAAAAACTTAATTATTATTTAATAATTCGTATTGCAAACAATAAAATTAAATCAATTTTACACTTTTTTATAAATATCAATTGTTTTTGCAGTTAATTTATATTCTTTTCATGAAAATAGCACGAAAATAATTGTACAGCTGAACTGATCAGGTACCTCGCGCACATTTCCATTCATTATTAATTATTTATTGCTTTATTAATTACAAATTTTGTACGAATTTACTCTATAAACATTCATTTACCCTTTTATCAACTTTTTTTTATCATAATAAGTCGATTAATAGCTTTTTTATACGTTTTTTTACATGTCTACCTAATGTCTACCTAAAGTCCGCTTAGTTAAGTAGACATTACGCAAATCGAATCCGCCAGGGAACATACTAAACATAATTCGATTTGAGTGTCAATGGATATACTAAGATTTTTGGGGTCGCTGAATCCGAATTTGAGGTCAGATTTAAAAAATTCAAAATGGCGGACCTAAAATGGCGACTTATTATGGCAGAAAATTTAAAAATTGATTCGATTCGTTGAAAATTCGGTACTCGGGGGTTTTCAGGGGGTCGCTGAATCCAAATTTGAGATCAGATTTAAAAAAATTAAAAATGGCGGATCCAATATGGCGTAATAATTTGGTTTTCGGGAGTTCTCGGGATCGCTGAATCCAAATTTGACCTCAAATTTGGATTCAGTGACCCAAAAAAACCCCCGAGTACCAAATTTTGAACGAATCGAATCAATTTTAAATTATTACGCCATATTGGATCCGCCATTTTGAATTTTTTAAATCTGATCTCAAATTTGGATTCAGCGACCCCGAAAACTTTTAATACGATATATTTTTTTGGAAATTTTTTTTTTGACCGTTTTGAGCCCACAAACGATTTTTCTACTAGACTGCGAAGGGGTTAAATGCGTAAACATTTTTTAAAATTATTTTTTCATTTCTCAGCAATTCTACTAAGCTAAATTTTTAAGTGAGGGAATTTTTATTTCACCAATACTCCATTTGACCGAACATTCATTTGTCCAAATTGTCATTTTTGATATAGAATTTTTACATTTCCGATCATACAACTAGGCAGTGTTAGTTCATCGAGATATTTCGAGTTCAAGATATTATGACGTCAGAGGCCTGGAGGGACAACAAAAAGACGACACAATGTTATTCTTACGGGGAAGAAAATTTGTTTCCACTTTCATCAATTTTATTCATACTTTAAACATGGAAAACGCTTGTTATGACATATAATAAAATTAAAATGTGTGTTGATAATTAATTTTGTTTTATATTTGATTCAATTGCATTGATAGATTCTCTAAATTCGTGATAAAATATAAATTTTGAGGTTAGGGGTGTTTGTTTACTAATCACATTTTACATTTTAACAACATTATTAAACAATATCCAGTATGCATGTTATTAAAAAAGATATAAAATATATTTTTTAAGTAAACAAACACCCCTAACCTCAAAATTTATATTTTATTACCTATCAATGCAATTGAATCAAATATATAACAAAATTAATTATCAACATACATTTTAATTTTATTAGATGTCAACAAGCGTTTTCCATGTTTAAAGTATGAATAAAATTGATGAAAGTGACAGAATTGCGCTTATCTTCATGCTCGAGGCAGAGAAGGGATACCTGGGTCCTTAAGGACTATAACTCCCGATGTTATATAAGCATATCCATTCTCTAGCGGAAGCACTGCCGGCATGTTGAAACGGCGGCGATTTGGCAAGCCGCCTCGCTACCGATGCACCATGGGGAAAGAGGAGGGAAAAATTGCCGTTGTAAGGTCCTTAGGGACCAAAACGGCGAAGAAATGATGAAAGTGACAGAGCTGAAACATTTCAGCGGGAGCTTTAAAATTAATCAAACACAAGTTTCCTGATAATATTTGATTGGTGAATTTTAAAACTCCCGCTGAAATGTTTCGGTCGGGTGTATGATCGGAAATGTGAAAGTTCTATCAAATGACAATTTGGACAAGTAAAGTTTCGGTCACATGGAGTTTCGGTGAAATAGAAATGCTTTCACTATTAAAAATTCAGTTAGAATTTCTGTTAAATGACAACCCTGGCGGATTCGATTTGCGTAATGTCTACTTAACTAAGCGGACTTTAGGTAGACATTAGGTAGACATGTAAAAAAACGTATAAAAAAGCTATTAATCGACTTATTATGATAAAAAAAAGTTGATAAAAGGGTAAATGAATGTTTATAGAGTAAATTCGTACAAAATTTGTAATTAATAAAGCAATAAATAATTAATAATGAATGGAAATGTGCGCGAGGTACCTGATCAGTTCAGCTGTACAATTATTTTCGTGCTATTTTCATGAAAAGAATATAAATTAACTGCAAAAACAATTGATATTTATAAAAAAGTGTAAAATTGATTTAATTTTATTGTTTGCAATACGAATTATTAAATAATAATTAAGTTTTTATCAAATGTGAATAGTGTTGTGAAAACCTGTGAAAACTAATGAGTTACTACATTACCGATCGCATATGAGAGATGGCGCCACCAGTTTTTACAATACAGTGCGAGCATGTTTTCTTCCAAGCTTTTGCTTTGAAAGAAAATAAAAAGTGAATTTTAAAATGCAGAATAAAGTTATACAAATAATTATTGATTTCATAATTGTTTCTCGTCCAAAATTACGGACATGATTGCAGCTTTTTTGTTACACTCATCGAGAACTTTTTATTATCATATGCGATCGGTAATGTAGTAACTCATTAGTTTTCACAGGTTTTCACAACACTATTCACATTTGATAAAAACTTAATTATTATTTAATAATTCGTATTGCAAACAATAAAATTAAATCAATTTTACACTTTTTTATAAATATCAATTGTTTTTGCAGTTAATTTATATTCTTTTCATGAAAATAGCACGAAAATAATTGTACAGCTGAACTGATCAGGTACCTCGCGCACATTTCCATTCATTATTAATTATTTATTGCTTTATTAATTACAAATTTTGTACGAATTTACTCTATAAACATTCATTTACCCTTTTATCAACTTTTTTTTTATCATAATAAGTCGATTAATAGCTTTTTTATACGTTTTTTTACATGTCTACCTAATGTCTACCTAAAGTCCGCTTAGTTAAGTAGACATTACGCAAATCGAATCCGCCAGGGTTTTTTCTAATGTGGACATATATGTCCAAAATCACAATGGGGGTACGACTTTTTTTGAACATATATGGGCCATCGACTGTCAAGGGGTTAAAGAAAATGTTATGCTATTCAAAAAATTTATAAAAAAGTAAAACAAAAGGCATTTTTTTTTATTTTATTTAAAAAATTATTTTTGTAAAATATAAAATTACACAGGCATTTTTTACATTAAATTTTTATATTGGAATGAAGGTTAGGTTACACTTTTAAAAAAAAATTTAAAAACGTACAATTTTTCTAGGGGAAAATAATTTCAATTTTCAACATTCACTTTTGACAAAAATAAAGAAAGAGATATGATTGGTAATTTTTTTTCAAGTTTATGACCTGATTTTCAAAAATAAACCGAAAGTGTATTATTATTGTTATCCTCGTGAATGAAATCAATTCGAGGGGCTAAAGCAAAAAAAAAAAAAAAAAAAAAAGAATATGAGAAAGAAAAATGGGAAAATTATTTTTGCGGGATAAAAGTGACGGAAATTCAAGTTTGGACGAGTCAATAACTTTGGTCATATATAACGCGCGGCGCGTTCCGGGGTATCGAAAACCAAGTTAGATTTCGTGTTACTCGTCATCGCGTTGCTAACACCAGTTTTCACTCGTTTTTACCTCGTTCCAGTTCCCATGCTTCCATTATCTCCCGGCCGTGCCACGAGATGTGTTTCTAACGATCTCCCAAACGTTATGAATTTACGACCAATATAATACTTTAGGGGTATCAAAAAAAGAAAAAAAAAAAAACTTTTTTCCAATAATATAATCAACTTACTGACATTATAGAAAGTTACATAATTTAAAAAAAAAATTACATTTTTTTAATTTTACAATATTATTTTTTTTTCAAAAGATCCGAATGAATGAGTAACAATTTGCAGAAAAATTAAATTAAAGAGAAAATTTTTTTTTATTAAAATCTATGATGTCTTTTCTTTAAAAAAAAAAGCTCATGACTCATAGAATTATTTTATTTTATTTCACTTTAAACGATGAATAGTTTATCTTCGTAAAAATTTGACTTTTAGATTATATCTCTTGGGAATATAAGAAGATTTGCTTGCGCGGAAGATGTTCAGAAAAAAAAAATGTAACTTTAAAAGAAAAGAATCTGTTTTGAAAGAAAATAAAAATTCGCAAATGATTGAGAAAAATTGAAATTCATATATATATATACTATATATATTTCCGAGAATATGTCTTTTTTTTAATATCTTTTGAAAACAAAATTTATATAAGAATTCTTTAATTTGAAATTTAATAAAGTTTTAAGGATATGTAATTTTTCTTTGCAGCTGCGACGAACGAGGAGAGAAGATTTTTCTCATTTCACGAACAAGGAATTTCCATCTACGAACCTTCAGCCTGTCGACTTTATCATCAAATTCGATCGACTGATATTATACCAGGAACTCAGGTGCCTAATATTTTCGAAATTTAGTCCTTTAAAAAAAAAAAAAAAAAAAATTGAAAATTTTATAATATATTATTGTAAGTAAATAGTTTTTACAATTTTTTTAGAATGTGAAAATTCGATATAAAAAATATGAGCCAAAAGTTTTGAACATTCAAATGAAGAAAATATTTTTTTCAATCTATAAATTATTAGAAATTATAATATCAATGTAAAATAAAACAGTAAATTAAATATAAATATTAAATTAATAACTTCTTTTTAGATATTTAAAAAAATATTTTGTAATGAAATTCGTACTTAAAGAAATTACAAAAAAAAAAATTTTGTTCATTTGAAAGTTCAAAACTTTTGGCCCATTAAAATATATTGAAATTTTTTTCAGGAATATTTATGTGGAGGAAAAGATGTACCTTGCACCTGGGGACGTGCTATTAATGTTGCAAATCGTTACGTTTATGTTTCTCAACCGGACAAGGATCGAATTCTTGTTATTAGTAAAATTCAAATGGTCGTTGTTGACGTAAGTACTTTAAACAATTTTTAAATAAATTTTCATTTTCCATTTTATTTAACACCAAAAGAAAAATGTTTAAAAATTATTTTATTTCATTTATTAGAGAATGATTTTATTAATTTAAAAAATTATTTATTATTTGATGTTTGCAATTAATCGTATAATTGTAATTTAAAATTATAACTAGAAATTTAAAAAATAAATTAAAAACAATTATAATTATCGTGATTATTATATTCTACTTCAGTATAATTACAATTATTTATTTACGTTATATATGATAAATAAGAACAGAAATAGAAATTTTAACAAATAAATAAAAATGTACAAAGAAGTAAAAAATCAAATAAATTTAATATAATAAAAAGTAAAATAAAAACTTGAAGGAAAAATCTAATTAATTGTCTGAAAATTTAAAAAGAGGAATTGATAAATAAATAAACTGAAAGTCTTCGTTTATAGTTGCTGCTCTCGAAACCTCGGAATTTTTTATAACTCTGTTTGTGAGGGACTTTCAATAGATTTATAAAGTCGAGTTCACCAGAAGACGATTTTCTACATCATTTACTTGCAATAATAAAAAAAAAAGCCAAGTTCAACGATACATTTAAAAGGGAACAAGAGAATAGAGTATTAAAACAAAAAAAAAAAAAAAAAAAGAAAAGAAACTCGAGACAGAAAAGAAAAAAAATAACTATATACATACTGCCAGGGAAAGATAAAGATTCATAACGAATCTTTTCCTCGTTTTTCTCTTCATGAAATAATATTCAAATTTCCTGAATTTAAAATTCATTTCCATTTTGAATCCTTTTTATTAATGTAATTTCATCATTTCATTCTTTTTTTTCACTTTTTCTTCTCCTTCACTTTCTTTCATATCTAATTTTTCATATCACGTTAATTGGATTTTTTTAATTACATATAATATAAAGAACATTTTTCGTGATTCTTCTGTAAAAAAAAATGGTTATTAAAATGTGTATAATTGTCGCGCTTGTGAATGATATAAAATTCAGAGAGTGATTTGAATTTCATTTTAAATTGACTTAACGTCAGTTGTCTGATTAAAGCTTTAGTTATTCTACTGGGAAAATAGCATCGGTTTAAGTAGATTTCACATCTTCTGATCAGACATTCAGCATATTGTTATTTCATTCTTTTTATCCAATTTTAATAAGTATAGAATGTTGTATAATAATTATAATCCTTTAAAAAAAAAATTTACTACATTCGATATTAAATTTTTCTCAAAAAAAAAATATAATTAAATTTTTTTCATATCTAATATACATATATACATAGGGAATTCCAAATGAAATTTGCATTCAAACTTTTGTCTCATACAAAAAGATAAAAAATAATATTATATATGAAATTGATTTTTGAAATTTTTTTTAGCACAATCTCTAATAATTAAGAAACTTTTTCTGTTTATGCGAAAATTGTTTTTTTGCCATTAAAATAATTATTATTTACAATTTTAAAGCTAAATGCAGAGATTTACATGATGTATTTCTGAAACTAATACAAAAACAAATTAATGATAATGGGAAAAGATGATATTTATAAAATAAATATTTAAAAAATTAATGGGTAATATTAAAAAAAAAAAAATTGTAAATATACTTTTAACGCCAAAAAACACCGAAAAAAAATTCCTTACCTTATTTATTAGAAATTGAATTTAAAAAAAAAAATCGATCACTTTTGAGAAAAGTCACTATTTACAGTTAATTGAAATTTTTTACTTGCTTTCATTGCAGTTAAGTATATAATATTATTTTTTATCTTTTAGTATGACATAGAATAACACGTTTCAAAAGTAATCTGCTTATGACGACGTTGAATTAAAAAAAAAAATCATAACTTACATCATTTTTATTACATAAAAAAATAAAAAAAAATTTGTAATGCCTCATATATAATACACAGAATTTTACGGAAATTTATAAATTTATAATCGTATGCATAAAAAGTGTTGAATTTAAATGTATATTAACAAATTAAGGAAGAAATGAAAATATTTAATAATATAATTATAATAATTATATTATATTAATATTATTATTATATTGTTATTAATAATTATTATAATTTTCTTAATGAAAAACATTAATTATTTTTAAAAAATATATAATTAAATTATAAAAAATATTTAAATTTTTGACAAAATTTCTCTGAAATACCACTGGAGTTATTCTAAAATTATATAATAATAAAATGCTTGGTCTGTCCTTCTGTCCTAACTTGAAGTTGGCCTTTTCTGATTTCACGTGTTTTTCTGAATAGTAATCTTATGACGTGTCAAATTTTGACAATTCTTTTTCTCATTTTTACCAAAGTTGTATAATTGTGTTTCCAAATTTCGAAATAAGTTTCTTTAAAATTCCAAATTCGAAAATTCAATTCACGCAGCTGAAGTACACAACGTTTATCAACGAAATTTTTTTTAAAGTTGTATATTGATTCAAAAATTGTATACAAATACAAAAAATTTATGATGAGAAAAAAGATGCGCCAGGAAATTTCGTACAAGATAGTAATTTGAAAAAAATTTATTTTTAAAAATTAATTTTTAAGGTACAAGGGGCCAACGAATACCTATTAAATATTAATTAGAATAACACAGGCCTCGAATCAACTTAAAGACACAAAAAGTCCGTTTAGTCGATTTATATTCCAAAAAAAGTGGATTTGTTTTTTATTTTAACAAAAATATTTTACAGATTTTAAAATAAAACTTTTTTTTTGAATAATAATCCTTTTCGAAGGGTTAAAGTTGAAATTTTTAGAAATAATTAAATTTCAAAAGATATTGTTAATTTTCAAACAATTATTAAATTTTACAGAACTAAAAATAATTTATCAAACAATTTTTGGAAAACATTTTTTAAATTTAATTGAATTTTCAAAGATTTAAAATTGAGATTTTTGAAATTAATATTGAAACTTTAAGTGATTTTTAATTAAAATTTTAGATGATTTCACTAAAAATTTATTAGAAAATGCGGACAAAATACAATAATTTGAAAATCATTTTTAATTGAAAAATGGTTTCAGATAGTTGAATTTTCAAAGAATATTATTAAAATAGTTAAAAATAATTGAATTTCCTTAGAGTTATAATTAAAATTATTAAATTTCAAAAAAAAAAATTTTCGATGGAAAATTTTAGAAATAATTAAATTTTCGATGCTTTTAAATTCAAATTACCTATTGAAAATTCAATAAATTTTGAATTCAAATTTTTGAGAATAATGAAATTTTATTTGATTTAAAATTTGGAAAATAATTTAATTTCAGTTCATTTTGAATTGAAAATTTTGGGAAATAATTGAATTTTAATTGAAATTTTGGATAATAATTTAATTTAAGTTAATTTTTGATTGAAAATTTGGATAATTAATTTTGAATAGAAATTTTAGAAAATAATTGAATTTTATTTCATTTTAAACTGAAAACTTGGTAAATAATTAAATTTTAAATTGAAAATTTTTGATAATTATTGGATTTTTAATTGATTTTGAATTAAAATTTCGGGTAATAATTGAATTTTTGTTTATTTTGAATTGAAATTTTAAAAAAATAATTCAATTTTATTGTGATATTTTTTTTTAAATTATAAACAATTGTTAAATTTCATAAAAATTTTAATTGAAAAATAATTTTAATATAATTGAATTTGTGATGTATTTCATTAAAATTATTAAAAATAATTAATTTAGTGAAGAATCATTTTAATTCAAAATTTGTTAATTAATTGAATTGAAGAAGATCTAAAGAAGATCTACATTTTATACTGAAAAAATTTATTTTATTTACATTTTTTTTTCAAATGTAAAAAAAATGTCGCATTTTATTAAAATAAGTCGATAAAAGTCGTATTTTTGAAAAAAGTCGTATAATCCGAGGCCTGTAAACATATAATTTTCATTATTATTATTTAATATGTAATAATATTCTAATAAATGAAATTATTATTGATAATATTAATCTTTAATTTCTTTATAACAAACAATTAAATACTCAATTTGGCGCGCGTTTAATTTTGCTTGTAGTTTTATAAAATACATAAATCTTATTCTAATTAAAAATATAGTAATATAATAATTATAATTTTAAAAAATATTATTTTTAAGGAAACTTTTTTTTTTGTGAGAGCGGAAAAGAATTAATTTTTTTTTGTACCTTAGAAATCTTAATAGAATATATTTAAAAACAGAAATTTTTTTTGAAATTTTACAGGTAGTTGTCACGGACAAATTTCCAGTTGAATTACAGTATGTACCATCTTTGGATCAAGTTTGGGTGCTGAATTGGCGTAGCGAGAGGGACATTGGAATAAAAACAGTTCAAGTAATCAGGGATGCAGCTCAGAAAAGGAAACACCATACGGTGCATCCAGAACCCATTGATGGTCAATTTGATCTCGTCCGGGGTCTTTATATCCCAGAACGTCAGGTTTGTAACTTTCTATATAATCTCATCTGAGAAAGTTTGATAAAAATTGAACTTTCCCGAGTTTTTTTTTTTTTTCTTTTCTTAGATATAATAAAAATGTCTTTATTTCAACTGAAATAACATTTTCTCTATTTTTTTTTGTCACAAAAAATTTTTTTTTTTATAAATTTATTTTATAATTGATTTTTTAATAAAAATTTCATTTAATTTAACGTTTTCTCATGTGAATATTGTAAATTTTATATTTTGTAAAAAAATTTTTATGTAATATCCAAATAATTTATTTTTCCTTTAATTTAAATTAATTTTTCATTATTTTAATATTTTTTATTATTATTTTTTTATTTAAATTTATTATTATATATTTGAAATAAATTTATTTTTCTTTTGCATGAAAAAAGAGAAAAGATTTGCTTAAAATTTGCGACGTTTTTGAATTATTAAATGATTTTTAGGACATTGGCTACATGTGCAAATATGGATACGTGACACATACAAATCAACGTGGAATGTACAAATTGGATTTAGCGAACATGAGATATACACGAAGTGCAGATCTTGCTCCTTATAATTGCGTTCCAGCACATATCCAATTTTCAGCTCTCTGTAAGCGCATATTATTAATTTATTATTATTATTATTATTTTATAAAATGAATTTTAGAGAGAGAAAAAAATATATGATTTGAATATGAAAATTTCACATAAATAAATTTAATACCAACGGCTTTAAAATTGTTGGAAAAAAAATAAATAAAAATAATTCTAAAATTGAAAAAAATATGTAGAAAAACTGTTATTTTATTTTATCCATTGATGAACATCAATATTCGAAAAAATTTGTCCAATCAATTTTGTTATATATTCCTCAATTTACTTTCTATTGCAGATGGTTTTGTGATACTGCAATGCGAGGAGCCAGTTACTGGCAGACCAACCGGTCAATTACTCCTCGACTATCTCACCGATACCGTTCTCGCTCACAAACCCGATTTAATCGGAAAACCAATGGTTTCGCCTGACTCGCGACATCTCGTCACTTTGGATCGTCAAGAAAGTGGAGTCGTTCTCGTCGTTCAGGAAATTCAAAGTAATTATTGTCCAATGTTATTTTCAGATTTTTTTTTTAAATTATCTTCATTACTTTTTTTTATTCAACGTGTCAAATTTTATTTGATATTAGCGATATAATTCTCTTTCGCTAACGATCGGTTGCTTGTAGTTGTACTTATTATTATTAGATCGAATTAATTTTAAATTAGGCAGACGAATAAATTTGAAAATTAATTTTTTAACATTTTTATTTGACAGAATTATATTCCATTCGATTTTTTTTTTTTTTTAATAAAAATTCAAGTCCGTAAATCACAGAAATAAATAATTAAATATTTTATAAAAATTCCATTTAACCAAATTATAATTACAAAATTGTTATTTAAACTAATTTTCATTTTACAAAATGAATATTAGAAAGAATTGTTTTCTAGTCGAATTTACGCTTTTACAGAATATAATTTAATTTACAGAATATATTTAATTTAAAAATCTAAGCGTACAAATTTTTCTGCCATATATTTATTCGAACAAATAAAAAATCTGTAAAATAAAAATTCGATATTTTTGAAATTCTGTAAAAATATAAATTTGAAGAAAGTTAAAAATTCGACTAGAAAAGAATTCTTTTTGATATTCTTTCTATAAAATAAACATTCTTTTTTAAAAAAAATTAAAATTCATTTAATAATTCGGTAATATAGAAATTTAGTAAAATAAAATTTTTTAAAGATAATAATTCAAAGATATAAAAATTCGGCTAAAAGTAAATTCTAGGTCATGAAATTCTGTCAAATAAAAATTCTAACAAATCAATTTTTAATCTTATTCATGCATCCTGGCTCAATCAATTTTTTCTATGAAATGTTTTTTAAAGTTCTTTTTTTACACAAAACGTATTTAACGTTTTTTTTTTATTTGGAAAATTTTGTTTACACTTTATTTTTCTGTGAAAGCAACATTTAATTATATATCGTGTTTATTAAAAGTCATCGAGTAAAATATTTCATCAATCTACTTGTTTTTTAGACATAAAAAAAACTGTGCTTTCACATTTTATGAAATATTCCTTTAATTTACTTTTTTAAAAAAAAAAAAATAACTTCCTCTTCATCGCGTATTTTTTTTCTGTCAAAGTCAAATGGAAATCCTCACATTCTAATTCAATCAAATAAAAATCTATCAGCTTTCTAAAGCTAAAAGGCATATTTCAATTAATTTCTATTTTCATCTGTGAATTACGAATGTGAATATAAAAAAGGCGTATAAATGCTTTTATAGATTTATTTTAATTCCATTTGCTATTTTTTTAATTGCCGCGTACTCGCGAGTGTTGATGAAATTCTTTTCTTAATTAAATGGAAAATAAATTGAAGATGTGTTACATTTCAATTTCAGCAACTGGTTTGAAGTTTGCCTTTGATGTGAAAACAACCCTCAACATCAGTGATATCACATTTTACCCATCGCAAACAACACACGGCTATGATCTCTACGCCTCATCCGCTGATAAAGAGGATATTCTATTTCTCAATTTGGTTACAGGTAAAGAAATAGGAAATTTTACACTTTTGCTGAAATTTTCATTTTTTTTTTTTTTTTTTGCCTTTTTTGAAATAACGAGATTTCTCTAGAGAATATTTTCCTTTGCTTTTTCAATATTAATGTGGGGGAAAATATATAGATGTATAAATAGAATTTTTTTTATCTCTCTACTTCTTTTATTTGCCAAGTAAATAAATCTGATTTTTTTTTTTATTAAAATGTAATGAAGAGACTGAAAATTTTTTGTTGCTTTGAAAATAAATATGTGACAGTCCCCGAGAGAAGGGACCTTAGCTCACCAGAGGTCAATATTGAGTTTTATATGGTAAATGATAGATTTTGAATTGCTTTTTCACATGCAAAAGTCAAAAACTGATTAGGATAATTGCTTTTGACACAATAACATTTTGAAGATGGGTATGTCAAGCGCATTTCGAGGCGGATTGTGGCACTCAAGAAATCAGCCCCACTACTTTACTTACACAACTATACTCTCGCGTACGTGAGCTTCGCGTACGTGAGACCCGAAGATACACGAAGTAGACGAAGCTCACGTATACAGAAACACAACGTTGTGTTAGTGTGGTGGGGGGACTTTTCAGAAGTTCCGCCCCACTCTTCGAGTTCCGCGTTTCTGCTTCTTCTTCAAACGCTCGCCCTGTGAAATTCGTTTTGGTGAGCTAAGGTCCCTTCTCTCGGGGACTGTCACATATAATGAATTTTTTTAGGTTGTAACAATTTTCTCATTTTTTTTTATTAATAATCATATGATTATAAAAAGAAACTTTTTAAATAATAATCAATTTCTTGTTATAAATAAAAGAAAAATATTCTTTATTATTATTATTTACATTTTTGTTAACTTTAAAAAAAAAAAATTACCTTTGTCTTTGACTAAAAAATTTTTAAATTAACATTCTAGAATTTCAATATTGAACATTCCAAACTTTTTTTTGTAATGAATAATTTAAAATCAACTAAAATTGGAAAAATTTTTTCATCTAGAAATATTTTTTTCAAATTTTTTAGAATGAAATTTTAGAATCTCAACAATATTTCAATGTTTGACTTTTAAATGATAATAATCCGGAAAAATTAAAATTTAAAAAAAAAATAATTAATGCAAATAAATCTGCTAACGGAATATTAAGATAACAACTTCTAATTTTTTGTCACTTTAGAAGCAATTATTTCACATTTCTGAATTTATGAATTATTATTACGATAATCTAATGTGCGGTTTGTAATTAACAGAATGCTGTCAGCTTTTGCGAGCAAAATTCATAATTCTATGATTAATGTTGGAAAATGTATAATTACAGGCAAAGTGGAAATGATTACGGGCGTTGGAAAAGCAATGTCACCAAATCTCGCCAAATGGGGAAATCCAAATAGACCGATCGTTCAAAGTGGAATTTTCGGTCGATACATGGTCAGTCCATCGAATGAAGCTCTCTTTGTTCTTAATGGAGAAACTCGAACAGTAAATTGTGAGATTGGAGGATTGACACGTCCCGCAATGGTTGTATGGTTCACCGTCTCACTTCATTAAAAAAAAAAAAACAATGAAAAAAAAATATTAAAGAACTGTAATATCATCGCAAGTACCAAAAAAAAAATTACTGATGGAATTTTTCCTTTTACGAAAATTCGAATTGTGTGACAAAATTAATCGAATTTAGTCTCATTTTATCTAATTAGTATTTTTCTAATTCTTATTTTATAAGGAATGAATTTTTTTTCAATTTAGAAATATATTTTTTTTTTTGTCGAATTTCAAATTGTAAAAGTTCCGATAAAACTGCGGTGCATTGACTTCTTTGGGGGGGAAATTTGAAACTTTAAGGAAACTCGCAATTTCTCTGAAGATATTTGACTTCTTGTTCTTTTAAAGCCGCGGAGAAGAAAATCCATCTTTATAAGAAATTCAGACAGGAGCTTCTTTAGGGAAATAAATTGGCGAAGAAACTTGAAGTATTTCCCCTTGGAGGATTTTCAAATATGAATTTTCGCACAATTCGAATTTTTATGCGTTTCTTGGCGGAAATTCGTATTATAGATCAATGATCAATTGAATTCGAAAATTTTTCTCAAATCTCGATTAAAAACTTTTTTATTTCTTTTTTAAATAAGAAATTTTTTTTTATTTTTTTTTTATTATTTCGTAAATTCCCAGAACGATAATGAAGAATCGAGAGGAAACTATTTTTTTTTACAAGTGTGAAATCGATTTTTCAAAGTGTTAAAAAAGAGAATTTTTTTTTTAAAGAAATGTCAAAAATCATAATAAAACAATGTGTTGGCAAAACAGAGAAAAGAGTTCGCGGTGAAAAAGATTCTTGACTTTGTTCATTCCTCGAGTGTCCAAGCAGTACGGCAGAAACAAAAAAAAAAAAAAAAAAAACTTTTTGCGTTTGCTTTCGGGTTAGCTCGAGGGAATTTTCTTTCTTGATTTTCTCTGTATTTTCCACAGAGTGTTTGATTGTGTGACAAGAACAAACTTTTAAAAGTGCTGTGAATTTTTTTCTTCTCTTATTACACTTTTTTTTTGTATACAAAAAAAATTAAGAAGCAAATTTATTATTGTAAATATTTTCTTTTTTCCCAACAAAAATTGTTATCAAAGTGAAAGAATTTTTATTACATTTTAAATGTAATTAAAATTTTTAAAACAAAAATTATTAAATTTTATATAATTGAAATTTTTTTTTTTAATCTTACGATTTGAGAAAAAAAATCAGTTTTTTGAAAGTAAATTAACTAAAAAATGACTGTCAATGAAAAATAAAAAAGAAAGTAGAAAAATAAATGAATAAAATTTTGCTTTCGAGACTTGTCGATGAATCGAGTTCTTGCTTTTTTTGTCGGCGCGACGAAGAAGAGAAAAGAATAAAATAAAGAACACGCAGATTGAAAGAAAATTCAATACAAACTATTTTCAATGCAAAAGAAAAAAACGCAAAGTCGTACCCTTTGTGGACTTGTGGCGTTTGCTATGGGAATTTTTGAGAGTCGAGGTCAAGTTAAAATTTACAAGTTCGATATTTCATCATAATATAAAATATTTTTCGCAATTTTGATTTTATATTTTTCATTTTTTTTTCAAAAAATAAAATTTATCAACATATTTTGTTTGAAAATTGATTTACATATATTTACAAATTTTTAAAATTTCTCCATTAAATGAAAATCGATAATACCAAATCTGAAATATTGCTAATTGGACTTTATAATTGGAATTCGAATTTTAATTTGACTTGTCATTTCTTTTAATTAAATTGTATACTCGACTTCAATGTATATGAAGAAAAATAATTATCTTTCAATTGAATTGATGAAATTCGTTTTGTAAACTAAAAATATTTTTCGCCTATAAAAATTTGGATATTATCTGTTAATTGAATATTTGATAAAGTAAATTAAAGTAATTAGATATGAATAAAATTTAAATGTAAAAAAAATAAATCAATTTTTTTTTTAAATGAAAATTCTATTTAAAAAAAATATAGAAATCAATAAAATAAAAAAATTTTTTTTAATTTTTGCTAGTTGAAATAGTGAATTGATCGACCGAAAGGGGGGATAATTTTCTCTTTATCTCGACTCTTAATTCGTGGATTCACTTTTAAGAAACCCACACACGCACTCATCCTTGAAATATCATTTTCGTACTTACTCTTAAGACACCGTACACAATAACTAGTAATAAATATGACATTATTATGATATATTTATAAATTATATAAGTATATGAAAATGTTAAGTATTAGCATTTTTATGAAAAAAAAAAATAGCCTGTTTGAACTGTATATGTAATTTTATTATCATCGGACGTAGTATCATTATCATCGCTCGAAGGAAAAAAAAAGAGGCATATTTTATGATCTAAAAGGAAAAAAAAATTTAACAATGGCCAAAGAGATATTTAGTTGTGGCCTTTTTCGAAAGTCTTATTTAGTCAGAAACTGAAAACCACTGCCTTATTAAAAACGTTTCTAATTGTTATTAATATTATTATTATTATTAACATTATTATTATTTCTCTTTATTCAATTACTTTTTCCTCTATTCTGCATTTGTACTTTTATAATTCTCCATTAATAGATTTTTTAATATTTTTCTATGAGTAAAAAAATTTTAATTATCGTAAATTTAAAAATAATTATCATAAAACAAAAATTTTTGCTAGTTTAATAATTTTTTTTTAGAATAGCAAACAGTTTTTAGTTTCTGACAGAAAAAAAACAGTGCGCAATTAATTATTTAAAAAAAAAAAATTTGTCGCACTTAAAAAAAAATATATATATATATATATATATGTTAAGTAGACAAGAAAAAAAGCAGCATATATAGACTAATTTCAAATTTTCAAAACGGAAATGGAAATATTTTTTTAAAGAAACGGGACTTCAACAATTTTTGCACATGATCCATTCGAATAAGGGGAAGAAACTAAATTTTTCCGTTCAATTAAAAAAAAAAAGAAAAAAAAAAATGAAAAAAAAAAATAAAAAACGTAAACAATAGAAAATTTTCGAAAATTTTACTGTTTACGAATTTTTACTCTATTTCTAGAATATTTATAAACAAAAAATTATTTATATTAAGCGCATTTCATATATTATCTAATATAATTAAAACATACCAAATAATTTTCTAGTCAATTTTTTCTTTTTTTTCATTATGGCAATTCAAATTTAAAGCTTATGTACTACTTTTTTGTTTTCTTTTTTCTTCGTAAAACCGCTTTGATATTAATAAAAGAAAAAAAAATGGACAAAATGTAAATAAATAAAAGTGTAATTCATACGAGAGAGAGAAAGAGAGACGCTCTTTATATGAATAAAAATGAAAATCTGACTAAAAATTTTAAATAATGGGGTTGTTAAAATGTTTAAATTATATTGTATATTTATATATAATAATTGGAAATGTTTTTTAAATTGGAGATTATAATTATAGTGTTATGAAAATGAATAGTGAGAATTTCTTTTTTTGGGAGAAAAAAAATTATTCCGTCTGTTTTTTCTTTTTACAAAATCTAATTAACAATTTTTGACATACATATAATATATTTATATAGGAAAATTTTTGTATTTTCCATCGTCCTTTTAATGTAAACAATCCCATGATAATTATTTTCAGTCAGAAGAACCCGCTATTATACATATTTCCGGCATGACTAAATGTATAACGACACAACAATAATTATGTATATTAATGTGTATTTGTTAAGACGCATTCCTTGTAATAAAAAGTATGTCACAAATAATGAGTATCACTTATTTGTTAATTTATTAGAAATTCTATAATTATTTATTTTGCTATTATTTAAATTTTTTATATAAATAAATTTATTTTTTTTATTTCTACAATTTTTGAACCACTAATAAAATTCAACCCGTTGAACATGTGTTTTTAAATTTACATTAGTTTTACAAAATTTTTTAAAATTTAGAAAAAAAATGAGATTTTTGCAAATTTTTCGTTTAAAATCTTATAACTTCTGCAATTTTTAAAATATTTTTATTTCTATTAGCGGATTATTTTTTCAGCTTCTTCTAATTTTTCTGGAAACACCATAAAAAGTGAAAAATGTTGATAAATAATAATAATTCGATTTTTTGAAGAAAAAAAAATTCTCGAAAAGGTTCATTGTTTCTTTAAAACTTTATAAAGAGGGAGAGGGAATGATAAAAATTATTTATGCAGGCTTTGGATCATACTTTTTCCAAATTTTTTCGACATTTATTTACAAAAATTTTAAACAAAATACGTCTTTTTTAGTATACAATGCAGATCTTCATCAGATCTTCTTTGTTTCCATTATTAAACAAATTTTCAACTAAAATTCTTCACTAAATTAACTATTTTTAATAATTTTAATGAAATTCTCCACAAATTCAGTTATCTTAAACTATTTTTCAATCAAACTTTTTATGAAATTTAATGACTTTTATAATATTCTTCGAAAATTCAATTATCTGAAATCATTTTTCAATTAAAAACTTTTGGAATTATTATTTTATTTTATTATTTTAATTATTACTAAAATTTGTTGAAATTTAAAATAATTTCAATTATAACTCTTCTAAAATACAATTATTTTTAATTATTTTTATACTATTCTTCGAAAATTCAACTATCTGAAACAATTTTTCACTTAAAAAGTTTTCAAATTATTTTATTTTTGTCTGCAATTTCTAATAAATTTTTTTAGTGAAATCATGAAAAATTTTAAATTAAAAACCACTAGAAGTACAATTACTTTCAAAAATCTAAATTGTAAATCTTTAAAAATTAAATTACGTTCAAAAAATGTTATCTAAAATTATTTCACAAATTATTTTTAGTTCTGTAAAATTTAATTATTGTATGAAAATTAACAAAATCTTTTGAAATACAATTATATTTAAAAATTTTAACTTTAACTCTTTTAAAATTATTATTTAAAAAAATTCTTTATTTAAAAATCTAGGTCGATCAAGTTCACATCGATTACGATCATCGAAATTTAAAAAACCAAGATAGGGTCAACCGGGGTAAATCCGAACGCTTTTAGTAAGTTTCAACAATAACATAAGTTTTTTCTTTAAAAAAAAAAATACTTCCGGTATTCTGGTGCATGAAGTTGTTACTTTACTTCCATAGAACAATTTTATGGGGAAGCAAAAATTTTTGATAAATTACAATCGCAGGAAACTTAGCGTTCGTATTTACCTCGATACTTTGCAACTTTCCTAAAATACCGGGGTAAATACGAACGCCACTGTATTTCAGAAAAATCTTAGGGAAAATAAATTTAAAGTATTGCAATTGTTAAACTTATATAAAAACTCAAAAAAAATACGATAATAAACCTATTATGTAATAATGCATCATATATAAATACAATAATCAAACAGGTTAAAAATTAAAATGCATTACACAATTAAAACCTTCAATAACTTTATCAAATCATAACGGATTTTTGCAAAACTTGGTACAGAAAGTATTTTGGAGTGATTGAATGTAAATACAAAAATAAAAGTCAAATTTTTTAAATTCAAAATGGCGGACTTTCCTAAAACTTATTTTTAAAAATGATCAAATTTGCTAACTCCAAATTCGTAATCAGCGACCCTGAAACCCCCCGAGTAACAATTTTCGAGCGAATCCAATGAATTTTTTAATTCTCGTCCGCCATTTTGAATTTTGAAAAACTGACTTCAAATTGGTAATTAGCGACCCCAAAAATCGTAGAATACCAAATTTTATTAAGATCCTGAAAAACTTTTTTCAACAAACCATTTGGCAAAAAAATTGAAACACTCCTTCGAGAGAACAGAGATTAAGTTTCTGCTTATTAATTACTAACGAGGATACGTATAGAAAGAAAAACTTTTTTCTATGTACTTTTATAATGTTAAAATAATAGTGTAATGAAATAAAAACAATTTTGTGTGGCTCTGATGTAAAAAAAATTATTCAAAATACCGTTCGGATTTACCCCGGTTTTCCAATTTTCCTGGGTAAATACGAACGGTCTGATATTATTAATAAAATTTTACAGAAGGCAAAAATGAAAAATAGTTTCTGTTCTAGTATTCATAACAAACAATTATAAATAATAAAATGAATTTTTAGCTTCTTTTTCTTCAAATACGAGACAAAATACTGAAAGAGTGTCATCTTTGATTTTCAATCTTTTTTGCAATACTCGTTATCTTTGTTTATGCTGTTGCTAATTAACAAACGAAAAATGGGATAATACTTAAGAATCTCTTGAAGAGGATCTGAGGTAAAAATTCTCATATCGAACTTATTTTTAAAAATTTTAATTAAGCTGAAATAATTAGCGTTCGGATTTACACCCCGTTCGGATTTACCCCGGCTGACCCTACTTCATAAACACAACAAAAAATTACAAAAACCTTCAAAAAAACATTATACTTAACAAAAAAAATCCGGCAGCCCCCTGCGGGGGCTTCGCTCGCTAGTTTGAGTGCGCCCCGGGGTGCGCGAAGGATGTTCGTCCCGCTTCGCGCGCATTGTTTAAGCATCGCGCTACGCGCTTTGTTTGTTTATTATAATTCAAAACCTAGTAGCATTAATTACTTTTTAACTACACTGTGTAATTCAAAAATTTTTCAATTAAAATTAAAAATTGTATTAATTATACTACCAGAAAGTAGTTGAATGACCCAAAAATCTATTTGGTAGAATGAGATTTTGTAGTTGTTTCAGACTTTGTTGTTGATTTAATTACTTTTGAAGTAAAATGTGAAGAAGAAAGAAATTATTTTTATTAATTTTATTAAAAAGAGTAATTAACGAAAATCGACAAACCAAATTATTTACTAAAATAAGATATTCCGCTTTGAACTAATTTCAATTGAGTAAAAGAAAAAATTAATTGAAAATTTAAAAACACTAAAAAAGAACTTTAAAGTAAATGCATTTTTAAATCAACAAATTTATTATATGAGGTTTTGCCCTCATGTTTTTATTCATAAAAATTTTTTTGTACAATTTATATAAGTGAAATTTTTGGTTTTTATAAATTAAATTTCATTTTCTTAAAGTACTTTGACTTTAAGGATAACATTCTCATCACGACACTCGCGTTTCACGCTCGAAAATTAGAAGCATACAATTGGAAAAGTTATAGTGGAAAAAAATGTTTTATGAATACTGCTTCAAAAACTTTAAATCTATAGAGAGCCCAGATAGCACGTAAGCTTGCAGCAAACTTGCGGCAAGCTTGCCGCGCAATATTGCCAACCTTGCATGGCAAGTTTACCGCAAGCTTGTAGCAAGCTTCAAATGTCCCACCTAACCCAACCTTACATGGTAAGCTTGCCGAAAGATTGCAGTGTAAGGTTACTGCAAGATTACACAGTAAGATTATCGCAAGATTGCTCCGTAAGCTTGCACGGTAAGCTTGTCGCAAGATTGGTGCAAGGTTGCCAAATAACCTTGCCAATCAGCACAGAAGGTTGCAGCAAACTTGCAGCAAGCTTGCCATGCAAATTTTCTCGGCAACCTTATGGCAAGCTTGACGCAAGCTTGCGAAATATAACAAAAAAATTTGGGGGGGGGAGGAAATTTATTTTTGTACATACATTGAGCACCAGTTCCTGGGAGGTCAAAAAAATTTACTGCGCAGCCGTAAGTGCTTATGATTGCAAGTGCGCATAGTCCTCATTTTCAATGCAAACTTCTCTGCTGATTGGGCAAGGTTATTTAGCAACCTTGCACCAACCTTTCGACAAGCTTACCGTGCAAGCTTACTGAGCAATCTTGCGATAATCTTACTGTGCAATCTTGCAATAATCTTACACCGCAATCTTTCGGTAAGCTTACCATGCAATCTTGCGATAATCTTACTGTGCAATCTTGCAGTAACCTTACACTGCAATCTTTCGGCAAGCTTACCATGTAAGGTTGGGTTAGGTGGGACATTTGAAGCTTGCTGCAAGCTTGCGGTAAACTTTCCATGCAAGGTTGGCAATATTACGCGGCAAGCTTGCCGCAAGGTTGCTGCAAGCTTACGTGCTATCTGGGAGGAAAGTTGCTAAAAGAAGAGGCGGCAAAATAGGTTAAAACAGTGCCGCAAAAAATTAATGAGTAAAATAACACATCGAAAAAAATTAAAAATTTTTGTTACCTTAAACGTAATAGAACATAACTTTTTTGTTTTAATCTGTATCGAAAAGGGTTAAAGAAAAAAAAGTTTAGGTACTTTTGGGAGTATTTTAAGAGAAAATTAAAAAAAAATTTTTTCAAGAAGAATTTAAATTTTTAAAAATTTGAATAATTTTTGAATTTTTGGGCGGATTAGTCTGTCAAACGCACTCAGGCTTCATTTTTACATGTTGAAAGCGTGTACCAAATATCGAAGCGATTCGTTAAGATATGTTCAAGTTATCGTGGGGACAAAATGAGTCCACAGACAGACTACAGACGACAAACGTCATTCACGTACAGATTCACTAAAATTAGAAAAAAAGTCAAAATCGACCAAAATGAATACTTTCTAACTTATGATGAGAATGTAAAAAAACCACTGCAAAGTTGAAGTTTACTTCCTAAACACTCGTAATAAAACCTTAGTCTTGAATTCTGAAACATACTTACAATTAGTTAAAAATTCCTGTATATAATCCTTAAAGGATTTTTAGAGGTTACAATATAGGATTCTTATAGGTTCCCTGAGGAATCCTGTTAAGAATTCTACACAGGATCACACTAGCATCAGTTGCAGGATATTGGAACAGGGATCCTGTACAAGAACTTTTGCAGGAACATTAGTTACTAAATTTCCTTTGCAAATTTCTGTACAAGAAAAATTATTAAAAGAATATATATATTTTCCATTTAAAGAAATTTCTGCATTAAAATAAATTAAGCTACCAAGGAAATTAAAAGCTATTTAATATTTTTGAATCAGTCGGAAGCTGTATTGAATTCGCATTATTAAAAATAAATCTCTAATTGAGTTTGATTCAAATCATATTTACATTTTTCAAGCTATTCTTCCTGATTACCTGTAAGTTGAGATACAGTGGTATGTTTCTTTTCAATTTTAAAGGCAGCAAATCTAACACTTCAGCGTTAAATTTATTTACAAAGTTCGTTTATTAAAAATTATTAAATTTTGTGAGAAATATGACAATATAAATTAAAATTTTTCGATACAATTCAAAATTGTCTGAACAGATGCATTACATTTTTTATTAATAGAAAATTATTCATTAAAATGAATTTTTATTTAAAATCTTACATTCCAATTCAAAAAGTTAATATAATGAATCCGCATTCTTAAAATTCCTGATTCACTATACGGTGAATTTAATAATCATTTCTTTCCTTACTAGTTATGTTAGATAAAATATTGTACATAGAATTTTAATTAGAAATTTATGATACATGTATTTCAACGAAAATTACCTTGCAAATAGGACAATCAATGTGTTTTTAAATTTTCTCTAAGTATTTCATATTAGTTCTAAAGTAAAATTAAGATTTTTTAATATAAAATTAGAATTGGAATTCTATAAATAGAAGCAATCTAGCATAAAAATCGTTTGTAGGCTCAAAACGGACCAAAAAAAAGTTTCCACAAAAATATCATATAATTGTATTAAAAGTTTTTGGGGTCATTGAATCCAAAAAGGTCAGATTTAAAAAAATCTAAAATAGCGGACCTAATATGGCTACCCAATATGACGGAAAAATTTAAAATTGATTCCATTCATTCAAAATTCGGTGATAGGGGGTTTTTGGGGTCGTTGAATCAAATTTGGGGATAAAATTTAACAGATTCAAAATTTGGATTCATAGAAGCCAAAAAACCACCAGTACCGAATTTTGAACGAATCGAATCAATTTTAAAATTTCCTCCATATTGATTTGCAATTTTAAATTTTTTAAAATTTACCTCAAATTTGGATTCAGCGACCCCAGAAACTCCCGAGTATAAAATTTTAAACGAAACAAATCAATTTAAAATTATTCTCCCATACTGGGTCCGCCATTTTGATATTTTTTAATCTGAACACAAATTCGGATTCAGCGAGTTAGTAATCGAACACATAAGAAATCCTGGTATAAACAGCGCAATATAAACTATTTTGGAATAGAGGATTTTTTATAAAACAATTGCAATGTTTGGAAATGGATAACAATGGTTGGACTTATAAAAAAAAAAAAAAAAAAAAAAAAAAAATTTATAATTTTATGAGTAAGTTACTGTAATTTGTGTTAATTTAAGATGGTTTAAAAAGAGACAATACATAGTTGCTCATGTTTCCTCAAAATAAAGTAATTTTGCCCTGCATTTTACCCATTTTTCATCCGTTTTTGTCTTTTTTTGTCCTTTTTTTAAAAAAAGAGATATAACTTTTTAGTTTTAATCGCTATTAAAAATTTGCAGAGGAAAAAAGTGTTTATTTTTACTCGTATTTTTCAAAAAAAAATTGAAAATTTTTTTTTTTTGAAAAATGCGAATTAGTAGAGGAAGACCTTTTTTACCACCAAAAAGTCATCCAGGATTACAAAAAACTTCCCAAAAAAAATAAATTTATTAAAACTGTTAAAAAAAATGTGACGTAAATTAAAAAAATATCTATTTTTAATTTTTCAAGCAGAAAAACATATTTCAATTGAGAAATTAATTTTCAGTACCATCGGACTGCTTTGCATGATTTGAGATGAATTCGGTCCAAAAAATTCCATTTTTTTACATGATGTCCCAGAAACTTAAAAATTTTTATAGTACTAAACAAAGAATAATTTTCGAAAAACCAAATTTTCATTGAAATTAATATTTAATTTAAATAAAATACATAACAAATCAATATAATGAAAAAAAACAACATTTTGTCAATACTTCTGTCTATTTATTAATAATAATAGTAATAATAAGAAATCACGAATTATTTTGTGATATCACATCATTATGCTCTTCATTTCAATTATAACACAACGTACATACGTTTGTCTCGATCATTATTATAATTTATTTTTTTTACAAGATATGCTCGATGTACAATCATATTTATATTTTTTTTATATATATATATATTATGCTATTAATATTGTACAATAATTTTCCTTAAATACTTAAATAGAAGAAAAATTTTCTTCGACTTTTTCAAAAAAAAAACCAACAAAAAAAATAATAAAATTCTTTTTTTCTACTTCGGCACTAATTAAAAAAAAAACAATAATAATATAAATCAAAAAATTAATTAGTCACATATTATTTAAATACATCAAGTGCAATAAATACAATCATAATAAATGTAACGAAATAAAATAAACATTTTCATTGAATTAACAATTTGACTTTTTTCTTTTTAATTTTGTTACCCTTATATAATATAAATTTCAACTAAAAAAAGACTCACAATCAAAAGAGTTTTGTACTACAAATACATTGTTAGTCACTTTTGACGAAAAAAAAGCAACTTTATTTTTAGTTTATTATTTATATTATTCTTATGCAATTACTTCTAGGAAGAATTTTTTTTGGAAGTTTTTTTTTTTAATTTTAGGACGTTTTTTGTGCACAGAGTGCAAAAATTAGAATTTTACTGACAAACCATTAGGAGATTAATAATTATGCATATATTAAAAGTTGTATTTTCTTTTTTTAGTAATACTTTCTCTTGAGAATGTTTGAAAGTCAACGCTTAGAGCTTTTTTTTTCTTTTTTTTTAATCGATCGACTAATTATAAATTATAATTTATTTAACAAAAAATGGCAATAATTTTTGCGAGAAAATTTTTTTTTTTTTTTTTTTTTGGTCTTCAATGGTTGTATTTGGTCTCTCGTCACTGAATAGAGTTTGTACTTTATATTTCTGTTAAAAAGCGGTTAATATTTCTGGCAGGATTTATGGCTGATTTTCTCGCAAGATTTACGAAAATTTATTTTCACTTTTCTCTCAATTAAAAGAAAAAATAAATAAATAAACTTACCAAGAAAAAAGCTCTAAAAGAAACTTATTTTAAAATAAAAATGAAAAAAAAAGAAACTAAACTATTGCAACAAAAAAAAAGAATAAAAATAATTTAAGAGAAATAAAAAAAAATCGAAAATAAGAGCAAAAATAAAAATGCAAATTATGTAAAAAAAAAAATAGCAAATATTTGAAAAAATAAATTTTCTCAGCAAATGAAACTTAAGTTAATGGGCCCTTTTTTTAATTATGTAGTTATTATTATTATTATTATTATTATTATTATAGATAATATATATTATTTTTCTATTATTTGGATAAGTAAAAAAACTCATTCCTAAGCAATTTCCATTGGTAAAATTGGTAACAAGGAGATTATTTACTAAAAGAGTCGACTTTCACTCAAGTTTTTTTTGTTTTTTTTTAAGACATCCTCACAAAATTACTTATCACTTTCCTCATTAGCAGCTTTTAATTGTCGCAAAATTTGTTGCGAAATTAGTTTTGTTGCTTCGCTTGCATTCGGAATGAGAAACCTGTCCATATCCGAAATGAGAAGAGTGTCATTGTATTGTGTCGTTCCATATTTAAATGTAATAAGATCAGGATGACGTTTGCGTGACGTTATTTTCACAATAGACGAAAGTGGCCGTTTCACTTTAACGTGGGCTGCTCCCTTTCGTCCTGGAATTTCCCTCAGAACAATTAAATGACTCTCCGTCACGAGGAGTTGACTGAAAAAAAAGCCAAAATGCAAAATGTAAATAAACATATAAAATTTATGAATCACAAAAAAAAAATGAAAATTTTAGAAAAATTCGCTTTACAAAAAACGAACATTTTTAATAATTAAAAGAATTAGAAAAATAGGAAATATCCTTTTAGAAAATTTTAATAATTGAAGGTTTTTGTTATAAAATTCAAAGCATTTCAAAGTTTAAAAAAAATTAAAGATTTCAAAATTCGCTGGACATCCTGTTTTCTCTATTAAAATTTTTCAAAGTTAGTAAATAAAAAATTGCTGCAAAAATCAATTATTTTCAAAGAAAGAAAAAGAAATAAAATAATTTAGAAATTAAAAATAAAATTACTTATAGAATAGAAATTAATTTTTTTTTTTTGAAACTAAACAAACCTATCGTAAACAAATCCATTGACTTTCACTTCTTGGCACTTAAAGGAATGTAATAAGTTTGGATCCTTCAACCATTGTTGAATTGAAACAACTTCAACTGGCATTTCACTCTCGGGAAACGAAACCATATCTGTAAAAAAAAAATTAAATAAAATAATTTGCAAAGAAATGAAATTATGTTTTTTAAAAAATATTAATATTTTCTTTCTCTCACCAAGATCATGATCATCGTCTATGCTGAAAACAGGTCCAGCGTTAGGAATGCGTTTAACAAGATCACCATCCTTGGTGATTTTTTTATCCGAATTACTATTTGTACTCGCCGATGGATTGACAATATAGTCGAAAATTTTTCCCTTCACCTCTTGACCTTTTAGCCTCATGGCGAGACCAATTTTACCAAATAAATCGGAATTGTTATTTTTCCCCTTAGCCGGACTTGGTTCATTTGAATTTGAATCAGACATATTTGCATTACACACGAGACAATGTTGTGAATTATGATCGATAAGATTGGAAACAACTTCATCGCCAAAGTATTCGTGAATTGCTGCAAAATGAGAATTAAAAAAAATTCTTACCTTACATTTTTCTCATAATTAAGTACAAATAATGTATTATTTTTGGAAAGTAAATTTTTTTAAAAATATTGCTCATAAACGTTGTGAACTTAACCGACATTAAAAAATTTAACTTTTACAAAATTCAATTGTTTTGTAAATAATGAACTTCAAAAAAAAATTATGTTTATTATTTTTCAAAGAATAATATATTGTTTTTTTTTAATTTATAATTCTTTTTTATTTTTTCAAAATAATATTTTTTTTTTTTATTATTTTTGCAAAATTGTGAATTAAACGTAAATTAATGAATTAAAATTAGAAAAAAATTATTTATTAATTGAAAAAAGGGAAAAATTACATTTTTTTAAATAGTGTGAGAAAAAGGTAAATTAATATTAAATTTATATACCTTGATATCCATTGGCGACCATACTGACGTACTGTGTGTGTTTTTGTAAAAATGATGCGACAACCATGTGAGTATAACGATCTTCTTCTTGTCGTCCACTTCCAAGAAAGCAAAGATGCTCTCCTCCAGCTTGCGAACCAACAGCTAAAGCTTGACGTTGTGCTTGTAATAATCCTTGAACTGCTGTAGCAAAAGCTGCAGGCTCTTGCAACATCTTGAATTTTTTTTTTTTTTTTTGTTAAATTAACACGTTTAGAAATTAATTATAACAACAAAAACAACAACAATAAAAAAAAATTCAAGCCCTTTTCAATATTGCCATCTTTTCGAGAAACAATTATTAAATTATACAATTTTCAATTTTTTAATTAAAAGTCCTTCGAAAATTCAATTATAGGTATAATTTGAAAAATTTCAATGAAATTCTTTTAAAAAAATCGAATTTTTTCAAAATTTTATGAAATTTCAATTATTTTAAAATTCTTTTAACAAAATATTTTCGAATTATTTGCGCGTTAATAATTGTAAAATATTTGTTTTGTTACAAATCAGACAATTATTTATTTATTAATACAAAATTTACATCACATTTAATTCATTAAAGATTTTTTCTTTATAGATTTAAATTTTGATACATTAAAAAAAAAAAAATTAAGAACAAAAATTAGAGGAATATTATATTGATAAAAAAAGGTAAAAAAAAATAAATGAATAAAAATTTTTGCAAAATACTCACTAAATTACAGTCCAAATGAAAAGCAGTGGGCAAATGACCCGCATTATATTGTTCAGCGGGCCTGCAATCGACAAGGAAAAATCGAACAGAATCAACCGAACTATTTGGAATGGAAGCCTCAAATGTATTTTCCACCAATTCCTGAGCAGAAACAGGTAAACAAAGTGCATGAGTAATAAATTTCTCATCGCCACCTTCTCCAAACATTATACTATATAAATCTTGTTTAAAAGACGATGGTGTCTTCATTGCATAATACTGTGCCAAGGAGCAAAAATCTGTCACATCCTCAGCTTCCAAAGCACAAGGCATTGCTGATAATGCATTTACTATACTCTCCTTGTCGTCGTCTTTCATATTTAAAATCTGATCCCTAAATAATGCAATTTTCATTAATTTCTTCAATTATTTCCAAAAGATTTATTTATTATTTCTTAATCTTAAATCTTTTTTTAAAGTAAAATTATATTAATTTTATATATTCTATGTTTTAAAATTCATTTTTTAATCTATTGGCGAATATTCTACTGAAAAAATTTGAATTTTTTGAGAAATAATTTAATTATTACAAAATTATTGACATTTCAAAGTCAAAACATTTTTTTTTGGTTAATTTCAATTAAAAATTTTAAAATATAATTTTTTATATATTCTAAAAAAAAATTATAGTTATTCAAATTTTATTACGGAATTACGATGCTGAAGTACGCAACGTTTATGATCAACAGTTAGAAATCAATTTTTATTTAAGATGGAAAATTTTAAAAATTGTTTACCTAAAAAATATTTCTTTTATCAATTTGTAGATTAATAAAAACCTACAAGAAATACTTTTTAGGCAAAAAATTATTTCTTTAAAAATCGTTTATCATAAACGTTGTCTACTTCAGCTTCGTCGGAATTAATGACTTTTCAAAAAACATGGACAGTTTTAATTTTAATTCAAAAATTTTATTTTCTTTTATAAAAATATAAACATTTCCTGATGCTTGTATTATTATTTATCGTTTAAGTATTTATTTAAAAAAAAATTTTTAAAAACTATTTAAAAATGACCTTTTGAAAAATGTTACTTAAGTAAAAATAAATTTGATTTAAATAAAAAAAAATCATCAGGTTCTGCTGTTTAAAACATAAATTCTGATTTTTATCAGCCTTGATTTTATCATCATTAAAAAAAATTAAAATTTCTCACCTGGCGTTTATCACCATAATAAGTGACAAAAACATCATGAAAAATGGATCGGCTTGCATAAAATAAAGATCCCACATTGTTGAAACAGCTGGTAATGAACAAACACCAGCGAATAAAGTATTGATCCAACTTTTCGAATATTGATCAGGTGAAACTCTTTTTGTATCCAGAAATGAACACAACTCAGGCTCATGGTACAAAAGTAACAGTCTTAAAACAGAGCTATGTGTGTCGCCTCTGTAATAAGAATTAAAATTTATTTACCAAAAACCATTTTATTTAATAATACAGGGATCGCATTAATTTTTTTCTTTTGAAAATAGGTAGAAAAGTGAATTATTTGACAATAATAAGTGACAAAAAGGTAATAAAAAAATCAATTAAAATTTGGATAAATTGAAATTCGGATAATTTGAAACTTTAAATCAAATAAAAATTTTGATAAATTAAAATTCGGTAAATTTGAAACTTAAATTTATTAATCTTTAGATAGATTGAAATGTTGTGAATTTTAAGTTTCGATAGATTGATTTTACATTTGGAATTTAGATAAAATTGAAATTTTGGATCAAATACAATTTAAATAAATTGAAATTTGAACACATTCAAATTTGGATAAATTGAATTTTTTATTCATTGAGTTGATGGTTGATTAGAAATGGAAAATTTAAATTTTGATCAAAAAAATTTTTCAAATTAATTTAAATTAAAATTTATTGAAATTTAGTCTAAATAATTTTTAAATCGATGAAAAATTTTGATAAATTTAAGCATTCAATTAATTTAAGCAATTGAGTTATTTTTAGAAAAAATTAAAATATGTAATTTTGTGTTCTTTAAATTAATATAAGTTCAAAAATATTAAAAAAAAAAAAAAAAGTTCTTTTTACACCAATAAATTATTTCTCAACATTGATGAGCCAAAAGCAATGTTTTTACATTGTAAATTCAATTTTTTTTTTTTTGTTTTTGAAATATTAGATTACATCCGCAAATAAATCAAATTATTAAAAAAATGGTGAAGATAGTAACAAAATATCAAAATAGATGACAAAATTTTAAATAGATGAAAAAAGATGAATAGGTAATATTGTAATCCCTGTAATAATTAAATTAATTACTCATGAACTATTTTTTAATACTACTTTTTAATTAAAAAATAATAATTACTTTTCATTATCCATGTTATTATTTTTATTCAAATATTTAAAAAAAAAATTTTTTAAATTCAAAATCAATATTAATTAATTAGGAATGTAAATAAAAACCTGGGAATATAAATATCTCTGATCGCCTCAAATAAGTTGTAGGTGGATGACTTGGGGAGTTTCAAGGCAATTAATGGTTCTAATAATTCCAGCCATCCATTGTTCTTCTCGTATTTCTTTTTTCGACTCTTGCAATAAAAGGTCAATATGGATTCAAGATCCGAGACAACGGAAACTTTATCTTCATCGTCGTTTCCAAGTTTAGCTTCAATATTTAAACAAGCTTCTATTAATATTAATATTGAATCATTCAATTAAAATGATTAAATGCAATTAAAATAGAAATTTAAAAAAAAATCATGAAAATATAGATTTTTTTTTTACATTTTAGTAAAATTATTTACTCTTTTTATTTTCGATTTATATTAAAATAAAAAAATAATAATAATTTTCTCATATTATTAACGAAGCTGAAGTACGCAACGTTTATGATAAACGATTTTTACAGAAATAATTTTTTAAAATGAATAATTCTATATTTTTTTTTTATAATTTGTTGATTAATTAAAAATACAAAAACTATTTTTTACTCAAAAAAATATAGAATTTTTCATTTTAAAAAATTATTTTTTAAAAAATCGTTTATCATAAACATTGCGTACTTCAGCTTCGTTATTATTATTATTTGTATTTCTATATTTTCAATATTTTATCAATTTTATTAATTTAATTTAATATTTTAATTAATTTTCAACTTTTAAAAAGAAAAATATATTAAAAGACTATGTAAATTAACAATAGAACGAAAATATAAATTAAAATATTTTGTTTTTTTTCAACTCACCCACAAGTTGTTGGCAATCTTCGCGTATAATATTTTGCTCGGGAAGATCGAAAACTTCATTAAAATGAATTAATTGATTGCCACGATCGGTGACATCAAGACAAGCTTGCCAAACATCTGGCCTTAAATTTGCAGGTACAGGCTGTCCTTTACATATTGCATAAATATCCGAAGCAGAAGGTGCTTCTGCATCCAAAAGTGCTGCTTCTAATTCTAATACCCTATATTAATACCAAAAAAAAAAAAAAAAAGAATAATTCAATTTTCCTTCATTTTTTATTGACATCCCTCATGTTTCGTATATATTATAGAAAAATAATTTTCAAATTTTTTACAAAAAAAAATTTTTTTAAATATTCTTTTTGTTTACATTTCAAAAGTTTATATATTATTTTGCAAAAATTGACTAAATTTAAAACCTATAATAACAATTATTTTCTTTTTCAACAAAATTTAAAATGTAAAAACGGTAAAAACATTAAGACGTGACACACGAGGAAACGATAGAAAAAAATAAATGAATACGCCCAAATTTTTCCAAAATTCTTTTAAAAATTTCCTCCTATACGTTATTATAAACATATTGTAAGAAAAACATGGAAATAATTCTAATCAAGAATAAACATTTTTGTCATTGTATATATATATATGTATTTTTATAAAAACAAAAAAATAGAAACAGAATAAAAAAACTGACAGATGATCGAGATTTTAAAAAAAAATACCTAACCTCAAAATCAATTGTTGTGCTAATCTATATAGAAAAAATGTGGAATTTTAAATATATATGTATACAGAAAACTCACCAAGTATTTTCATCATCGTTTAATGACATTTTTGAAAATTTGTTGATTAAATATCCTCAAAAATGATGAAAAAAAAAAAAAAAAATTTCACCAAACACTGTAATGTTATTTAAAGTCTTTTTCGTTTTAAACAATATTTCCAATCTCGTAACATCATTTCTATATAAGATTATAAAATTTTTCTTCACCTCATTTCACGATATTATCGATGTTATCGTTATTTACACGAGCTAAATGATTGTTTTAGAAACAATTATGAAACACGAAACATGTTGACAGATGACATCCATCTTTATTTTTTATTTTCGGATAACCGGAAGTGATAATGACGTGTGCGCCAAATATCCATTTTCGTGGTATTTTAAATTTCATTCTAATTCTAACCTCAAATTTTACATTTTACTTCTAATTCAATAATTTTGATGATTATTGAATAATTTTAATTTTAAAAAGAAAACTTAAAAAATAAAAGAGAATAATAAATCAACATTTTTTTTATTGAATATTATTTCATATTTTTGAAAAAAAAAAATGGAACGGAAGTAATTATCGCGCACGCGCAATAAGTTGCGCATCTCAGTAACCGGAACCCGGAAGTTAATTGTCCAGCTAATGACGCGTATTCCATATAAAGTTGAATATTTCTTTTTTTATTAAGAAATTTTGAATAGAAAACAAGTGTTTTTTGTGAAAAAAACAAAAAAAGAGTAATGACAAATTGTCAAAATAAATAATTTATGATGATTTGAAAGACTATTTTGGAAATATATACACGCAAAAAAAGAGTCAAGTGCAATATGCCATCTTGAAATCAGCTGTCAAGTAAGCAGACGATAATAAAGTGGATATATTATTTATTGACATTTACTCAATTGACTATTCTAATTTACTAATTATGCAAATTATTAACATTACTTTTTATTGAAAAAAAAATTGTAATCATTTGATGAATGTCGATATTTGTTTGTTTATTTTTCACATTTCTCGTGTCATTTTTAAAGGTTAATTTTTTTTTACATTTTTACGATTTTATATAAATAAAAAAAAATATATAATATAAATATATTTTTAGATAAATAATTTTATTGTAAAAAACGAGGAAAATTTCAAATAAATTAAATTATTTTGACAATATTTATCCAAAGACGTTTTAAAAAATTTTATTTGTAATATTTTTTTTTTACTTTTATTTACAAAATGTTTAATACAAATTTTTTTCTAGACTTTTCTAGTTTCGTGATGTTCGAGATTTTTTGGGTAAATATCTGTGATAAAAATTCGCGATTATTTTCATGAACCTTTAAAAAATGTTTTTATATAATTACATATAAAAAGTATAATTATAATAATTATATAATTACATAAAAAAAGAATAGTTAAAACTTTGCTAAAATGTTGAATACGAAGAAAAAAAAATTTATATTTTTATGACAAATATTCACGACGTTGAAGTAAGCAACGTTTATGATAAACAATTGTTGAAAAAAAATTTTTGTAAATGAAAAATTCTCTAATTTTTTGCCTAAAAAATATTTTTTGTAGTTTTCATTAATCAGCAAATTATAAAAGAAATATTTTTTAGACAAAAAATTATAGAATTTTTATTTTAAATAATTATTTCTTAAAAAATCGTTTATCATAAACTTTGCGTATTTCAGCTTCGTAAATATTCTTTATTTCGTTGATTATATTTATTTACCTTTTTTTTTATCATTATTATTATATTTATTTTTTCTTTGATTTTTTTTTTTATTTATATTTTCATATTTTTGACTTTCCCATTTAAAGAATTACTATTTAATTAATTCATTTAATTTTTTAATTTTAACGATGCTGAAGTACGCAACGTTTATGATAAACGATTTTTAAAGAAATAATTTTTTAAAATGAAAAATTCTATAATTTTTTGCCTGAAAAATATTTCTTGTAGTTTTTATTAATCAACAAATTATAAAAAAAAATATATTTTTGTAGGTAAACAATTTAATAATTTTCCGTGTTAAATAAAATTTGTACTATGTACAACATAATAATTATTGTTATAAGAATTTTTAATTAAAAGAATTTTAATTTAATTTAATTTACATTTATTTGCAATTTTGATTTTATTTGATTTACATTTAAAAGAATTTTATCAATGAATAAAAATACAATTTTTTCTATTGAATTAAAATTTATAGAAAATATTTTTAAAAGAAAATGAAAATTATGCTAATAATATAATAATAATTATTAATTGTTATTTATTCAGAAGATTGGAATAAAAAAATCTCCAATTATTAGATATTTTTTTATTCTAATCTTCTGAATTAAATTTTACGACTTATAAAAAGAGTGAAATCTTTTTAAAATTTTTATTTTTTTTTTTTATTTGATTTGTTATTTATTTTCATATTTTTCTGTTTTATTTCAGCAGAAAAAAAATTCAATGAATGAGAGGAAATGGAAATATCACAAACAAATTTGACAATTGGCGATAATTCTGTGGATTTTTCAAGTATCTCAATAAAAAAGGAAATTCATACAAATGATCAACAATTAGATCGTTACAGTTCAGTGAAAATAAGAAAAACATTAAATAACGAATGTCTGGAGGAAACGGAAACATGTCCAAGAATTTTGCAAAATTTCACATTCCTCGATCCAAATCTCAATGCTATTCAACATAATAATGAATCGTCAACAATAAATAATATTCTCACAGATCCACTTTATGTTAATTCAATTAATTCCGCAAGTATAAGTGGAGAAATAACAAAACGTGATACAACTAATGATAATATTGTCACAACAATATCAAATGATTTATTGGAGAGTTTAAATATACATATTAAAAAAGAAACCGGTAGTTCCGATGAAACATATTCGACAGAATGGCTTTGTGATGTTAATGAGGATCCTGGAATAAAATTGAAAATTACAAAAAATATAAAAATTGAAAAAATCGACGACGACGACGACGACAACGACGATAATTCGGCAAATGATACTGATAATTTTGATGAGAAAACAATAAATGAACAACCAAAGAGAAAAATATGTTCAATTTCATTGTCCGATTGTCGTGAGAGATTGAGAAAAAAAGCTGAACGTATGCGCGAGAGACGAAAGAAACTCTACGAGACAGAATCGCCTAACGAGAGAATTGAACGTCTTGCCAAGGAGGCAGCAAAAAGACGTGAAATGAGAATGTATTATGAGACGCCCGATCAAAAGAGAAAACGTCTTGATGTTGAGGCAGCGCGTAAACGTGAATACAGAATGTACAATGAAACACCAGACGTGAGACGAAGTCGATTGGATCGCGAGGCCGAACGAAGAAGATTAAAACGATTGAATTTATATGCGAATGAATCGCCAGAAAAGAGACGCGAGAGATTAAATAAAGAATCAGCGAAAAGACGTGAGGCACGATTAAATCAGTACGCAAAAGAAAGTGTTGACGAAAGAAAAGAAAGATTAAAACGTGATGCATTACGTGCAAGAGAAATGAGATTTACAAGATCGGCAATTGAAAGTGAAGATGAGCGACGTGATCGTTTAATAAAGGATGCAATGCGTAAAAAGGAATTACGTATGCTTAGTCGCGAAACGGATAATAATTACACGGAATTACAGACTGTTAGAAGTTTCGACGATTTAAATGATTCACAGGTAAAAAATGAATTTGAAAGTCAATTTAGTGGACATTACATGAGTAATTGGATGGTGTGGTTTCAAAATACTTTAACACAACAAGTTCAATCCTCGGATGAGAGTATTGATCCACAGTCAAGTAAATAAATAGTATTTTTTATTTATTAAAATTCAATACAATTGTGAATATTTTCCGAAAATTCTTACTGTCATCAAATTTTTCTTTGCACCGAAATATATTTAATTTTGATAATATTAATTACGGTTTAAATTTGCACTTTGAAAGAAAAGCGATGATTATTTTCATAAAGTTCATTTAGTTTTGTATTTCCAGTAAATTGAATTTTATTAGAATTTTTACAACAAGAAATATTTATTTAATCAAATTAATTTATTGATTCATAAATAATAGATGAAAAAAACAAATTAAATTAAAGAAAAACCTTCGTTATTACATTTGTAATGGTTTCAGTTAAAAAAAATTTATTTTCGAGATTTTGTCATTTTAAACGCAAATTTGACATTTCTCTTTTTTTTCACCAGCGATTTAGTAAAATTAAATACGTTGGTAAAATTCACGTTTACGATCAACGATTTAGAAAAAAAAATTATCTTTCTGTGTAAATTATAATTTTTTTTTTTAATTTTTGTAATGCTTCCTGAAAAATTTTTAAAAGATAAAATTTTTTTTTTAATGTTGGTAGAAACTTAAATAAAAATTCAATTTAGTAGAAAGTATTAAAGAAAAATATATAATTACTTCTCAATACAAATATTGATAATTAAATTTAAATTATATGATACCGTATAAAATTCAAAAATTTTGGTAAATAATATTTCAACTCTATAAATTTTTAATTCACTGGAAAGAATTAATGAATTTTTTGAAATATTTTATGCTTTTAAATCAAACAAAAATTTGAGAAATATTCACGCCCGCAAAAGTGATGATAAATTTTGATATTTAGAGGGTAAAAATTATTGAAAATTTAAATATTTATGAATTTTCTAATTCTAGATTTTTTTTTTATATATTTGTATAAGTATTAACAATTTTTTTTTTGTTTATATTGTTTATTTAACAAATTTTATTTTCATCAATACTGGCTATGGTGAATTAAAAAATTTACCAGTGTGATCAACATCTGTAAATTACTTTTTACAACAATAATGTGAAGAATTTTTTCAAGGGTATTAAAATTACACATAATCTTTAATTTTTTTTTTTTTTTTTTTTTTTTATAGGGCACAAACGAAGTGAGACGAAGGTTGAGAGAAAAAAGGCTTTTGCAAAATATGAAAATGAAATGATCATATATATATATATATATATATATAATATATATTTCTTTAATAATTGACAAATTTATGTGTCTAACAGTAAAATAATTAGAAAAATTGAAAGTACAGAAAGTGTCCAAAATTTTCCAAAAAAATTTTGTAAAATTAATTTTTTTTTTTTTCATTTTTAATTATTATTTTTTGTTAATTATAATTATTTATATATTATTTATTATTACGTGATTAATAATATCAATAATTCAACAATTATAATATATTTCAGAGGAAATTTTTTTGGAAAATCTTGTCTTGCACGCAATGATAAAAATTTAGTTGAAAAAATTAATATTTAAGAAAATTATTATTAATATAGAGTTAATATTATAATTAAAAATTTTTTTTTACCGTTATTTCATTAACTCTAAAAACGTTGATTATTTTTATTTCTTTTTTTTATGAAAAAAAAAGTTTAGTGCAAAGAATATGAGCATATAAAAAATTACATTATTTTCATTTAGAAAATACTATTTAATTATAATGAATTTATTTTTTTGTTACATATTAACAAAAGCAATTAAAATATATAGGAATTTCTATAAATTAGACATAAATACGTTATCGTAATTTTCTATTCAATAAATATATAGGACTAATGAGAAAAATATTTCACTTGTAATTAATTGAAGAAGATTACAAAGTAATGTAGATTATTTATAAATTATATATATAGTTAAATTATTATTTTTCATTTATTTTGTATTTGTTTTTAAAACACTGTAATTCTTCAATGATAATATATATGTTAAATAAATAAATTTTCAAACTAAACTTGGTTTTTTTTTTTAAATTTCATTTTTGTGTATGAAATAATAATTTTTGACGAATTTTCAAAAATTTATTACATTTTAGACTAATAATTAATAATCTAATCACTATATATGTGTAAAATATTAGAAAATATATTTCAATTATAAAAAAGTTTAAAAAGTAAATTTAAAAAATTGCAATTTTTTAAAATTTCTGCCACCAGAAAGCGCCACTTATTTCCGATTTCCTGTTATCAACTTTTGACATTTCGATCATATGTTCATATGATTTTAAAACGGTTGTACAATTGTTGTTTTCTTTTTATTAAAACAAAAAAAAAGTGTTATTTACCAACTACAAAACTGTAAAAAGTGTATTTAAAGAATATTTATCAACGTGACTAAATAACAATGGGATCAGATCATACAAGTAGACGATGGAGTCATTTGCAAAAAGTTTTAGAGCGATCTGGACCATTTTGCCGGCCTGATTTTGAGCCTTCTTCAGAAACTCTTCCTTTTTTAATGGAAAGTTGTAAAGTATTGATTGTTGGAGCTGGAGGACTTGGTTGTGAATTATTAAAAAATTTAGCTTTAATGGGCTTTCGACAAATTCATGTCATTGATATGGATACAATAGATCTTTCTAACCTCAACAGGTATGATGTTATATTTTTTTCGATCACATTTATTTAAAAAATTCCCAAAAATATTATTTAACGTTTTGTCATCTCAAAAAAAAGGATAAATATAATTTCTCTTACTATTTTAGTACATTATTTTATATTTCCCCTTTCTAATAAACAAAATAAAAGAACAAATTTTCTAACCTCAAAATGTTTTTTTTTTATAATTTATTTTTCTTTTGTACTCAGTGTTCAATTCAAATATTATTGACTAAAATAAAAATCAAAATTTTAATTTATTTACAATGTTTATGATCAACAATTTTTAAAGAATAATTATTTATAATAATTTTAATTTAATTTTTAAATAATTAAAATATGAATTTTCGTCTTGGAGGATATTTGCAATTTTTATAGATTAAAAAATTATAAAAAAAACATATTTTTAGATAGTCTAATAAATTTTATAATTTTTCGTCTTACAACAAAAAATTTATTTCCTGATCGTTGATAAATTTATTAAAATATAAAAATGTTATTTTTGTGTTTTAAAAAAAAGTTTGTTGTTCCTTTTTTTTCCAAATATAGGCAATTTTTATTTCGTCACAAAGATTTGGGCTCGTCAAAGGCCGAGATTGCCGCACGTTTTGTAAATGAACGTGTTAACGGTTGCAATATTGTACCACATTTTTGTAAAATCCAGGACAAAGACGATTCATTTTATCGGCAGTTTCACATTGTTGTTTGTGGTTTAGATTCAATTGTTGCGAGACGTTGGATTAATGGCATGTTAATTTCACTATTAGTTTACAATGAAGGTGAACTCGATCAAAGTAGCGTTATTCCTTTGGTCGATGGTGGCACCGAGGGTTTTAAAGGAAATGCTCGTGTGATATTGCCAGGAATTACCGCATGCATTGAATGTACTTTGGATCTTTATCCACCTCAAGTAAATATCATATTAAATGTGTTTTTCTATTTTCTTTTTACAATATTTTGTAACTAATGAATAAGCTTCAAAAATTAATTTATTCCAATTTTCATTTTACAGAATTTAATTACCTATAAAATTTAATTTTAGTTAAATTTTGATTTTTTAATTAAATTTTTTAAAATTAATTTTCAAAATTATAATATAGGGTCAACCGGGGTAAATCCGAACGCTTTTAGTAAGTTTCAACAATAACATAAGTTTTTTCTTTAAAAAAAAAATACTTCCGGTATTCTGGTGCATGAAGTTGTTACTTTACTTCCATAGAACAATTTTATGGGGTAGCAAAAATTTTTGATAAATTACAATCGCAGGAAACTTAGCGTTCGTATTTACCTCGATACTTTGCAACTTTCCTAAAATACCGGGGTAAATACGAACGCCACTGTATTTCAGAAAAATCTTAGGGAAAATAAATTTAAAGTATTGCAATTGTTAAACTTATATAAAAACTCAAAAAAAAAATACGATAATAAACCTATTATGTAATAATGCATCATATATAAATACAAAAATCAAACAGGTTAAAAATTAAAATGCATTACACAATTAAAACCTTCAATAACTTTATCAAATCATAACGGATTTTTGCAAAACTTGGTACAGAAAGTATTTTGGAGTGATTGAATGTAAATACAAAAATAAAAGTCAAATTTTTCAAATTCAAAATGGCGGACTTTCCTAAAACTTATTTTTAAAAATGATCAAAAATTCGTAATCAGCGACCCTGAAACCCCCCGAGTAACAATTTTCGAGCGAATCCAATGAATTTTTTAATTCTCGTCCGCCATTTTGAATTTTGAAAAACTGACTTCAAATTGGTAATTAGCGACCCCAAAAATCGTAGAATACCAAATTTTATTAAGATCCTGAAAAACTTTTTTCAACAAACCATTTGGCAAAAAAATTGAAACACTCCTTCGAGAGAACAGAGATTAAGTTTCTGCTTATTAATTACTAACGAGGATACGTATAGAAAGAAAAACTTTTTTCTATGTACTTTTATAATGTTAAAATAATAGTGTAATGAAATAAAAACAATTTTGTGTGGCTCTGATGTAAAAAAAAATTATTCAAAATACCGTTCGGATTTACCCCGGTTTTCCAATTTTCCTGGGTAAATACGAACGGTCTGATATTATTAATAAAATTTTACAGAAGGCAAAAATCAAAAATAGTTTCTGTTCTAGTATTCATAACAAACAATTATAAATAATAAAATGAATTTTTAGCTTCTTTTTCTTCAAATACGAGACAAAATACTGAAAGAGTGTCATCTATGATTTTCAATCTTTTTTGCAATACTTGTTATCTTTATTTATGCTAAAATTTATGTAAAATTTCTCATATCGAACTTATTTTTAAAAATTTTAATTAAGCTGAAATAATTAGCGTTCGGATTTACCCCGGCTGACCCTAATTTAAAAAATTAAAAGACAAAAATTTTTTTAATTAATAATTTTTTAAATAAAACTCGAAATTTTGGAATAATTAACATTTGATACTTATCTTATAAATTTTTATTATTTTTTATTAATGATTTTTTTTAAAAATAATTTAACAGAATTTTTTCATTTAACCGAAATTCTATTTTACAGAATTTTTAATTAAACAAATTTTCATTTTAGAAACTTTTTATTTCATCGAATTTAAATTTAACAGAATTATTATTTGCTCGAATTTTTCATTAGACAGAATAGTCATTTAAAAGAATTTTTTTTTTTTTTTATAGAAAGAATTATTGTCTAGCCGAATTTTTATTTGACTTTTAATTCATAAAACGCTCAATTTTTATTTTACGGTACGACTTTTTCGACTATTTCTGATTTTTTTTCAAAAATACGACTTATTTTAATAAAATGCGACTTTTTCGACTTTTTTTTACATTTTTTTTTTTACAAAATATTTAATGAATTGCGTCTTCTTTTAGTATACAATGCAGATCTTTTTTATTTCAATTATTTAACAAATTTTTAACTAACATTCATCACGAAATTAATTATTTTTAAAAATTTTGAAGAAATTCATCACAAATTCAATTATTTTAAACTGTTTGTCGAATAAAAAAAATTTATAAAATTCAATAATTGTTTGAAATTTAAAAAAAACTCAGCAATGATAATTATCAAAAATTTTTAATTCAAAATCACTTGCAAAAATTTCAATTAATTTTAATGATTTTTATAATATTCGTCGAAAATTTAATTATCTGAAAACATTTTGCAATTAATAGTATATTATGTGGCAAGCACGTAAAGTAGTACTTTTTAGGTGAGGATGTATTTTTCAGTACGAGCTGTCGTTAGTGCGACGTAGGTGAGACGAAGGCGAGCCAAGTCGAACCGAAGTCGCACAGACAGCGAGTATTGAAATCATCCGAACCTAAAAATTGCTACGTGCGAGCCACATACGCTATTTTTTTCGCCATTGTTATGAAAAAGTTATAATATATATAATATATAATATTTGGGTAGAATGACAAAAGGGGTCAAGCGGCAATTCACTGTTTTTACAGGAAGTAAAAAAAACATTTTTAAAAATTTTGCAGGTCATTTAAAAAAAACTGAGAAAACCGTTTCGATATATTAGTATGTTTTAATAAATAAACAACAATTTGTTGAAATAATCCCTACATATTAACGACAAAATTAAAAAAAACTGTGGTGCCTTGAGGTTATATCAACTGCGCACATTTTCTTTAAGCATTAATTATAAAAAAAATATACAGTTTAAAGAAAAACTGTAAAATTAGTTTCATTCTATGGAATCGACGAAATGAATAGAAAAAAAAATTCCTTTAAAAAATTGTTTGTTTTCAAAAAAATTACGAATTAATTGCTTGCTTTGGAATTGAGCAATACTTTCATCTTTAAATTCAATTGTTTACTTAGTATAATCATAAAAATATTTAAAAATTAATAACAAAATGATTTTAAAATTGTTTAAAATTGAAAATATATATTATTATTATTATTATTATTAATTTTATTAATTAAAATATTATTAAAATTAAATTAAAATAAAATATTAAAATAAAACTTAAAAAAATATTATTTTTGATCAAAATTGAACAGATGGATAAAAATGTGAAGAATGAAATTCATAAAAACATTTCACCTTCATATCGATGAGACAAAAGTTTTGAACGTTCAAATGAACGAAACTTTTTTTGCAACTTCTTTAAGTACTAATTTTATTACAAAATATTTGTTTTAATTATCTAAAAAGAAGTTATTAATTTAATAATTGTTTAATTTATTGTTTTATTTTACATTGTCCTCATAATTTTTAATAATTTATAGATTGAAAAAATATTTCGCAATATTTTTAAATTTGTTAAGTTATGTATAATATTATTGACTCACCACTTTCTTTTGTTTTTCAATCAGGTTGCAATAAAGTAAACTTGAGGCTATTTTATTAATTTAATTTTTATTAAAAACTGATTTAAATACGCAATAAAAAAGGAAATCCTTCTACAGAAATGTGTAAATGAATTTTCTGTAGAAGGATTTCCTTTTTTATTGCGTATTTAAATCAGTTTTTAATAAAAATTAAATTAATAAAATAGCCTCAAATTTACTTTATTGCAACCTGATTGAAAAACAAAAGAAAGTGGTGAGTCAATAATATTATGCATAACTTAACAAATTTAAAAACATTGCTTTTTACAAATCGAAAATGCCTTGCAGATGCGGAAAAAAATCTATTAATAAAAAAGATATTGTTAAAAAGAAACGATATGAAGGTGAAATGTTTTTATGAATTTCATTCTTCACATTTTTATCCATCTGTTCAATTTTGATCAAACATATTATTTTTTTAGGTTTTATTTTAATATTTTATTTTAATTTAATTTTAATAATATTTTAATTAATAAAATTAATAATAATAATAATAATAATATATTTTATAAATATAATTTATAAATATTTTTATGATTATACTAAGTGAACAATTGAATTTAAAGATGAAAGTATTGCTCAATTCCAAAGCAAGCAATTAATTCGTAATTTTCTTGAAAACAAACAATTTTTTAAAGGAATTTTTTTTTCATTAATTTCAAAAATTTCAATTTTAAATCTTTCAAAATTAAATTACTTTTAAAAAATTGTATCTAAAATTAGTTGATAAATTATTTTCAATTCTGTAAAATTTAATTATTGTCTGAAAATTAACAAAATTATTTGAAATACAATTATTTCTAAAAATTTCAACTTTAACTATTTTAAAATTATTATTATTTAAAAAAAAAATTTTTATTTAAAAATCTATAAAACTTTTTTTTAAATAAAAAAAATGGACTTTTTCGACTTTTTTTGAAATATAAATCGACTAAAACGACTTTTTTTGTGCTTTTAAGTTGATCCGAGGTCTGTAAAATAAAAATTCAACGTTTTAAGAATTCAATGAAAATGAAAATTCATCTAGAAAAGAATTCTTTCAAATGTTCTTTAACTGTAAAATAAAAATTCTATTAAATGACTTTTCTGTTTATAATGAAAATTCGAGCAAATAAATGAGCTAAAAGTTTTTAACGTTCATATGAACGAAATTTGTTTTGCTACTTCTTTAAGTACGAATTTTATTACAAAATATTGTTTAAAATATCAAAAAAGAAGTTATTAATTTAATAATTGTCTAATTTACTTTTTTATTTTACATGGTCAGCATAATTTTTTAATAATTTATAGATTGAAAAAAATATTTCGTTCATATGAACGTTCAGAACTTTCAGCTCATGCAAATAATAATTTTGATAAATTCAAATTCGATGAAATAATAAGTCTGTAAAATGTAAATTCAATTAAGTAACATTTCTGTAATATAGAAATTCAGTTTAACTGAATTTCTGTTTAATAATAATTCAAAGAAATAAAAATTCATTTTAATGTAAATTCTAGGTAATGAAATTTTGTCAAATAAAAATAATTGGTAACAAATTAATTTTAGACAAAAACAATTAATTGAATTTTTTATCATGAAATTTGTATGTTAAGGGGAGGGACCGGTTTTTTTTCACTATTCTGAATAACCAATCGTATGAATTTTGAAAAATTTCAAATTTTTTCAAAAGAATGAAATTTTTGAAAAATAGGAATAAATTGTAAACTAGTTAAAAATTACTTTTTTTAATTTTTCATATTGGAATATAATTTCAGGTTCTGAAAAAATATAAAAAAATAAAATTGTTAACTCTTAAGCAATGTCAATTTTTATTAGTCTAAATTTTGATAGATTGAAATTTCACTGGTTCCTCACTTTAATATTCAATAAGAGAAAGTTGAAAAATCTTTTTAAAACATTTTGAAAAAACTTAAAAATTTATTTAATTAGAAATTGTAAAATTTGTTTTCTTAAGGTCACATATCCATTGTGTACAATTGCAAATACTCCACGATTGCCGGAACATTGTATAGAATATGTCAAAGTTGTTTTATGGTCAAAGGAAAATCCCTTTGAGTGCGTCATTGACGGTGATGATCCACAGCATATAAATTGGATTTATGAAAAATCAACTGAGAGAGCAACTCAATTTGGTATTCGTGGATTAACATATAGACTCGTTCAGGGAGTTGTTAAAAATATTATTCCTGCAGTTGCTTCGACAAATGCATCAATTGCCGCGACTTGCGCCACTGAAGTTTTTAAACTTGCCACTAGTTGCAGTGCTTCTATAAATAATTATATTGTAAATATACACATTTTTATCTATTAACGTATATCATTTATTTTAGTTAAAATTAAAAAAATATATATATATCAAATTAACAGGTTTTGAATAATATCGACGGAATTTATACATACACATATGAGGCGGAGAGAAAAAATGATTGTGTCGCCTGCAGTCAAATACCACGTGAAATCGAAGTAAAAACACCAAAAACAAAATTAAAAGAATTAATTGAAATTCTATGCGAACGTGCCGATTTACAAATGAAAAATCCCGGCATAATGGCAATGATTAATGGAAAAAATAAAACTCTCTATATGCAAACAGTTGCAAGTATCGAGGAGAAGACACGAGAAAATTTATCAAAAACCCTAAATGAATTGGGTTTAAATGAAGGCGATGAAATATATGTAGCCGATGTTACAACTCCCAATACAGTTGTTTTTAAATTAAAATTTTTCACCACCGACATTGAAATGACCTAGCGATTAATAATTTATCATTAAGATTTTGTAAAAAAAAAGAAAAAGAATTACAATTAAGTTTTAAGATTAAAATTTACATTAATGATGATAATAATAGTATTTAAATATAATGGTAAAATTAATAATTTAAATATTAATAACCTAATATTGTGTAAAAAGTAATTTAAAAAAAAAATTAAATAAAATTAATATTTAAATATGAGGCAAAATTTCTGAAGTAATCCTCTAATGTTCATTTTTTCAAAAATGTCGAAAACTTTTATTTATATAAAATAATGTTACGAATAACAATAAAAATAAAAGAGAACGTGAATATTTTAAGAAGCGTTTAATTAAATTACATGAATTATTAAATAATTTCATTATATTTATTGGGAAATTTGTTTAATAAGTAAAAATTGCAATTGGAATTTTTTTTTTAAGTACTAAGACTTGAAATTAAGAAAACAATTTCACATCTCTCTGTTCTTTTATGAGAATAGTGAAAGATGTAAAAAATATTTTTAAATCTAATATTTCAGAAACCAAGCAAAATATCTTCGATAAATTTTAATAGCCAATAAATTATGTTAATAAAAAAATATCTCACAAAATCTCCAATTTTTTTTTTGATTATCCTGAAAAAAGTTTGCAACCTTCAAAAGATTGCCCGGAAATTTTTTATATTCTATATTATTAACTGATAATAAAATGTTTTTTCAATTTACCATGTCTCTGTTAGAGTTTCTTCGAAAGTCATTATTACTTTAAAAAACAATTCTAATTGTAATGTGATATTAATTTTGACATTTATGTTGTGTTCAGAGTTTCGTTAATGCAAAACGTGATTTTTGTCACTTACGTGACTATATAAATAAATGAAATAAGTATTTACAAAAATAAATACTTATTTCACTTGTATTAAAATTATTTCAAATAAAATAATAAATAATAATAATAATAATAAATAAATAAATAATAAATAATTTCAAATTAAAATATTTTATATTTTAATATAATCATTTTTTATTTCTCCAACTTTTTGAATGTTCGACACTATAAATTCGATTTTTGAAAGTATCTTCCTAACAGTCTAAATTTAACTGTCGCTTAGAATACTTGACAAAGAAAAATCATTTTGCAAACATTTAATTAGTGACAACAATTGTATTTCAACATTTACAAGTCTTCATCAATATGTCTCCAATCTTTACTCTTTCATTACTTTTGGCCATTGCTGCAGTTCGTAAGTATTTTTTGTTACACTATGATTATTTTTATATTCATAAAAAATTGTTAAATTTTTTTTTTAATATGTATATAATACAATTTTTTTTCATTAAATAATTTATTAAACTATCTTTTGCTGATAAATAAATTTTCTTTGAAATATCGTTTCTATCTATTAGTAGAAGAAGAAATAATTTAAATAATTATAAGTGAGAAATGTAAAAGAAAAAAATATTTTGTTTTTTTTAAATTGTATAGATATTTAAAATGAAATTTAATTTTAATTATAGATTCCAGTAAGTACAATTGTGGACCCAATGCAATTTTTAAAGAGTGTGGATATTCAAGTGATTGTCACAGAACATGTGACAAGTTAGATAATTCGATGTGTATCAATGACATGGTAAATTCTTTAAATATAAAAATAATCATTATTGAACAGTAATTAAATATAATTAAATTTCCATTTTTCAAATTTCAGTCCTCTTTTGGACTACGGGCATGTATTTCAGAAAATAAATAAACTCAATTTCAATTTCTATAGCAATACTAAAATACATTGTACTTTAATGAATTTAATTATTTTTTTTTTAATTATGTTTAAATCTCACATTTGATTTTATTTACAGATGTGTCATGTTACCTGTGAATGCATAGAAGGATATGTAAGGGACCTTGAGTCCAACAGATGTGTTTTACCTCATCAATGCCCATATGGTAAATTACAAAATATAACTAAAAAACATAATAAATATAAATAATTACACAGCCACACAAAAAAAAATTTTGGTCTGAGGGTCTGACTATGCCTACTGTATGTTTTTTTGGTCGCTAAATCCGAATTCTAGGTCCGTTTTACCCCATCAGATCAGGATTTTGAGATAACCTCAAAAACCCAATATGGCGGACACTTTTTCGAAAAATTCATCGGATTTGTCTGAAACTCTTTATTTGGGGGTTTTTCGAAAAATGCCGTCATGGCAGATACACTTGAGGAATTTGTTAAGATGCCATCTTAAATTTTTGAAAACTGACTTCAAATTCGTAATCAGCGACTCCGAAAACACCCGAGTAACGAGTTTCAGGCGATTCCGATGAATTTTTCGAAAAAGTGTCCGCCATATTGGTTTTTTGAGATTATCTCAAAATCCTGATCTGATGGGGTAAAACGGACCTCGAATTCGTATTCAGCGACCCAAAAAACATAAAGTAGGCATAGTCAGACCCCCAGATCAAAACTTTTTTTTTTGTGGCTGTATAGATATTTAAAATGAAATTTAATTTTAATTACAGTACCCCAACAGCCAATCCATCAATATCAATGTGGACCCAATGCAATTTTTAATAAGTGTGGACATTCAAGTGCTTGTCACAAAACATGTCTCAATATGAATAATAATCGGATATGTGTGAGTGACAAGGTAAATTCTTTAAATATAAAAAAAATCAATATTGAACAGTAATTCAATATACACTGGAGTCTCCCAAGAGAGGACTTCTGAAGAGAGGACTAAGTAGTGACGCGGCGCGGTAAGGAGTGAGAGGGGAAGAGATGGGCGGGATCAGAAAGAGGAACGTGAACTCAGGAGCGTTTGTTTTTAGTGTACCTTTCTCGCGTAGTGTTTTACATACGTAACAGAATGTATTCTGTTAAAAAAAACACATCTCTGTGATACGATATACGGCCCTGGAGTGTTTACAATTTTCGGCGTCAAGGACGAATTCCGTAGAGAGGTCCAAGACTCTTTCTGTCCTCTCTTCGGAGACTCTAGTGTAATTAAATTTCCATTTTTCAAATTTCAGTCCTCTTTTGGACTACGGGGATGTATTTCAATAAATAAATAAATTCAATTTCAATTTCTTGCAATACTAAAATATATTGTACTTTAATGGATTTAATTTTTTTTTTTTTGAAAATTATGTTTAAACTTTACATTTGATTTTATTTACAGATGTGTCATCCTGGCTGTGAATGCATAGCAGGATATGTAAGGGACCTTGAGTCCGACAGATGTGTTTTACCTCATCAATGCCCAAGAACAGGTAAATTACAAAATATAAGTAAAAAACATAATAAATATAAATAATTACTTATTTGCATCTAAAAAAAAAAAATTTCCTTTCTTTTAATTGTATAAATATTTAAAATAAAATTCAATTTTAATTACAGTACCCCAACAGCCAAATTGTGGACCCAATGCAATTTTTGTAGAGTGTGGATATTCAAGTGATTGTCACAGAACATGTGACAAGTTAGATAATTCGATGTGTATCAATGACATGGTAAATTCTTTAAATATAAAAATAATCATTATTGAACAGTAATTAAATATAATTAAATTTCCATTTTTCAAATTTCAGTCCTCTTTTGGACTACGGGGATGTATTTCAAAAAATAAATAAATTTCATTTCATTTTCTTGCAATACTAAAATACATTGTACTTTAATGGATTTAATTTTTTTTTTTTTTTTTTTTTTTTTTTTTTTGAAAATTATGTTTAAACCTTACATTTGAATTTAATTACAGGCATGTCATCGTGGCTGTGTATGCCTAGAAGGATATGTAAGGGACCTTGAGTACAATATATGTATTTTACCTCATCAATGCCCAAGATATGGTAAATTACAAAATATAAGTAAAAAACATAATAAATATAAATAATTACACAGTCACACAAAAAAAAAATTTTGATCTGAGGGTCTGACTATGCCTACTGAATGTTTTTTGGGTCGCTGAATCCGAATTCTAGGTCCGTTTTACCCCATCAGATCAGGATTTTGAGATAACCTCAAAAACCCAATATGGCGGACACTTTTTCGAAAAATTCATCGGATTTGTCTGAAACTCTTTATTTGGGGGTTTTTCGAAAAATGCCGTCATGGCAGATACACTTGAGGAATTTGTTAAGATGCCATCTTAAATTTTTGAAAACTGACTTCAAATTCGTAATCAGCGACTCCGAAAACACCCGAGTAACGAGTTTCAGGCGATTCCGATGAATTTTTCGAAAAAGTGTCCGCCATATTGGTTTTTTGAGATTATCTCAAAATCCTGATCTGATGGGGTAAAACGGACCTCGAATTCGGATTCAGCGACCAAAAAAACATAAAGTAGGCATAGTCAGATCCCCAGATCAAAACTTTTTTTTTGTGTGGCTTTATAGATATTTATAAAATGAAATTTAATTTTAATTACAGTACCCCAAGAGCAAGCTTAAGAGCCAAACAATTATCAATATCCATATTATATAATATAAAAATAATCATTATTAAACAGTAATTAAATATAATTAAATTTCCATTTTTCAGGTTTCAATCCTTTTTTGGACTACAATAAATAAATAAATTCAATTTCAATTTCTTGCAATACTAAAATAAAAATACATTGTATTTTACCTCAGCAATGCTTAAGAAGAAGATATCCAATATATTATGCTGAAATAATCGCAGTTAAAAAAATTATGTAGGAAATAGTAAAGAAGGTAGTAAGTAGTAGTAAGTAGTTTTAATAATAAAATTTTTAACAAAATGCATAGAATGTTTAATTTTTAACTCGCCACCTCACCCCACCAATACACATTTCAAAAAAACGTAAATATGTTCATGAAAACTTAATAAATTGCTAAAATCAAATGATATTCGTTTTTAGCAATGAATTCCACGTCAGATTATACTCACAATAAAGTATTTTCAAAAAAAAAAATTTCGAAGAAATTATAATTGAAATAATGATAAATTTCCCTATTTGATAGATAAGTTTAAAAATAAATTTTCACCTAATGTTTTTGATCTTTTTACACAATAATCAATTAATATAAACAATAAATAAATAAATAAATAAGTGAGGCAAAATTTCTGAAGTGATCAATAATAAATTTTTTTTTATATAAATAAATAAAGATATATAAATAAAAAACACATTTAAATATCTACTTTGTATAAATTTTATTTTTGATACCTTCACTCAATGTGTTAAGGGGGGGAGGGCAGGGCCATTTTTTGCAATTTTTTCGAAAAAAACCGATTTCTTTCCTTTCTAGCTCGTAGCCATCAAATCCAATCTGTCTCGCTATATTTTTCCTGTAATCTACACGTGAAAATACGTATGTGTACTAAATTGCAGTTTGCAGTCTATTTCAATGTATTTCTTCCCGCTGAATTCGAATCCGAATCCGAAATCAGAATTGTCAAATTAGTTTTTATTTTTGAAATAAACTCAAAAAACTGATCAGGAAGAAAAATAAAATCAAAAAAGTTGAATTTGAATGTCACTGCGATAGTGTAATTTCATGTATTTTTTGCCGCTGAATCCGAATCAAAAGTCAGAATTTGTTAGATTCGCTCAAATTTTTGAGATAATTGCAAAAAAAACTCAAAATCAGTTTTTTGGAATTATCTTCAAAAATTGAGCCAATTTGATAATTCTGATTTCGAATTAGGATTCAGCGTGAAAAAATACATGAAAATGCAGTATCGTTGTGTTTCGGGAAAAAAAAATTTCTTTGAGCTAATCGACAAAAACTGATAAAAATCCTGAATTAAGGGCACAGATAATTTTTTTTGCCGAAACACTACGTCAGTTTATTTCTTTGTATTTTTTCCTGCTGAATCCGAATACGAAGTCAGAATTGTCAGATTGGCTCAAATTCCAAAAAACTGATTTAAAATTTTTTGAGTTTTTTGCAATTATCTCAAAACTTTGAGCGAATCTAACAATTCTGACTTTGGATTCGGATTCAGTGGTAAAAAATACATTGAATTACACTATCGCAGTGACATTCAAAATTTTTTTAACTTTTTGATTTTATTTTTCTTTCTGAGCAGTTTTTTGAGTTTATCTCAAAAATAAAAATCAATCTGGCAATTCTCACTTCGGATTTGGATTCAGCGGAAAAAAATACATGGAAATAGACTAGTGAAGTGTCTCGGCCAAACCACTTTTTACTTTTTGTGTGCCTGTGTTATTATTAATTTTTATCAAAAACTGTAGAAGGGGGGGAGGATTAAAATTTTAGTGAAATATGAACAGTGGATTTTTTAAAAAATCATAACTATTGTATAACAGAGTGAAAAAAAATTTGATCGTTTTTTAATTAATTTATTTACATTAATTAATATTTCGAAAACAAAAAAAAATTTATTTAATTTGTTTATTAAAAGCATATATTTAAAGCTTCATATTAAGGGGTAAAAAAAAGAAATAAAAATTGTCCTTTATTAAAAAACAGTGAAAAATATTTTTGATTTTCAAAAAAAGGGGTAAATTTTGAATATTTAAAAAAAAATTTTGCACCATTCGAAAGAGTAGGAAAAAATCTTTCGAAATCATATAGGTCAACATTTTTTTCATCCCTTTTATACAATAGTTATGATTTTTCAAAAAATGCAATGCTCACATTTTGGCAATTGGATCACTTCAGGAATTTCGCCCCAAATGTAAAATGGACTGAGAAAAATGAATAGACTCCTGGTGAGATATTGTTCTATATTTCTGTATTTTTTTCATCCTCGCTCCAATCAGAGATCATGGACCGCAGCAAACGCATTATCGATGAGTGATACATAATAAAATGCACGTTTTACTGTAATTAATTAATTAATTGAAACGAATTTTATAATTTCACTTTTTTTTTTTTTTTTTTTTTTGTTTTCTTCACATTCCTATAAGTGTACTGGACAGCGTGTCAAGTGTTACGCAGTAAAACGTCCTCAAAAATTTCAAAAGGACCGTCGAATTATTTTCACAGACATTTCTTTTTTTTATCATCAAATTTTTCTTCTCATGTAACAATTTTTCCAAAAATTTCTTCTAAATTAGATTTTTTTCTACTTCCTCAAAAGAAAGTTTACATTATTCAAAAAGTATTTTTTTTTTGTATTTTCACTAGAATTTCTGTTTGTCTTTTTTTCACCTCTAAAATTTCATTTTATTAGAATTTTACTATTTTTTTAAAAAATTCTATTTATCAAAAATTTATGTTTTTAATTCGATTTGTAAAATCGAAACTTAAATTTATTATGCCACAAAATTCCATTAAAAAACAGAATTTTTACAACAGTATAGGTATTTCTAAATTTTTTCAATGAATTTAGCAATTATTTTTAGCGAATTTTTTTTTTCGCTATACTTTTTTTATTTTCTAATAAATCTGTCCAGCAATTTATTCCCAATAGGAATAAAAACAAAATTACAAAACAAATGACAGAAAGAATATTAAAAGTTTAATTTAAAAATTAGTTAATTCAGTTTTTTTTTTTCTTTTTTCTATAGCTTGCCTCACTTTCCATGGTTATGAATGGAAGCAAAGATGACTTATTTTCTTTTCTTGTTTTTTTTTTGTTTTTATATTTTTTTTTTCGTATATGCAAATGTTTATTACCAAAAATTCTTTAAAAAATCATTCAACGATTTATATCTAAGAAGGAAAGGGAGTTAAGCGAGATTTTATTTTCTCTTTTTAATGTTTTCAAAAACATTTTTCTTTCTAGAAAGTTCGATTGGCTCCTTTCCCCTCAAAAACCCTTCGAAAATTTTTTTTATCTAATCGCATGCAATTTAAAAACAATTTTTTTTTCTAATGCAATAGAAAATTTCATTTGTGTACAAAAAAAAAAAAATTTTTTTTCTCGTAAATATTTATCTTTTGTGCAAAAAAATGTTATTTGCACAAAAAACTTGTTTCTTTTAATCTCTCTAAATTTCTATACAAAAAAAAAGAGAAAATGGCAGATTTTTCCCAACCTGAAGATTTTTTTTTTTAAATAATAAAAAAAAAATAATAATTGTTGCAAATACGAATGAGCGAGAATTTTTTCGAAGGGTACATTTCTAAGGATGAAACGAAAACAATTTTTTATTCAACTCTCAAAAAACGAGTGAATTATCAAATATTAACATACCAAAGCGGAAGGCGGATATTATTAATAATAATAATAATAATAATAATAATTATACCCTTCAAAAAGCACAAAGTGCAAGAAGGATATGTATTTTTCTTTTCTTATTTTTCATCAAAAGTACATTCTTTTCCCGTCAAAATTGATTTCGCTTGGCAGTGGAGTTTTTTTTGTTTCATCTTTAAAATGAAAAAAAGAAAATAATTGAGAAATAATATTCAAGTATGTAAAAAAAAAAATGATGCATAGAAAAAAAGGATTTGATTAAATCGAGTAGAGAGAAAAGACTCAATACTTCTGCGAACACAAGTACACACAATACCAGACACAAGTGGCTTCTTCTTTTTTTTTTTTCAATCGCAGAGATGATCGGAATATTCGCAGATTCGACGGAATATAACTTTCTTATAGGGAAAATCACTTTTTCCATTTTTTTTTTTTCAATTATCCAAAGTGACTTTATTTTCTGAGAAGGAGGAGGGACGAAGAAGGTGCGCGAACTTCCGCGAAGGCATCCTGCATCACTCTCTTATTTCTGCATTGCTTTAGCTAGACAATATTGTGTTAGGCCTTAGCGTCAACTTCCATTGACTCCATTGCATTATTCTCAATCACAGGAGGATTATTGACAGCTTCCCTGCTCTCTCCCACTGCCTTTTCCGCCTTCTTTTTCTTCTTCTTAGCGGATTTTGGATTTGCCGATGATTGCAACAACGACTATACAAAAAAAATCATTCATTCTTTATTAGAAATTAAACTAAATTTTTTTTTTATCTACAATTAAAACTTTTAAATAATTAATTTATAATTAATTCACAATTTTCAAAACTATCAATTAATAAAATATGGAAAACACAATTTTTAGTATATTTGAAATTTGAAGAACTCTTAAAAAAGTTGAAAAACGATTGTAATGTTTCGAGATTCAATTTTGTTTTAAATTTAATATTTAATTTTTTGAAATAATTAAAATACACAATAGATACTTTTTCCAATTTTCACGTCGGTGAAGTTCACAATGTTTATGATCAACGATTGTAAGGAAAAAATATTTTTCTATGCTAAATTATTATTTTTTATTTAAAAAATTTTTTGCAACGTTTCTTGATGAATAATTTTTGAAAAAAAAAAAATTGTAGACAATAAATTAGTTATTATTTTTGAGTGAAAAATATTTTTTTTTTTCAATCGTTGTTCATAAACGTTGTGTGAACTTCACCGACGTCAATTTTCTTATAAACAAAAGAAAAAATTTATTTTGAACATGAATTAAAATTTTTAAATATAATAAACAATAATTAATTTATTTTTTTGAAATTAAAAACAAACCATTTTTTTGTAAACTTAAATATTAATTCATACTTTAATACTAATTACTTTAATTACTAATTAATTCATACTATTTCATACTAATTTAATTCTATTTATAAATTAAATTCTTTTTTAATATCTAAAATTTATATAATTAATTTATTTTGTAAACGATTTTGAAATCGTTTAAAATTGCAAATTTTGCCTTGAAAATTGTAAAAATTAGTTTGAAATTATTTTTTTAAAGAATCAAAACCAACATTGAAAAAAAAAATTTTTCAATTAAACAGTTTTTCAATAAAATTGTAAGCAATTTTATTTGTAACACATTAAATAATTAAAAATTGCATTTGAATAAAAATTAAATATTTCTTATTGAAATTGTTAAATTTTAGGTTTAATAGTTCAAAATATTAAAAATCAATTTGTTTAGAATTTTATTAAGACATATTTAAAGTCATAAAATTGTTATTTACTTTAAAAATCCAAAAATATGGAGTTGAACTCTATTTTTTGTTTGAGGAGTAAGTTTTCAAAAATTGATAAATCCATATTTTGTGTTATTTCAAGAAATTCCAAAAAATTACATTTGTCACATAACCACTTAAATTAATTTTAAAAAAAATAAAATTGTAATAAATTATTTATATAAAAATGTTTTTTGAATTTAAGAAGTTTTGTTTTCAATTAAAGTATACACATTTATAAAAAATATTTTTTAATTCTTTCATGAAAAAAATTTATTTTTAAATAATTATCGAGTCACTTTGAAGGCAAAAAATAACGATAACACATCATTTAAATTGTAAAATTATGTTTCACTCGTAATTTAAGAAAACTGATTTTTTTAAAATTATGAAAATTTGTTCGATAATAAAGTATAATATTAATTTTTAAACGATTTGTTTATCAAGAAAAGTTCAAGGAAACAAAAAAATTACTAAGTTTTCTTACACAAAGGTAAGTAATAACCTTTGTGATAAATAACTGTGAGTGATAAAAACTTGGTCAATGCGCTTACTCATCTCTCATATCCATATATGCAAGATAAGATTTCAAAGTTGTACAATAACGCTTCACAAAAATGTATCAGTCATAATACAATTTATCAGTGTGTATTTTTTTGCAAAAAAAAAAAAAAAAAAAAATGTCTCTCCTTTTAAAACTTATACAAAACAATTAACAATAAAAATAATTTATAATTCATTCAAATTTTGCAATAAAAAAATATTTGTATAATAAAATATTAAAAAATCAAAAAAAAAAAAAAAATAGAAAAATTAAATTTTTATTTATTTTCAAATATAAAAAAATGATAAATACCTTCAATTCGGGATCCTCGACAACGCATTCCGATTGATAACAGTCGAGATCGATTGGAGATCCAGTAATTTTATGGGGTCCATTCGGCATTAAAAGTACTGTAAATTTGAATTGCGCTGCAAATTCGGTCGGCTTCTCATACAAAACCTGATTTTACCACAAAAAAAAAAAAAAAAATTAAATGATTATTAAAAAAAAAAAATTCTTAAAATTCCTTTTTTAAAAAAAGCATGAGAGGAATAAGATAATTAACCTGGAAAGGCTCGATGAGTCTGTGATTGACACATTCAACAACCGCCATTTTTGCCTTCTTTTCATCCTCAAAAGTACGAAGATTAAATGGCATAAGACCATGTTTATGAGTCACTTCTGAATAGAACATGCGAGATGCTTTCAATTTTAATTGATACGTTTCCTCAGTTTTCTTGTAAATAGTCACGCGTGTATCTTGTTCCCGTCCAACGCCATCGCCAGTACTCACCAATACGTCCATAGCATAAACCTAAAAAAACAAAAAATATAAAAATATTTTATTTTAAAAAAATATATATTTATTGATATAAGAATAGAAATACAAAACCGAATAATTGATTTCACAAACAAAAAAATATATTTTAACATAATAAACAAATTACCTCGTGCGTTTCAAGAGTGTATTTTTCGTGTTCCTTTTTTTGCGCGTCATTTGGATTTTGAATAATTGTCTTCTCGCCGTCAATTTTAAACTGCTTCAATTGATGGCTCAACATACCTTCAATGGGTTTACATTTGTAAGCTTCGCAAATTTTTTCCACCGTTCCTGTTATCGTGTACGTCTATATATATATTGAAAAGAGAACAAATAACAATAAATTAAAACTATTCGTACGAATGTTTTCGTTTATTTTGAAAAAAAGGAAATTTAATCGATAAAATAGAATTTTACCTCAGTGCCGGGCTTAAGAAGCCTCAATGCAGCTTGAGAAGCATAATGTGCAGCCAAAATGACGTCAGCTTTTCGTCCAGTGACCTTTTTTTCAGCTGAGGAGCCAATTACGAATGTATGTGCAACTACCGCGATAAAACCATCAATATGTGCTCCAAGATCACTACAATAAAAACGGAGGGAAAAAAAAAAATCATTAACTTTTGACATGGCATAAAAGTTACTTTTTTTCTTAAAAATACGATGAAAAGGTTACGGGAAAGATTTACTGAAAATAGAGGGCAAAAAGGTGATAGTTAAAACCAATTAAATTAATTTTTTATCAACAATTGAAAAATTATTAATTTAAAATTTCCAGGTAAATTTTTTAAACTTAAATCAAGTAAAATTTGAATAAATTGAAATTTGTTAAATTTGAAACTTAAATTAATTAAAATTTGAAGAAATTAAAATATGGATAATTTGAAACTTAAATCAATCAAAAATTTGGATAAATTGAAACACAAATCAATTAAAATTTGAATAAATTGAAATACGGATAATTTGAAACTGAAATCTATTAAAATTTGAATAAATTAAAATTCGGATAATTTGAAACTTAAATAGATTGAAATTTTGTGAATTTTAAATTTCGATAGTTTGAATATGCATTCAATTCAAATTTTAATTACATAATTAATTTGTTTTGATAAAAAAATAGAATTGATTGAAAGTTGGATAATTTGAAATTTAAATTCAAAAAATTAAATTAAAAATTGTATCAATTAAAATTGGTAAAAAAAAAAGAATTTAATTATTTACTTAGTGACAAAAAGATGATAAAAAAAACTGATAGTTAAAACAAATTAACATAATTTTCATTAATGATTGAAGCATTTATAGTTTAAAAAAAATTGTGTAAATTTTGAATTTTCGATAAATTGAAACTTAAATCAATTAAAATTTGAAAAATTTTTTTGAATTAATTGAAATTTATATCACTGGAAATTCAAATAAATTTGAAATTTTGATCGGATTAAAAAATAGAAAACAAAATAAAATTGAATTTAAATTTGCAAAGATACTAATTTAAATAAATTGAATTGATTGAAATTAGAATAAATTGAATTAAGATTGATTACAATATTAATAAAAAAAAAATGCTTCAATTTAAATTTAGATTTATTGAAATTTGGCCTAAATAATTTTTATAATCGATAATAAATTTTCGATAAATTGAAACTTGGATCAATTGAGATATTTATAGAAAATATGAAAATCTATAATTTTGTGTCTTTTAAATAAATATGTATAATTTTAAGAATGTTAAAAAAAAAATTCTTTTTATACTTATAAATTATTTTTTTACATATCGGAGCTTAAATCAATGTTTCTTTTACTGTAAATTCAATTATTTTTGAAATATTACATCCATAAATTAATTAAATTATAAGAAATGGTGAAAAAGATAACAAGTTAGTCGAAACATAAGAAAAATTAAAAAAAAAAATGTGAAAAAGGTAAAAAATTATTAAAATATGTGAAATAGGTAACAAAATTTTCAACAGGTGAAAAGGATAAATAGGTAATATCCTAATCATTGTTTTAATTTTAATTTCTCAAAAAAAAAAAAAAATTGTAAAAAATTAAGAAAATTTTTCCAATGAATGAAAACTTACACTTTAACCATATCCTCCTCTTTGAGAATAAGATCCGGTTCGCTGGCAATTGGAGAAAAATGGCATATACAGTTATTCACCGATATACACGTTGGAAATGCAATTCCCTTCTTTAAATCTTTTTCCTTTTTAAATACTTTACTCGTCTCGTCAAAGAGTAATTTATCGCCATATTCGCAAACTTCTCTCACCGATGCACCAGCTACGCATTTTTCCAAAACTTGCTTCAGAGCACCTGAATTAAAAAGCAAATTAAATTTATCAATTTTTTACTTCTCGACTAGATATAACTATACTTTTTACAATAAGAAACATTAATACAAAAATAACTACTGTGTAATTTTTATAATTTCATTTGTTTCTCATTTTTTTTTCTCCCCCCAATTTAGGTCAAATATTATCTCCATTTATTTGATAATTTTCAGAAAAAAAATACCTAATTTGAAAATTAGTCAATTTTTTTTTTTTACAAAAATTCTTTTCTCAAAAGGAAAAATTGATAAATGTGAATAATTAAAAATCTAGAGGCAAACATAACCAAAAAAAAAAAAAAAATTCTCATACATCTGACGAAAAAAAAAAAATTAGTATAAAAATATAATATTCTATTTTTTCTCTCTTTCTTTCTTTCAATGCGAAAAGATAAAAATTGAAGAGAACTATGCAGAGATGTCCATAAATATATATATATATATATAAAAGGCAAGCCTGCGCACAAAAAAATGTAAAAATCGAAAAAAAACCGGTACAACAATCGACAATAAAGAAAAAAATATTTGTTATAAAATTGCAAAATTCTTATGAATTTTAATGAAATGAATTTTTATCAATAAAATGAAATGAATTTTTAATATATGGAAAAAAGCACGCCAGCCCACATGGTAGGAGGGCCCCGGCATTGGCGGGTTATAAGATCCCATATGGCCACATGGAAAACACAAGGATAATGGAATGATAGATGATCATAAAAGGTTTGTTTTGGATATTTTCACATATCTAGTAAACGATAAGGCGTTTTCTTACGGTTTACAAGCTCGCCGGCCATTTTATACTTGGTGACAACCAAGTCTTCGGCGATGGTCTTCTCATTATCGTCCTTGTCCGCCATTTCTTCAGCACACAACTGAACGCATTTGTGTGTACACCAAAAATCACGTGATCATCATAGATTTTAATTCATTGAAAAACTGTGCAGATAGCGCTGACAAATTTTGCGCGCGTAAAATTAATTTCATGCGCGGGAATAATATATTTATTTTTTTTTTGTTAATCGAAAAAAAATCCATATGGTTTTTAAAATATTATTTATGTACACTTTTTTTTAATAGTTTTATAATTTTGTCGTATAGATAGTTTTTGAAATCTAATGCAGTATAACATAACCTTAAATTTTTTTGGGTGGGATTTAAACATAAAATTTTTTGTTTTACTTTATTTTTTTAATTTAATAATGTACATTAAACTATTTTAAATTTAACTTGAAAAATTTAATTAAAAAAAAAATCTCTTAGAGAATAAACGAAAATTTTCAGTAAAACAGCTATAATTTATTATAACAGGAAATAAATAGTCTACAAAATACATTATTCGACGAAAAATCAATTATTACGTTCATTGTGTTTTACTAGTTTCAGAGGCATTTTTTTCATTGGAAATAACATCTTTTATTGCTGGCATTTCTAAAATAGAATTAATTCCATTTTTCGTGTGACTAGGTAATTGTGCGAGAAATTTCATGCTGATCATTACGCCTTTATTCCAAGAATTTCTCATTTTATCTGATATATCAGTTGTTTTTGGTAAATCTGGAAGCTATAAATAAAAAAAAAAAAATTACAAAAATCATTTACAAAAAAAACAAAAATTCTTTTTAAAAAAAAATGAAAATTTATGAACTGTAAACATAAACAATGTCAATTTTTTTTTACCTCGTTAATTATTTCCTTTGGCACATTTTCTTTTACAAGTGGTGCAATTTTATTGTAAATTTTTCCATAAAGTTTTACACTTTCTTCCTGATTTGACCAAACACCCTCGCGAATTGTAAAATAAAGTAAACCACCCGCAATTGTAGATTTGACTGCAAATCTGTAAACATAACCTCAATTTTATTTTGACGTTTTTAATATATGCAATTATAGAACTCGTAATCCAATTTGTGTGTGTGTGTTTTTTTTATTCCACTTTTGTAAAGTACTAACCGTAATATACCCATTTTTAAATGGTTTTTGTAATTTTGTTACAAAAAAAAAAATTCCGAAATTAAATTCCAAATTGACAAGTCTAAAGAAGGGGAAACTTTAATTGATTTCTATAGTAACTTCCTGCAACAATACTGCTGCGCGCATGTCATATAAAAGTCGTTTGATTGGTCGAAATAGTGTGGGGTTTATTTTAAAAATGATTTATCGAAATTATTTTTTTACAATTTAAAAATAGAATAATTCATTTTTATAATTAAATTATTAAGTTTGTGAAAATGTTTTACTTGGGTAAAAATAATTAAGTTTGGATCAATCAAGTAAATTTTATTTTTTCTAATATTCTTAACTCTATCATCCGGTGACTGTGTTAAAAAAAATAACAGAATATCATAAATAAACATAAAAATATTAATAAAGGGACGCATGATTTGCACCCAAAATCCATTACATTAAATTGTCAAAGCATCGAGATTTATTACATTGACTCTCCAATACATGGATTCTTCAAAACGTCGACTGACCAAAACATCGACTTGTAAAATTATCGACTCCTCAAAACATCGAATTTCCAACTGGTCGAATTTCAAAATGATCGATTTTTAACAACGTCGATTCTTCAATGCATACATTTACCATCACATATCCTTATTAAAACATCGAATTGTTAATTCATTGAATTTCCAAAACATGGAATTTTCATAGCTTTGAATTACCAAAGCATCGACTTGTTATAACGTCGATTTGTCAAAAAATGAATTTTTTAATGCATCGATTTTCCAAAACTCTGATATTATAAAACGTCGACTCGCAAAAGCATCGACTTTTGTTTACATTGAATTTTTAATACAGCGATTCTCCAAATTATCGACTAACCAAATCATCCATTTGTCAAAATATAGATTTGCTAAAACATTACATTTACAATACATCAATTTAGCAAAACACTTATTTTCTAAAACTTTGACTCGCCAAAGCACTGACTTTTTAATACATTACCTCGTCAAAAGAACGAATTTTCAAATCATCGATTTTCTAATGCACTAACCTGCAAAAGCATCAAATTTCCAATACCTCGACTTCCGAGTACATCGATTTTTTAAAACATTAACCTGTCATAACATCAACTTTCCAATACATCTACTCGTCAATGCATCGAATTGTCAAAGCATAGAATTTTTAATACATAGATATGAAAAAGCATAGACACTTTTTTGCATTGAATATCCATTACATCGAATTTTTTTTTTCACTAGGGTTTACTCTCTATGTTGTTAGTAGGTAAGGTAGATTAAGATTGTGCGGGAAATTTTAAATTAATATAATATTTAATTATATTTATTAATAAATGTTTTTTATAACATTTAGTTATTAAATATTGTAAATTTCATTGTTTTCTGTTTTTTTTGGTAATATAAAATCTCTCAATATTAACAAGAAAATGATATTTTTATTGATTTAATAATATATACAAATTATTGTTTTATATGTTTCTCATAGATGTCTCTACTTTACCAGTTTAATGTACTAAAACTGAAATAAATATATTTAGAATTGTATTCCATTGACAAATTGCCTTTCTTTTTTAAAATTATTCTCTTTTAATAATTTCTCCTTATTTTTTATGAAATATATTTAATAACTAAATGTTATAAAAAACATTTATTAATAAATATAATTAAATATTATATTAATTTAAAATTTCCCGCACAATCTTAATCTACCTTACCTACTAACAACATAGAGAGTAAACCCTAGTGAAAAAAAAAGTTCGATGTAATGGATATTCAATGCAAAAAAGTGTCTATGCTTTTTCATATCTATGTATTAAAAATTCTATGCTTTGACAATTCGATGCATTGACGAGTAGATGTATTGGAAAGTTGATGTTATGACAGGTTAATGTTTTAAAAAATCGATGTACTCGGAAGTCGAGGTATTGGAAATTTGATGCTTTTGCAGGTTAGTGCATTAGAAAATCGATGATTTGAAAATTCGTTCTTTTGACGAGGTAATGTATTAAAAAGTCAGTGCTTTGGCGAGTCAAAGTTTTAGAAAATAAGTGTTTTGCTAAATTGATGTATTGCAAATGTAATGTTTTAGCAAATCTATATTTTGACAAATGGATGATTTGGTTAGTCGATAATTTGGAGAATCGCTGTATTAAAAATTCAATGTAAACAAAAGTCGATGCTTTTGCGAGTCGACGTTTTATAATATCAGAGTTTTGGAAAATCGATGCATTAAAAAATTCATTTTTTGACAAATCGACGTTATAACAAGTCGATGCTTTGGTAATTCAAAGCTATGAAAATTCCATGTTTTGGAAATTCAATGAATTAACAATTCGATGTTTTAATAAGGATATGTGATGGTAAATGTATGCATTGAAGAATCGACGTTGTTAAAAATCGATCATTTTGAAATTCGACCAGTTGGAAATTCGATGTTTTGAGGAGTCGATAATTTTACAAGTCGATGTTTTGGTCAGTCGACGTTTTGAAGAATCCATGTATTGGAGAGTCAATGTAATAAATCTCGATGCTTTGACAATTTAATGTAATGGATTTTGGGTGCAAATCATGCGTCCCTTAATAAACAGATAATTTCTATAAAGGGTATTCATTTTTTCATATATAAATTATATATTATATACATATTATTATATACGTAAAGAAATCCATATGTGTGTATGTAAAATTCGATAATTTGACTCGAGTAGTAAAACGTCACAAGAATCGTGAAAATGGCGTTGATAATCGGGCGTAGAATGTGAAGTGACATTTCTCTCTTTTTCTCGGCTTTATTTATCCAAAAAACAAATAAGGTGCTTATTATTTTTCTAGACATTGAATTACAGGTAAAAATCTTTTTTTTTTTACAAATTAATAAAACAAAATATAATTGTCAAAGAAAATTCAATTATTGTTACATTGGCAAGTGTCTACACTTTTTCGGAAGAAAAAAATTTTTGCCTCAGTGATTTATACATTATGAATACTAATTAATCATTCAGTATCTGTCATACCGGAGAATTCTTTTCAATAATTGAGGTCAATTGTGGTCGTTGCAATTAAATAATTTGTCCGATAATCATTTTATTTGTTTCTAATGAGAATGTGGAATTGGTTTGCAATTTTAGATATATAGACGAAAGATCTGTAGAATAAAAAATAATCAATATTTGCAAGACTAAATGCAATTTATTGCAGAGAGACTAAATTTTTACGTGTTTTATTTTTTTTTTTCAAAAGACTCGTTTTTCAATTTGTAGTAAAAAATAAATTTTAAAGTCGTATTTGATTTTTTATTAAAAAATGTTATAAAAATTTGTCAAATTTTTTTCTTTTTATTTTTGTGAATAATTTTACACATATGTAATAAAAATTATGTATTTGTAAGGGAATAAAATTTTTTTTTATTAAATATTCAGTTTAATGTTTTGATGAAAAAATGGTCTTTTTTTTGGGGCGCAATCAATTTTTTCAAATTTCACGTAAAAAAATAAAAATTTTTTTTTTTAAATATTCCGTTTATTTTTTTTTGTAAAAAAAATATGTTTTTTTCTATTGGGATAATAAATTATTTTTTTTTTAATTCCGCGAAAGAAAGATTAAAATTTTATAAAAATATATCGTTTGATTTGTGAAAAAAATTGTCTTCTATTTTTTTTTCAAATTTCATATAGAAAATTTTTTATATTTTAATATATAGCTGTATAATTCTTTTTTTTATAGGAGTAAACTGTCAAAATGATGTCCGACCGAAAGGCGGAATTAGAAAGGAAGAAAGCAAAGCTCCAGGCAATTAGGGAAGAGAAAGAAAGACGCCGAAGAGAAAAGGAGCAAAAAGATGTAAATTTTATTTATTAATATATTTAATAAATTACATTTTATCAATAATTATAATAATAATTCTTTAAATCAACTTTTTTTTCTAGGTCGAAGAAGCAACAGTTCGCGCAGCTGGAGCTGATAAAGATCATCGAAAGGAATTGGATGCCATGCTTTCCTCCCTTGGAGTTGCGCCCGTTTCTGGTATATGAGTTTTATGTGAAAATAAAGATAATCTCAAATTCAATAATTATGTAAAAATAATTTTTTTTTTTCATTCTTTACAGACGTTTTATCTAGTCTATCGAGTATGAACTCATCGACACCAGAACAAAGCAATAATGCAACTCCCGATGTTAGTTTACAGCCATCTAGTATTAATTCTGCTCAAAGGTAATAGAATATTTAATTTATAGTAAATTATAATCCTAAAGTTTTCTATTCACAAAATCTGGACATCGTGATAAAGATACCGAATTTTTTAAATTGATACATTTTTCAAGTTTTTTTTTTTTTTTTTTTTTTTTTTAATTTTTGTGAGTTTAAATCTTGAGAATTTTTTCTAACTGAAAATTTTATCTTTTACTGAAAGCAAAAATTTTTCCAGCAATGACTGATTGAGACTTCAATTTCTAATTTAATCTAGAGGAGAAAAAAATTATAAATTTTTTAATTGAAGAATTTATTGATTAAAATCTTAATCGATCTAAATTTAAATTCATTCAAATTCTAATCAACATTCAATTTTTATCCAAATTTGAATCTAAGTATTAATTTATCAAATTTCAAGTTATTCAACTTATAATCAAAATGCAAATTCAATCTAACAAATCTTACAATTATCTAAATTTTAATTGATTTAAGTTTCAATTTTAATTTATTCAAATTTTAATTGATTTGAGTTTCAAATTACATTCGAATTTTCATTTAGCAAAATTTTAATTGCTTTAAGTATTAAATTGTAAGAATTTTAATTTATTTAAATTTCAAATTTCAAATTATTCAAATTTCAATTTAGCAAAATTTTGATTGATTTAAATTACCATTTGTTCAAAATTAATATTAATAAATATATATCCCGTATATTAATAAATAAATAAAATTCAATTTACCCAAATTTTAAACTATTAGTTCTTCAATAATTGATGTAAATTTTCTATTTAATCAAAATTTGATACAAATTAGTTATTTTACACTTGAATTTATTTAAACTGTCAGTTTTTTATCATTTGGAAATTTAAAAATAATAATTTACAATTTGAAAATAAGATTTAATATTTCTCTGAAGTTTTATGAAAGTTCTTGAAAGCTTAAAATGTCAATTTTATTCGAACCCTATAATCTACTTGAAAGCTAAATAAAATACAATTTTTAAAATTCAAATTAAAATTAGAATCAAAAGTTTAATACTTTTTAAATATTATAATGTTTATTTGAATTAATATTGAAAATTAATTAATTATAAAAAAAAAATAATTTCTTGAAATTTAATTAATTAATATTAATAATATTAAAAATTGTATTTTCGAAATTTCATTTCAAAAAAATTTTTATTTGAAAAAAAAAAGATGTAATATTGACAAATTTTTTAAAATAGCGCAACTCGGAGGAAAAATCGAGAATTGACCGTCGTCTCAGTGGCTCACACAAACATTCCCCCAAAGGAACCGGTAGTTTATAGCAAACAAACTCAGACTGTTCAGGTGGCTCACGCTTCCCATGACGGTGAGTGTTGTTCTTAGTTTTTTTTTCTGTTCACACCTTTTTTTTTTTTTTTATTGCATCGTATCATTTTTTTCTAAAACCAATTATTTATTTCTCTCTTTTTTTTTTAAAGAAAAAACAAAAATTCATTATATCGGTATTTGCGAATTACCGTGCATTTTTTTTTGATTATTAATTTTATTCGTTGATGAATAACGTTCGAAACAAAAAAAAAAAAAAAATATTAAATTTGACCTTTCAAGACACGTACGTTTAATTTTACGAGCAGATTTTTTTTTCTAATTTCGAATTTTTATTTATTAAAATTAAATCGTGTTTAGATTTTTTTAAAATTTGTTTCCTTTATAAAGGAAATTTGATGTGAAATGAAAAAGATAAAAACAAAAAATGGTAAAGTGGGTGGAACACTGCGGATGCGCGTAAGATTAGGAAACTAATTTGAAACTGCATTTTTTCATTATTTTAATTAATATTCTAACAATTTTGCAAATGATTGTCAAGTGACTAATCGTCTTGTCACTCAATTTTGAATGATTGATTTTTCATTTTTCAAACGATATTTAATAGTCTAATTTTACTTTTTTTTTTGCACCGATTATTTCGTATTTCATTTTTTTTTTCTAACTGGCGAGGAAACTTACATATTCACACAACAGAACTTTATGTCTAATGAACACTGACTCCCATTTTTTTTCCGTTAAGCCTTGTTTTTAACAAACTACCAAAAAAAAAAAATGTTCTTATTTAATTTTCTAAAAATTTTCTTCTTTTTCTTTACAATTCAATTTTTCTTTTATTCATTTACATTTTTTTTTCTGTAATGTCCGATTTTTCTCTTAAATTTCTTAATCGAATTTCTTAAATTTGCTTTAATTCAAAATTTCATATTCATTTTTTTGTAATTTTTTATTCAAAATTTCATTTATTGGTTCTGTAATTTACTATGATTTAATTTTTCACCTTGTATTTTTATATACGAATTAACGATTAATTTTTTATTTACATACATGTAATTTATTAAATTATAATCATATATTTATTTGAGGCTTAACACTAATAATAATTAATAAATTTTATTGTATCACGTGAAACATTTTACTTTCATGCTCACAATAATATTTACGTATCTAAATGCATCTGATTTATGTATTATTCATTTCTCAAATGCTTGAGATTTACAACAAAAAAAAAAAGAAAAAATAGAATATTTCAGGCGTCACAATACCTCACACATGTTTTTCACCTAAATTATATTGTTTTTTGCATTTTTTTTTACTATTCGTCTACTTTTTTAGAGAAAATGTTTTATTTTTGTTCTTGATTGCTGTGTTTGGTTTGGTAATAATTATTATCATTTGGTTTTGGTTTATTTTAATGGTCTGGGAACTAATACTGCTTTGGGTTTAGTTTTAAGTTACAAAAATTTTCTGTTTGTTTTTTTTTTTGCGGGGAGTTTTAATATTACCGTTCAGTTGCATTTTTAATATATAATTTTTCGGTGTAACTAATAATAATGTTTTTTTTAACATTTGTCGTAACAATTACTTTTATTAATTTGTAATTAAATATTTTAATTTTTATTTGAAATTTCGTTAATTTTATTCTATATTATTTTTTGTTAATTTTTGTTTTTTTCTGGTTCATTCGTAGAATTCGTTTTTTTTTTTTTTTTGGAAATTTTATTAAAAAATATTCTATTTTTCAAGATTATTTTCTTTTGATTTTTTATTGAAAAATAATTTGTTAGTCAATTTTTCTTTTTTAACTTCATCGTCAACCACCTACTTTACTAGATATTCATCATCAAAATCTCTTGAGTTTTCAGCAGAATTTTTTTTTCTTTTTTTTCAAAATAGAATATTCTATGAGGAAAACAAAATTCTCTATTTCCCTTTTTTTTCTACTGTTTTATCATTTTTTTTGGACAATTTACTAATTGATTTTATTTCTCTTTTATTATAATGGAATTTTTTTCTTCAATTTTTTCCAAAAAAGCCTTAAATAAGAAAGTAATTTTTTTTAAAAATTTTATAACTAAAAAAAATGAAATTCCAAATTAAAAAAAAGTGCGGAAAAAAATGTTTTCAAAAATTTTATAAAATTGGAAAAAATAATTCTGAATGATAAATGTTAAAAATAAGGGAAAAAAAATTGGAGATTTGAGTTTTCCGTTTATGGAATGTTGTAATGTATTTAAAAAAAAAAAAAAAAAAAATCGGGTTTTGTATTTTTGCAACTGAAAAAGCGGTGTTATTAAATGTGCGCGTCTTCCCTTGTCTTGCGTTACAATCGATCAATTCTACTGGTGTTGGACACAAGGACTGTCCGCCTCCTCTTCCGCGTACACCATCTCCTCCTGTACAACATCAACACCAACTCATTCTTGCTCCGCAGGATACTTTGAGACTGACTGGTGGCGTCCCAGGAAAGGTGGGTCTGCACCAAACTACCTATGTATGTTCTGTCTACTTTTTACCTCTCTGTAACTATTACAATAACAATCTCATAGTCCTAGGTACGTGAATGTCACCCTTCAAAAAAAAAAAATAATAATAATTTTGGCTTTTATTTTTTTGAAATTTTTTTTTTTGGGTTTTAAAGAGAGTTCAGTCTGGATTTTTTTTTCCAACCCTATTCCTTTTTCTAATTTTTTTTCTCATACATTCTTTTTAATTTGTAATTTATGAATTTTTGGGGCAAACGAAAATTGTATTTACAAAAAAAAAAGTTTTATTTGACACAAATAACATGTGGGCAAATTTTCATTTAACAAATTTTTTATTCTATTAATTTCCTTTAAATATTAATATTATAGAATAATAATTGTATTAAATATATATTAAAATAGATTAAAAATATAAAATAGTAAATATATATAAAATATATTAAAATTAAAAAAATATTATTATTGACCATTTTGGAAATTTTTTCAGAACTGTTTAAATTTTAATTTTTCATAATTTCGAGTTGTATCTATTAAAATATTTATTAATTAATAAAAAAATTTCAAATTTGATCTAATTTGGATCTATTAAAATTGAATTAAAATCCAATAGTGTTAAATGTCATTTCGGTTATTTACATTTTTGGAAATTAATATTTAATAAATTTTCATGTGCCTCAATTTTTCTGTAGTTTCCAAATTTTGTTTTCATTGTTTTTCAAATTTTTTCTTATCATTCCTTTTCCATAATTCTATTTTTTTTTTTTTTTTGTAATATTATTCTCGAAAATTTGACTCCCCTTCAAAAAGCCAGATTTGAACTTATCAGCCCTTTAATTAATTTAACTAATCTAACGGAGTTTTAAAAGAAACTAATCACTTTTAATTTTCCTATATTTATATTGTATTTATTTTCGAGGCTAAATATTTACTTTTTTAATTTATTAAAAAAAAAAAAAAATTTTCTTTCTTCGATTCTGATTATTTTAAAACATTGTTTTTTTGTATTTTTATAATTTAAAATATTTTTGCCTCCATTAAAATACAAAATAAATTAAAATTTTTAACTCCTTTTTGGTTTTGGTAAAAAATATATCAGGTTGGCCGTAAATTTTAGAATTTTTTCAATATTGAAAATTTTTTGCAGAACATGATTTTTTTTTTTAATTTTTGAAAAAAATGATAAAGGAAATTTTTTTAGATAATAAAAATTTAATTTATTTATTTAAATATAAAATAACAAATTATGGTCTTCCTGATGATAATTATTTGAAATCCACTGCTTAAATTTTTCAATTAAAAAAAAAAAAAAACGCTTGCTTATGAAAAATGCTTTTATGCTTTGGATAGATTAGAAAAAAAAATGTTTACTAATAAGCTTTTTTTTAAAAGAAAAAAAAAATAGATTTATTGACTATAATTAATAATGGTCTTGAAAATTTTGTAGTTTATTTTTTTTTTATTTCTGGAAAAAATTGGTATTTAAATGGTATTAAATTGGTATTAAAATTTTTCAAAAGTTTGGCACAGGAGTAACTTAGGGGGGTGGAGAATAAGTGTGACAAGCCATGTACGTGAGATATTGTGCTCTATGTAACTTACATTATTATTTATATGTAATAATGTTTGTTTATTAATTTATTTAATTCAGTTACATAGAGTGCGTAAAATTAATTAAGAAAATATTATTGAATATGTACGTTTCCTCTGATGCATAGGTCACATTTCGACACTTCATCAACACTTTTATTTAAAAAAAAAAAAAAAAAACAAAAAAAAAAATTATTAATTGTATTCACCTCTCTACATTCAGTTTAAAAATTTTAATTTAGAAAATATTTTTCTCAATCGATTTATGTAGATTTAATTAATTGCTATTTCTATTATATATTTTTGTCTTATAAAATTAATTTCTTCTAATTTTATTTTTTTTTTTATATAATTATAATAATATTTACATAGTAATTTAATTTATTATTCAATTTAATTAAATTGAAATTTAAAAAGTATTTTAATTATTTGGCTTTTTTGAAAAATTAATGGCAACGAATGTCGGGGGAAAAAAAAATCTGAATTTAGAGAGGTAAATTTTAGTGTAACATATTTGTATCAAATTTTAACTAAGTGCGATTTTTTCCCTCCCCTCTTCAGCTCATGCATTCGACTATTACGGTAAGTTATAATTTCTCTTGGTTTCCACCAAAAAAAAAAAAACAAAATTTAGGCTCGTTTTAGAAATTATTATTTTTTTTTTAATCAACTTAGAAATCAGAATTTTATTTTCTTTTTTTATTTTTATTTCATAGTCTTCCTTTTATATTTATATAGTCTTTTGATTCTTAAAATCAAAAAATTTATATTTATTTTTTTTTAAATAAAGAAGAAATGGGATTAAAAGAATAAATAGATAAAAAAGAGAATTGTAAAATAGTTTATAGTTAAAGAAAAAGTATCAAAAAAGTAAGAATTAAGTAGATAAATATGAAATTAATATAATTATTAAAATACAAAAAAAAAACTTTCATCAATGAAAATTAATTAATATCAAAGAATGTGATAAAAAAAAATATATTTTTTAAATATAGTGAAATATTAGGTTTTTGCACTGAAAATTTGATAATTTTTGCACTTTGCACAAAAAGAACACATAAAAAAATTTTTTTTCCCACTGTAAAATAAATAATAATGATCGAAATTTTAAATGAGTCATGAGATTAGCTACCAATGTCAATTTTAGAAAAATAGAATAAATTCTTTATTACAGAATTAATTTTTCTTTTTTTGAATTCTAAAAAATGAATTTTTTTAATACAAAATAAGAGAGAATTTTTTAATACTCTCCACCCAATTTTTTTGAAGAAAATTTTAATCTTGGGCTCTGTCGTTCTCTATTTGTATATTTTGTTTGTCCTCGTTTTTGATTTTTCATAAAAAAAAAATAGTGTAATTTTTAGTTTAATTTTTATTTATTATTATTTTGTTTATAGATATAAATATTATAAAATCCAAAAATAAATAATCTTTTACTTTTTTTTTTTATAAATTTTCTCCATCTCTTTTTTTTTAATCACATTTACAATATTAATCCAACACATCCTTCGATCACATCTGGAAACAAATTTTACATTTTTCTGAAAAGGAAACCATTTTTTGATCTATTTTTTAATATAAAGAAATTTTTTTTTTATTCAAATTACAAAAAGTAGATATAGATGTAATTAATTTAAAAAATATTTATAGGTGTAAATAGTTCAAAAAAAAAATCATTTTTTGTCATTCACACATCACAAGGTTTTAAATGTTGAGGAAATATCCATTGGCAAATCTTGTCACAACTTAACGCACCTTCCAGAGTTCTCAAAATTGTGGGGGAGTTTTTTTTTTTAATGGGACTCAAAATTTCATGGTTAAGGTAATTTCAGGTGTTGGAACTTATTTTTTCCCTCCTTTTTTCATCACTCTCTCTTTCTCTCTCTCTACAGTGTAAATCTTTTTTCCAAATTTGGTAAATGAAAATATGCAAAAAAAAATTTTTTTAACGAGAAAAAGAGAGGTATTTTGACTGCTTTCATGTCTTGAAAATTAAAAAAAAATTTCGGAAAATCTTTTTGCTAATATTCAAATAATTTTATTTCATTTATTGTAAATATATTTTTATTTATTTTTTAAATTTTAAATTCTGAAACGTTACAAATATTTTTTTATTATAAAAAAAAAAATGATAAATAAAATTCAAAGTGATAAAAAATTTAAAAGAAAAAAAGAAAACAATGAATGAAAAAAAGAAAAAATACAAGAAAATTATAATGAATTAATTAAAAGGGAGATTATTAACTTTTTTTTTCTTTTTTTTACTATGTACCAGATGTCAGAGTTTCATGCATCCTTCGCTTGTCTTCCTTTTTATTTAATTTTTTCTTTGCTTATTCCAAATCCTTCAATTTTCAAAGACTGAGCCTAAAAAAATATAAACTCGAGCTTTGAAATTTAAGAAAGCAAAAAAAAAAATTACTAACCAATTTTTTTAAAGAGCAAAAAGCAATTATTCAATTTAAAGATTAATTTTGCAAATATTAAATGGTGGAGAGGAAAATTTTATTTCGCTAATAACAGCCAAAAAAAAAAAAATAATAAATATAAAACAAAAGCTTTATTAACCGATTTCTTGGGAGTTTGCAATGAGCTGACTTTTTGGGATGAAAATGCTAATAATCGCTTTACAGGGGAAACGTTCTGCACGTAGTTAGATATTTAGCACTGACTATTGACGACTTTATTCCAAACTCTCTGGTCGACTATCGCTTCATTAAAAAAAAAAAAAATTAATTACCAATTTAAATATTACATTTATTTGACAATTTTACTTTCAATAATAATTGATTGCATGAATTTTTATTATTACGAGTAAAAAACATTCAAGAAAATTTCGTTTTCAAATTTTCAAATTTTGCTAAAAGAAGATTTCTAATAGTTTTTTCCCCCAATTTTTGAAATCATTAAAAATAAAGAAAATAAAATTAGAAATTTTTTAAACACTCGTAAATAAAAATTTTGAAAATTATTTTGAAAAAATAAAAATAACTGTAGAAATTGAATTTTTTTCTTAGACCAAAATAATGAAAAAAAAAAAAAAAAAAAAATTTTTGGAAAATTTTCAATGCAGCAATAGTATTCCTCTGATTTGGATATTATTTGAGAGGTACTGAAAGAAAAAACATTAACTTATCGACATTTTCTTTTCCTTCCTTCAAGACGAGTACAATCTAAATCCTGGTTTAGAATGGGAGGACGAGTTTACAGGTAGGTGATCTTATCTGGCCTTGATTCTTGATTCGTCTTAACTTCAAATTTACACAAATATTATTTGCACTCTTTAATTTCCTCCCTCAGTATAAATATAAATATTATTATTTTCGAGTAACAAAAAAAAAAAAAATTCATTTAGATGCATTGAGATTCGTAGAATAAAATTCTTTATTTATTTTTTATTATTAATTGAATAATCTCACGAAAGAATATTATCACGTAGAAACAAAGTAGTTATTACAACACTAGAATAAATTTTGAACAAAATGCAAGTGTTTGTGTTGAATATCTTTAGAATGCTTCTTATATTTTTTCTATCGTATACTATTTTTTCTATGGTGCATGAGGCTCAGGAAGCTGCGTTATTATTTGAAAAAAAAAATTAGTATTAAAATTTTTTTTTTTGTTTAATAATAAATTACAATAACTGTATAACTTTTTTTTTTAGTTAGTTGAAATGTTTAAAAAATTATTTTTCAATATTTATATATCTGATATTTTCTATAAAAAAATTATTTACATTATGATGTATTCCACGCTAAAGTGTAAGTCCATCTGCAATTGCATCTCCGATTTTTTTGAGATTTTTTTTTCTTTTAGTACTAATTGAGACTAGCTTCCATGAATTTTTTCAAATTTTTTTAGCAAGCCGTTTTTGTGTTATGAAATTTTGAAAATTGGAGAATTTTCATGACTTTTAATTTTTGAATGCTCATAACTTCCTTAAAAATGCATTAATTTTAAAAGTCTTCTTTTTCAAAATGTGTGTTTTTAAACGTACTTTAAAAAAAAAATCGAAATTTTTTTTTCAAACGATATTACTATCAAATTTTTGAGTTTTAATGATAAAAAGTCATTTTTCGCATTTGACGTACTAATCGATTTTTTTCAAAATTTTTTTTAAAAAACTACTTCTTTTTACAAAACTTAGTCCTATAATAGACAAACAATTTTTACAATATTTTCGGAATTTTTGAATTTTTTAAAAATATTTTTGGTTTTTTTTTTAAACTACGTACTTTTATGTATTTTTATGCGCTGATTACGAAAATTATAGTGAAAATACCCAAAAATTTGATTTTTATGGTGAAAACCATAAAAAAAGTCTCAAAATTTATGGTTTTTTTCGTTTATTGGGTAAAATATGCAAAATTAAAAAAAATGAATCAGATACAAAAAATGTATTTTAATAAGATCTTTAACTTTTGTTTAAAAGCTTTTTTTTGATTTTGAATATTTTACCCAATAAACGAAAAAAATTATAAATTTTAGGACTTTTTTATGGTTTTCACCATAAAAATCAAATTTTTGGGTATTGTCACTATGATTTTCATAATCAGCGCATAAAAATACATAAAAGTACGTAGTATAAAAAAAATCAAAAATATTTTTAAAAAATTCAAAATATTTTGAAAAATTCCGCAAATATTGTAAAAATCGTTTGCCCATTAGGATCGGGCTAGGCTTAAAAGTTTCGTAAAAAGTAGTTTTTTTTAAATTTTGGAAAAAATCGATTAGTACGTCAAATGAGAAAAATGACTTTTTATCATTAAAACTCAAAAATTTGATAGTAATAACATTTAAAAAAAATTTCGATTTTTTTTTTGAAAAGTACGTTTAAAAACACACATTTTGAAAAAAGATGTTTAATTAATGCATTTTTAAGGAAGTTATGAGCATTCAAAAATTAAAAGTCATGAAAATTCTCCAATTTTCAAAATTTCATAACTCGAAAACGGCTTGCTAAAAAAATTTGAAAAAATTCATGGAAGCTAGTCTCAATCAAAAATCTCAAAAAAATCGGAGATGCAATTGCAGATGGACTTACACTTTAGCGTGGAATACATTATATATAAAATTGTATGGTTTAGTTAATTAGGTATAAAATTCAATAATAGTTTTTAATATTTAATAATAATTAAAAATTTAATAATTATTGTGTCAAACCATTATATTTCAACTAAAGTGGTCGCTGACTAATTTTTAAAAATTATAATACTTTGCAGGAATGATTTTGAAGTTATCAAGATCACGAAATGAAAAGAATTTTATTAAAAATTTAAATATTTATTGTAAATTATGAATTTAAAGTATATGAGGTGCTAAAAACTGTCAATTTTTTAGCCATTAGAAAATATGCAAAAAAACATAGAATTTACCATAAAAATAAAAAAAAATTATTGGAATTTACTAAGAATGAATAAATTTATCATTATCAATTGATATAATTATTTAAAGATGTGAAGTGATATATAAAATATGATTTCCAAGTGCACCTGTCAAATAACCTAATTTTGCGATTTTTATTCATTAATTATAAAAAATAGAAAACATTAAATTAAATAAAAACTTACCAAATATGAAGTTCTTGCCATAAACTTTTAGAATTTCTTTGCACTTTTCTTCTTTTCTATTCATAAGTATGAAAAATTTAAAAAATAAAATAGCTACTTTGTCTATTTTCACTATTTTTGAAAGTCAATAACTTTCTTGGAGAAAAATGAAAAAATATGGGGTTTCGAAAATTATTTAAATACACACTACATATACATTCACTGAAAATTTCGCATTGGTCCCGAAGCTATTTTCGAAGATAAAGTAGATTAAAAATTTCGTATTTTTTAGGCTATATTGACATGGGTTTTAAAGGTATTAAATCAATGTGAAGTTTGTCGTCACCAGTGAACCACCTTCACATTGATTTAAAATCCATGTCCATATAGCCTAAAAAATACGAAATTTTTAATTTACTTTATCTTCGAAAATAGCTTCGGGACCAATGCGAAATTTTCAGTGAATGTATATGTAGTGTGTATTTAAATAATTTTCGAAACCCCATATTTTTTCATTTTTCTCCAAGAAAGTTATTGACTTTCAAAAATAGTGAAAATAGACAAAGTAGCTATTTTATTTTTTAAATTTTTCATACTTATGAATAGAAAAGAAGAAAAGTGCAAAGAAATTCTAAAAGTTTATGGCAAGAACTTCATATTTGGTAAGTTTTTATTTAATTTAATGTTTTCTATTTTTTATAATTAATGAATAAAAATCGCAAAATTAGGTTATTTGACAGGTGCACTTGGAAATCATATTTTATATATTACTTCACATCTTTAAATAATTATATCAATTGATAATGATAAATTTATTCATTCTTAGTAAATTCCAATAATTTTTTTTTATTTTTATGGTAAATTCTATGTTTTTTTGCATATTTTCTAATGGCTAAAAAATTGACAGTTTTTAGCACCTCATATACTTTAAATTCATATTTTACAATAAATATTTAAATTTTTAATAAAATTCTTTTCATTTCGTGATCTTGATAACTTCAAAATCATTCCTGCAAAGTATTATAATTTTTAAAAATTAGTCAGCGACCACTTTAGTTGAAATATAATGGTTTGACCCTATTTAAAATTAAAATAATAATTAAAATTATTTTTATTAAAAATAATAACTTAATTTAAGAAATAGCGTGTTTATTATATTTATTTTGTAATTTTTAAATTTCAATTATTTTGAAAATAACACAAACACAAAAATATTGTCAAATTGGAAATGTTATTGATTTCTTTTTACCGTTAATTATTGATAGTTAGGAGAAATTTGAATATTTTCGAGGAAAAGTACTCGACAAAGGGTGGAGAGAGAATGTGAAAGATTTCATTTATTTATATTTTTTTTCTATGAAATAAAATATCTTTTACGTGCACAACTAATATCCTGATGCATGCCCTTAAGAAAAAAAAATGTTTGTTTACTGTTTTGAAATCGTAATTTTTTTTTATTTTATTATTTTTTTTACCAATGTAATCACATAAAATTAATTTTTTAATATGTGTTCTATTTTTTTTTATTATATTATATTAATTAGCAACACAAAAAAATAAAAGTATTCTCATGGGGAATCAAAGTACCTTTTCACATAATGAACACGAGTCTGAAGCCAAATTTGCCGTCAAGATTTTTTCTAACCTCAAAAAACGTGGTGGATTTTATGTGGTGAGCGAATTTTTTTTACACACTGATCAATTGATTAACTGCATGCGTAAAAAATGACAGAGTACAATGTCAAAAAAAAATCATCTAACACAAAATTCGACATGTTTTTTAAGGTTAGAAAAAAATTCTGACGTGTTGGAGCAAATCTGACTTCAAATTCGTGTTTAGTGGATAAAAATACAGAAAAAATGTACTCTTACTTCCGAATTCGTTTACTTCTATTTTTTCTGTAGCTGTATTATTAGGCCTCGGATCGACTTAAAGGCACAAAAAAAAGTCGTTTTAGTCGATTTATATTCCAAAAAAAGTCGAAAAAGTCGATTTTTTTTATTGTAACAAAAATATTTTAAAGTTTTTTAAATAAATTTTTTTTTTAAAAACAATAATAATATTTTTGAAAATAATTGAATTTTATTTGATTTTGAATTAAAATTTTTTGGTAATTTTATTTGATATTTTTTTAAATTATAAACAATTGTTAAATTTTATAAAAATTTTAATTGAAAAATAATTTGAAATATGTAATTGAATTTGTGATGAATTTCATTAAAATTATTAAAAATAATTAATTTAGTGAAGAATTTTAGTTAAAAATTTGTTAAATAATTGAAATGAAAAAGATCTGAAGAAGATCTGCTTTTTATACTAAAAAAAAGTCGAAATAGTCGCATTTTATTAATTAAAATAAGTTGAAAAAAGTCGTATTTTTGAAAAAAAGTCGGAAATAGTTGAAAAGTCGTATAATCCGAGGCCTGTATTATTATTATTATTATTTATAATTTAAATGTATTTAGTTTACCTTTAACTATAGTTTGTTCAATTTTTGTTTTTAATGTTCTTAATATTGTAATTTTTATTTATTTTTTTAATTTTCGGAAATTTTGTGACTTTTTTTTTAATAAACAGACTTGGTAGCATGATTTTTGTGACGCTTTTTTATAAAAAAAAAAAGAAAGAGAATGAAGCTTCTTGGCTTTTAAATATGAATTTCCTGTTTTAATTTGCTTGAAACATTTTGCATAAATATACCAAGTGCGCTTTATCGGTATTCATAAAAGAAAAGAAAAAATTTTTTTCCCCCTAAAATTACGTATTTTTGTTGATGAAATTTGAGTACTTAATTTTATTGCTTGTTTTGAACTGAATGTAAGCAGAATATTTTATTTAGTTGTTTTTTTTTTTGTTATTTAAATTCTCTTGCTATGAGTAAAATATGTTTCCTTTTTTGAAAAATTATTTTTCTTAATATATAGAGTTATATAAATAATTATAGTAATATCTAGTTACAATTTTCCTTGATAGATTCCGAATTATTGGGGTTTTTCAAAAAATTTTTGACAAAATGTGAAATTTCTCTTTAAATTATAGGTTAATTGTATCAATAAACTGCGCTTTTTTTTTTTTTTAAATACGATTTTATATTCTAATTAAAAAATTTATTTTTTATTCACTTTTTTAAATTCAACATAACTTCAAAATACACGTTATTTTCATGACAGTAATTGAGACATAGAAACTGGTATAAACTCATAGCAATAGACGCATTTGATATAATTTTTAATTGCTTAAATTTATTTAAATAATCTATTCTTATGGGGGGTTTTAATTTTTGAATAATTATCTAAATAACACGAAATATACTAGTCTGATAAATCGTAAGTTGATTTCATTGAACGTAAATTTATTTTTTAATTGAATACGTATCTTGACTGGAATCGCGCAGTAATTGGTACATTTACCCTTGTTTTGTTTTTAATTATTAAATAAATGAATTTTTATATTTTTAAAAATTTTATTTTAAATCACTTTTTTGGAATCTCCATAAAATTGGCGTCGATGATCAGTGTCGAAAATTGTTTTCCACAAATTCCAAAAATGACATTGAATTATTTTTTTTTAAGATTTCCGGTTCAAATAATGCCTTGAAAAAATTTTTTCAAGTTATTATGTGGATCCAAAACTTTTTTTAAAAATGATTTGATATTTTTGGTCGCGTGAAAAATAATTTTCGACGCTGAGCTTCGACGTTAATTTCATGGAGGTTTTTTTTTGGAAAATTTTTAAAACAAGATAGAACAATTTTGAGATAATTTAGAAAAATGAAAGAGAAATTATTTTTTTTAAATAATAGAAAATCACTTTTATTTGTAAAAAAATTTTTATATTAAAACCCCAATAGTGGTGAAATTGACTCTCTTTTATAATACAATTTAGAGAATTTGAGAGAATTAGTAAATAATTCTAATGAAGAATTTTGTAGAATTTTGATTTGAATAAATAGCAAAAAAAAAAAAAAAAAATAGCCATGTTAGGGAAAGTAGTGTAGGGTCGTGGCAAAGTTAGGGTATTTGTTGCGGGGCCAGCTTATTCACCACAGTTTTGACATATGATGATGGCCAAGCCGAGGACGAGGAGAACAGCCTGCCACATCTCGATGGTTTCCAGAGCAAATTACCACCCGGGATCCTTCCACATGGATTGCCCCAGGTTAAGGAAGTTCAGCCAGCAGTCACACAAGTCGAACAGGAAAAAGAAAAAGAGAAATCCAAAGAAGGTAATTCTTTTTTTTTCTTACAATTTACCAAATTTTTTATTTAAACAAAAAATAATTTTAATCCGAATTTAATTTTTTTCCTTTTTTATTTTCAAAAAATAAAAATTTCAATCAAAATTCTATTTTCACTTTTTTTAATATTTGGCAAATTTTTTATTTTGAATGAACAAAAATTTCAATTAGAATTTTATTTTTACTTTTTCTTATAATTTACCTTTATTAAAAAATAAAAAAAAAAAAAAATTGTAATCGGAATTATATTTTTAGTTTTTTTTTCTCATAATTTGGCAAATTTTTTATTTAGAAAACAAAAATTTCAATTGGAATTTTATTTTCACTTTTTTCCATTTTTAGTTCATTTTCGATAAATTATATTTTTACTAGCAGTTAATTTTTATATTATTATTATTATTTTTTTTTAATTCTCTTTAGTTAATTTTTAATTGTCTTCTCTTTAATTGAATTCTTCGAAATGTTAACAGTGAGAGAACTCAGCAAGGAGGAGAAGCAGATGATAATTTTGTCGGAAGATTTTCAACGTTTTCTGGATAGGACGAGCAGAATTGTGGAAAGAGCCCTCGGTGAATCGGTTGATATTTATACGGATTATACGGGAACAATGGACGGAGATGATGGAATGTAAGTTTTAATTTTTTTTTTATAACAAAAATATAAAATTTTTACATTGAACAGTTTTTTTAAAAAATATTTTTTAGTTCTTTTTTTTTTGTTTATCTATTTTTATTCAATTTTCTTAAATTTTCTATTTTATAATCTTATGAAGTTTAAATTCAAGAAAGTTTAAAGAATACTTTTTTTTTTTTTAGTAATAAAATAATATTGATTATCGCTTATTAGACGAATGTAGAATATTTCCAGTTGTGATAATTTTTTTTTTTTTTTTAGGGATGAAAAGAGTCATCAGCGATTGTGGCTAAATAGATCGTTTTATTGTGAACGTTGGTCGCGAAATCGTTGTGTTACTTCGATGGATTGGTCGCCACAATTTCCGGAACTATTGGCAGCATCCTATCATAATAATGATGAAAGTCCAAATGATCCCGATGGTGTTTGTTTAATTTGGAATACGAAATTTAAGAAAACAACACCTGAATTTATATTTCATTGTCAGTCGCCCGTTATGTCGACGACATTTGCAAGATTTCATCCAAATTTAATTTTAGGTGGTACATACTCGGGACAAATTGTCCTCTGGGATAATAGAGTGCAAAAAAGAACGCCTATTCAACGCACGCCATTATCAGCGAGTGCTCACACGGTTTGTCATTATTATTATTTTTCTTTTTTTTCAATTTTCATATTTTTTCCTTCCGTTATTTGTATTTATACAATTATTTTCAATTATTGGAAGAGAAGAAAATGAAATATAACTAATTTTGAACAATATTTCGATATATTTTTTTATATATAAATTTATTAAAAAAAAAAAAAATTGTCTCGAATATTAAAAATTTGATGATAAAATTATTTTCCATGCAATTAGAAGGAAAATTAATTTAAAAATAGAAATTTATAAATGAAAAGATGATAAATGTGTTTTTTTTTACAGCATCCAGTTTATTGTTTAAGTGTGGTTGGAACTCAGAATGCTCACAATTTAATTAGCATATCGACTGATGGAAAAATGTGTTCCTGGAGTTTGGATATGCTTTCTCAGCCGCAAGAAAAACTAGAATTACAAGCTAAACAATCAAAATCAATTGCCGTCACGTGTCTCGCATTTCCTCATGGAGACGTTAATAATTTCGTCGTTGGAAGCGAAGACGGAATGGTCTATTCTGGTAGGTTTTCTCTTTTAAGTAATAAAAAACCTTTTTATCGATAGAAATAGAAAATAAAGTTCAATAATTGTTTTTTTGTTGTTATAAATGTGAAAACAAATTCGAATATAATAAAAATGTTTGCAGCATGTCGTCATGGAACAAAAGCAGGAGTTACGGAAATGTATGAAGGACATCAAGGTCCAGTGACGGGAATTGACGCTCACGCTGTTCAGGGTGGAATTGACTTTTCCCATTTATTCCTGACGTCATCGATTGACTGGACCATCAAACTTTGGAGTTTAAAGGAGAATAAACCACTTTATTCGTTTGAGCATAATGGTGATTATGTTTACGATGTTGCATGGTCTCCCACACATCCAGCATTATTTGCTGTTGTCGATGATTCGGGACGACTCGATTTATGGAATTTAAATCAGGACACAGAAGTACCAGCCGCTAGTGTTATTGTCGATGGTTGTCCCGCTTTGAATCGTGTCTCATGGATGCCAAGCGGTTTCCACGTCACTGTTGGTGATGATTCAGGAAGAATTTGGGTTTATGACGTTGCAGAGGTATAAATATTTTTTATTTTCTTCATTTTTCTCCGATTTTCATTTTTTGTATTTACTATTTTATAGTAAATATTTATTATAATTTATAGTACCTATTTTAAATGAATTTTTATTTTGCATAATTTTATGTTTTTTTTTTTTTTTTTTTTCATTTTTTTATAAGTCCAAACACTACTTTTATTTTTTTCAAATATTTAAAACTTTGTCATCTATTTTGATAATTTGTTACCTTTTCTATATCAATGTCTCAATTAACTCAATTTTCAATTTATCAAAAAATTTTCATCGATTTTAAAAATTATTTAGGTCAAATTTCAATAAATCCAAATTTAAATTCATTCTAATTCTAAATCAACCGTCTATTCAATGAATTAAAAATTCAATTCATTCAAATTTTAATTTATTTAAATTATATTCGATTCAAATTTTAATCGAACCAAATTTCAATTCAATGTTAATTTTAATTTAAATTTCAAGTAATTTATTCAAATTTTAATTGATTTAAGTTTCAATTTATTCAAAATTCAATTTGTCCATATTTTAATTGATTTAAGTTTCAATTTGTGAAAAATTCAATTTATTCAAAATTCATTATGTCCAAAATTTAATAGTCTTTAGTTTCAAATTATCTGAATTTTAATTTATCCAAATTTTAATTAATTGGAGTTTTTCAGTTTTTTTTTTATCACCTTTTTGTTACTTATTTTTGTTAAATAATTCATCTTTTCACCTATTTACCAAAAAAAGTTGAATTAAATTGTTGTAATCCGGTGGAATAAATATTATTATAATAAATAATTAAAATAAACCAAATATAATCAATAATAATTAAAGAAAATAAAAAAAAAAGAATAAATAATTAATAAATGTTTCTCTTATTTCTAGCATTTGGCCCATCCGAGAATGGATGAATGGAACAAATTTCTGTACACGCAACAAGATTTAAAGAACAACAAGGCAGACGAGGAATTGGATAAATTGAATTTGAGTTCAGGTCCATCTTCGTTAAGTTCAATGTCCTCCATGTCATCAATGATTGGTTACATTAACAAAAATCATTAACTTTTCTTTTTTAATTATTAACATTCAAATTAATTCTCTTTCATCATGTAATTTTTCACGAATATTTAGAAAAAAACAATTTAAATTTCATATTATTAATAAAATAATTTATTTTTGCCTTATTTGCGAATAATTAAAAAAAATATATATATATTCAGTGATATTTTACATGAATTTTTTGTTTTGAAAATTCAATCGAGAAGTAAATTGTACTCTTGGTAAAATTTTGACGAATTTAAATTTAATTAATCACGCTTTGATGTGTACATATAGAATTTTGCATATTTTGCGCGCTCATTGTCGAAAGCACTGCGAGGCAAAATGTGAGAAAAAAAAAGAAGTCGACTGTAATTTACAATGTATAATAATTATTTCTGAAATATTTAAGAATTTCTTTGATAATTATAATTTTTATCTATTTTTTTTCTATTGATTTTTCATATTACTAATTATTTAATATTAACATCGAATGAAAGTTTATTTTTTATGTAATTGATGAATAATTTAATTAAATATTGAGGGACGTAAAAAAAATTTAAGTTGCAATCGAAAAAACATATATTTAGCAATAAGTTCCTTTGTACATTTATTTGTCTGAATTTTTAACACTGTGTTTTTTTATATTGCTTCTTAATATGACATTTATAAAAGTTGTATGAAATGGAGTGAAATAAATTTATTGGCGCAATAGAGATTTTTTTCTAGCTGAAAAGATTTTATTGTGTTCTTTTTTTTTTTTGTTATACAAATGTCTTTGATAAATTAAAAGTGGATCAAGGAAAGATGCGTTTCTATATTTCGCAAAATTATCTGATCTAATCTCACCAAATAGGGGAACACATAATTATTTAACGCGTAATTAAGGCTTTAAGGAAACTTGGTTCTGGTCTAATGAGTTTAGACTATTGTTTTAAAAGAGAACAATGTATATCAAAATTTTGTAGGTAAATTAAAACTTCCCTCGTATATTTGAAATAAATTATTGAAAATAATTCCTGATTTATAATATTTTTTATTTTTTTTTTATTTATTAATTATAGTTTTAAAAAATTTATAAATAATTTTTAATTGTAATTAATTTGAATGAATTTCTATTTTATTTATTTGGAAAAAAAAAAAAAAAAATTTAGTATATTTTTTTTACTTCCGTGTTTAATAATTCCAAATTTTTTTTTAATTTGAGGTTAAATAATAATCCCCACCTTATTTTGATAAAAGCATTTTTCTTTGTAAACAAAAAATTGAATAATAATTTTACATAATTAATAATTAAACAAATCATGAAAATAAAATCTCATAAAAACTAAATAACCTAATTGGGGTAATCCCCGAAAATTGTTTTTAAAATAGGCGTTAATTTTTCCAGGAGCGTGTCAATTATTTTTTTATAAACGAAAAACTAAATCCATTTCTAATATTTCCGTTTTAAAAAATACATTATTTCATGAAATAATCTTACAAAGTTATTACAAAATTAAAAAAAAAAATAGTTATAAAATTTACGTATCTCCTTTTATAATTAAAAAAAAGTCAGAAACGAAATGTAATAGTGACGTCACTGAGACAATTGCTTGCATATTTAAATATTAATTTGCTTCTTCTGATGAAACGTGATCTGAGTCATAAATAATAAAATAAAACTATTGCATACGGAACTAATACATCGATCGTTTCAATTCTTTCAAGTACCGTAATAGTTGCAAAAAAAAAATAGAATTTGATCTCATTTCTCTCGAGTTTACGGAGCAGACGCCATATCAAAAAAAAAAAAAAAAAAAAAATCGTGAATGGCGCGCGTTAAGTCGGGAGAGGAGGAATCAGAACAATTCTCTTGTCGTTTGACAAGCACGAGCGCCGATTTATGAGAAACTATATATATATAAATAATACCTGTTTGTGTATATATACATATATGATGTTATGTGGGGGAGGCGAAAAAGTGTGAAAAATTGTCAGTGACTGTTCGCCGGTCGAACTGTCAAGTTGTGTCTCTTTGTTTCGTCGCGTGTTTAAAAAAAAAAAAATCTTACATTACATCTGTCAAAAGTGAAGTGTATCTTTTTTAGTGTTTTCATCACAGAAACCAAAGTCTTTACTGACAAAGGATTATAAATTCTATCAAAATGAACAATAAAAAGACTGGTGAGTTATGAAAAATTTGATATTTTTCTTTGTCGATTGGAAAAAAATGATAAAATTCTAAATTGGAGGTTAGACTATAAATATTGTTGATAAAGATTTTGCAACAATAAGGGAAAATGGGTTTTTCCAAAATGGAGGACAATATTGTGACAATGATTTCTTTAATAATTTTTTTTTATGAAAATTGTTTAATTTTTGTTTAAATGACAATAAAGAGGTCGTCATGATAAAAAATCTATATCAGTTTTTGGGTTGTATATTTTTTCTATGGGTTATGTTTCATGAATATTCACGAATGTTTTTAATATGCAACACTTTTTTTTATGTCTTTTTCTTTGGACATATGGCAAAATTATTTTTTTAGTCTGTTAAAGCGTTAACAAAGAAAATAATTATTTTCGTAATTACAAATTTATATTGTACTGAAAATAGATTTTTTTTTTGAAAAATAATTGTTAAATGAAAAATAATTTTATTTTTACTTGTTTTTTTTCTTTTTTGCAGTGAACAAATGAGTTCTTTTTACGTAATATCATTTCTCGTCTAAATAAAATTTACAAATAAAAATGAGTATTTTTATTATATATTATTTGTAATAATAATGTAATAATAAATAATTAGATTAAATAATTTATTCTGATTTTTAAATATTTTTGTTGTAGTAAAATTATTAAAAATACAATAAATTGTATTTGAAAAATATGTATAAAAGTTAGGTTTGTCAATAAAAAATTTTTAACAACCACATAAAAGAAAAGAAGAACTGTAATTACTTTTTGTTTAATATTATAGCGATTGTCTAATTCAAAGTCGTAATTATTAAAACTAAAACAATAGCAATTAGTAAAATCTACTTCCTTTATGTTTATTGATAAAAGTTAAATATTTTTAATAATAATTAATTAAAAGATATAATTTTTAATAAGATTTTAAATAAAATAATAAATTTGATAAAGTTTTGAAAATTTTATTTTTATTTTATAATTTAAAAAATTATATATTATTTATAATAAAAGAAAAAAAAATAAGAAGTAGGTTATAAAAATAAATTAATCTAATAAATAAATGATTCACAAAAAGAAACTTTGTCTTCTTTTTTTTTTGTTGATTAAAAAAATCTTCAAACAAATGCGCCACTTGCATTTGATATCATTCACTCGAGAAATTCTCAATATAAACTTAATGTATCGCATTGAAACAATGAGTCATCTCTATTTATAAACCATTATTCACGGATTTTGTCAATTTTTCACAATAATCAAAAAAATTTTTGTCTATTAAAATGTTTTTTAAAAATATATATACTTTTTGAAAACAAGTTTTTTTAATTTTTTAATCCTTATTGAAAATATATTTATGAGATGCTTTGAAGAAAGTAACAAAATTTTGAATAAAAATAAAAAAAAAAAATATTAAATTCCAAAATATGAAAAATTTCATATTAGCAAAAAAAACCTTGTTATATATATATGGTACTTGAAATAAATAGAATATTTTCTTATCTAATGGTGTCTGAAGTTTTGACCGTTCAAATGACCAAAATCATTTTTTTTGGTCTGTAATTTTTTTTTTAAAATTAATACAGCAAGGAAAAAATAAAAGTCATTAAACACTTAATAAAATTATTAGTTTATTTTTGGATAAACAGAAATCAAAATTTTATAATAAAATTTGAAATTAAAGAAGTAGTAAACAAATTTTTCGTTCATTCGTATGTTCAGAAATTCAAACACATCTTATCTATTCGATTTTTTTTTACACACCTGAAAAAATAATGAGGAAAAAGTTTTGAACGTTCAAATGAACGAAATATTTTTTTCAATCTATAAATAATTAAAATTATGATTTCAATGTAAATTAAAACAGTAAATTAAACAACTATTAAATTAAATAACTTCTTTTTAGATTTTTAAAACAATATTTTATAATAAAATTCGTACTTAAAGAATTTGCAAAAAAAAAAAAAATTTTGTTCATTTGAACGTTCAAAATTTTTGTCTCATTAAAAAATAATTTGTTGATTTAAATAGAAAATTGACTTTTCTGTTATTCATGATCATTGTGTGACAAAAAAGTATAGTAAAATGTGACCTTGATCTGTGTAATCGATATAGACTTAATGTGACACAACTATTTTCTAAAAAGTCAGGTATTATCTCATACAATGATAAAATTACAGATAAAGCTATCTTATTTCCTTATGTCATTATTATACTTTCTAATTAAAATTTTTTTTTATAATTTCAGAAGTTGCAAAATTTGATTTTAATGAATTATAAAGAAATAATAATAATATTATAAAAATAATAACAATAATATTAATTAAATTTTATTTTTTAAGAATATTTAAATTATTTAAAAAATAGAATACAGTAATATATTGTATAAAATATATATTAGTATTTAATTTATTTATTTTTTTTTTTTTTTGTCAGTAGAACATATTGTGCTGACACCAAAATGCAAAACAGCCAATTCCACAACGTTAATGATTGAACGACACGAATTAGATCCTCCATCAGAAAATGGTGATGAGAAAAATGTTCACGTCGCTGGAGGAGATCATAAAGGAATTGTCATCAATAAACAGGCCGCAAATGGTAAATCATTTTCTATAGGAAAAAAAATAATTTGGTTAGAGTCATATAAAAAAAAAATAAAATTTTCAATTGAAGTTTTTATTTTATTTTTTTTATTGTTTTAAATTTTATTTATTCAATACTTTAGGGATTGTTCCTTAAAAATCATAGAATTCATGAAAAATGTATAAAATTTTAAAAAAAGGTCTGAAAATTTTTAGTTTCTAAATTTTTCAGGTTTAAACAATTTTTTTTGAGTGTGTTAATATTTATTAAAATTGTTTTTGTTTGAAATAAAAATTCTATTTTACAGTGATGAATGGAATAGGAAATCCCGCACATCTTTGTCTTCAATTTCGTGTGTTTCTTGTGAGTGGACAAACTGGAAAACACACTCAAGAATCGAGAACATTGCAATTTTGGTTTGTAAAAACACTTCCTGATCAGGAACAGCCGCACATTGCACAAGAATTTTTTCGAGAATTAGTCAGTCCACAAGAATTTCCAAGAGGTCAGTTCAAAAAATATACAAAAATTGATATGAAAAAAAAGAATTTTCTTTTTTTTTATAATTTATTAAAAATTTGTGTTAATCTTTTTAGAAAAATTCAAATAAAATTAAATTCAAATTATTCCAATTTTGCTAAATTACCATGAAAAATTAATTGTAATTTTATTTAAATAATTTTACAAATGTTAATTAAAATTGTTTTTTTTGCAAATTTTGTTTAAATAACTTTAAAAAAAAAAAATTAATTGATTGTTTCGAATTTAGAATAAATAATTAACATTTTTTTTTAAATGCAATTAAAACTTTTTTTTTGCAAATTTAGTTTAAAGAATTTTAAAAAATTTAATTAAAAAATTTTTGCTTTATTAAAATGAAATAATTTATATTTGCAGATTACGTTGGCTTTATAAAAAAGATAATGAAACTGATGCAGCACAAATATCCAACTATTCAAAAATTAGAAGTCGAATTAAAACAACTTGCAGATCCAATAGATCTTCCAGCGCGACCACGTGAGTATTTGTTTTTTTTTTATAGAATTAAAATTTTCTTCTTTTTCTTTAAAAATCATCGAATTCATTGCATCAATTCATTTGACGTTTATATATATATATAATTTTCTCATTATTGTCGTATATCAGTGCGTCTAGAGACTCTCGGTAATAAATCTAATGATTTTGCTGCACCAGATATAGACCTCTGTAATTTTGTCATTTTCAAGAGTGTTGATAGAGAGTTTATATGGTTAAGCAACTTCATGCTCATATGTATATAAATGCCTCTTAGAAAGCTGGTTCGTCTCACTAATTAAATTAGGCCTATTGGACTAAATTGCTCGTCATTTAATCGCCAGGTTCAATGTATTCGTCTCAAGAGTGAATTAAGCAAATCGAATTGAAATTGAAGATGAGAATCTCAATCTCTTCCCTTTTAATTTATAAAGCAAAATTTTATATTATCATTAAAAGTCTTATAACAAATTTTTTTAAATTACATTGATCACAGAATATCACTTATTCAATCTTTTTTCCACATATTTAAAATTTTGTCATCTATTTCACCTCTTTTAATAATAATTTCTCACTTTTTTTAACCTTTTTTATATTTCGATTAACTGCAGATGTTATATTTCAAAAAATAATTGAGTTTTTAATGTAAAAACATTGATTTAAACTCAGGAATATTAAAAAATAATTTATTATTTTAAAACAAAATTGTTTTTTAATTTCTGAACTAATTAAATTTAAATTTAAATCAATTGTAGCATTTTATTGATTAAAGTTGTCGTCGGTATAAAACTAAATTCATTCTTATTTTAATGAGCCAAAAGTTTTTAACGTTTAAATGAACGAAATATTTTTTTCAATCTATAAATTATTGAAAATTATGTTGTCAATGTAAATTAAAACAGTAAATTAAACAACTATTAAATTAAATAACTTCTTTTTAGATTTTTAAAACAATATTTTCTAAAATAAAATTGGTGCTTAAAGAAGTTGCAAAAAAAAAAATTTGTTCATTTGAACGTTCGAAACTTTTGTCTCATTAATTTTAATCAACTATCAATTCATCTAAATTTAATTAAATTTTATTCGATTCAAATTTTGATCGATCCGAATTTTTTTTGTATAATGTAAATTTTAATTTAAATTTCAAGTAATCAAATTTTTAATTAATTACAATTTTTTTTTATCAAAATAAAATTTATTAATTAAAATTTTAATAAAATGCAAATTTAATTAAGATCGAAACCAAATTTCATTTTTTTCAAATTGATTTAATTTCAATTTCTCTAAATTTTAATTGATATAAATTTCAATTTATTTAAAATTCAAATTTACTTCAAATTTTTTTTTCAAGCATTGACGAAAAATTTTTAATTAATCAAAATTTAAATAGTTTCAAATTAGTTATTTTTCATGTTAATTCGTGTTAACTATCAGTTTTTTTTATCACCTTGTTATCACTAATTTTTGGTAAATAATTCACCTTTTCACCTATTTAAAAAAAAAGAAAAATATTTTTCGCACTTCAAAAATAATAATTAAAATTTTTGCCTAAAAATGTTTTTTTTTTTAAATTGTCGATCAAGAAACGTTACAAACATTATTGAAATTTTTATTTTTTTTTATCAAATTATAATAATTTGCATAAAAATATATTTTTTCTTCTAAATCGTTGATCATAAAAATTTCTCTAGTTAAAATTGGATTTTTTTATTTAAGTTTTACTTTGAACTAAAATAGAAAAAAAAATTTTTTTATTTTTCTTATGGATAATTAAAATTTGATATTTTGCAACTAAAATTAAAAGAAAGAGACTTCGTTTTATTTTCAATTTGTATTACAAAGAATATAAAAAGTTTGACCTTAATAATTGTTAATTCAATTCCTGCAAATGTGTGACAATGTCAATTAAGCGGTTCACTTTTCTTTACATAAGAGTTAATCAAGCCGATTGAACTTGTCCCCTTTCTCTAAAACATTCAAGATTAATGGGCGTAATTTTATATTTTTTATTTATTTATTCAATTTTTTTTAAATCAATATCGCATCATCTCATCCAACATTTTCAAGCCTCGAACTTTGCAAGCTTTTTTAAAAATTATTCTTTTCCTCTATTTTTCTCAAAAAAATTATTTACTTTTTTTCTTTTTCTATAAAATCAATTATTATTAAACAAAAAAAATTTATTACAAAAACCAATTTTTGGGAAATTTTTTACACAAAAAAAAAAAATGGTTAAAATTTATTTTAATTATATTCAATGAAAATTCTCCTAAAAGTAAAATTATCGTTAAATTATTAATTTTGTGAAATTTTAGAAAAAATTGAAAAATTCTTATTCAACATTTTTTTTTTTTTTGCAAATAATTTAAAATTATACTGTAAAAAAATTAGACCAATTACATTATAATTTTGAATTATTTAAATAAATCTTAATCATTCTTTTAAAAATTGAATTTCTAGTGTCTATTTTCTAATATATTATCGAGAACAAAATATTTTATTTACAATTACGAGCTTACAAATTTGTTAAAAAAAAATGCCCTTTAGTGCAGAAGCACTTAGTATTGTTCGAGGCTTGTTTTTCAGCTCATTTTAATAATAAATTTTTCAAATGTTTTTGATTAATTTAAAATGTCAAAAAAAAAAATTTCCTTTTTTTTGTTGAGACAAATTTTCATATAGATTTATTCGTTGTTATTCGCAGCTCGAAGTGGTCATATAATCTTCACACTTCCTCAACGTGAGAAATCAATGTGGGAATCAGGTTCGGCCAATAGTATAAAAAATTCATCATTCTTTGGCCATGTTTTGTTGTCTTTTTTTTAACTCTTTACAGGATGATTGTCATTTACTCAAAAAGAGAAAAAAAAAAACTCACACTATAGGCAATAATACAATAACATTCAATGGTCAAGGAATTTTGCATAAAACTCGTTTTTTTAACAGCTTTTATAAAATAAAAAACACATGATACGTGCACGAGTTACAGTTTTTTTTGTTTTGTTTTTCAATATTACTTCTCGTTATAGGATAAATATACATTTCAAAAAGAAAATAGATATTTTTTTGCTTTGTTAGGATCGTTCATTTCACTTTTCTTGTTTTATTTTATTAAATATTATAAGTGAAAATTTTTCAAAAAAATCTTATTATGAAAATTTGAAATAAAAATTTAATAAAAAAAGAAGAAAAATAAAAAAAAAATGATTAAAAAAAGGAGTCAAGGTAAAATTAAAAAATAGGAAAGAAAAATGAACCATCCTCTGCATCATTTTTGCTTTCGCAATTATTTTCTACAGAAATTTTCATTTTCTCAAAAACGTTGATTTTCATCATTTTTATAAACTACGTGGGGAAAATTAAAACCATCAAGGTAACATATTGCGAGATGAAAAATGTTCGATTGTTCTGATTTTTGAAATGTGATTTATATATATTATTGTTGAAACGCTATTCAAATAATTTCGATCTGTAACCATAACAACATTGATTTAACATGAATACTACTTTACAGGTGACTTACAGCTTGCATTCCTATTAATCAATAATAATGATACAATTTTTCAAACATTTTTGATGAAAAATCCACATTTCTCTCATCATCATTGTTTTTTTTTACCAAATTATTTCGTTCAGTACAAAAGGAAATTCGATTTTTTTTTACTAAATGAAAATAAGAAAAATATTTATTAATTATTTTTAATTGAAAGACAATATTAATGTTCATTAATTAGTAACTAATTGATAGATTCTTTTTTTATTCCTAAAAATCGTAATTTATTTTTTTTTACAGGAAAATGTAATTTTTTAAAAAAGATATATTTTTTTTCCGATTTATATCTTTATTACTAGTAAAAAAAATTTATTTTTCCGTTTCGTTAGTAATTTAGAAGAATATTTATTGCACAACACAAAATTTTAGACAAACAATAGAGATATGCGAATAAAAAACAAAGCACATTTATAGAGAAAAAAAAAATACAATATTAACTGTAGAAATGTTTCATGCAATGATAGTTGTTATTAATGTTTTTTTTCAAAGGCTTCATGACTTTTTTAATAATTTATATATATATATATATATCTTGTAGAATATGCATCTTAATTATTTTCAATTTTAATTCATTAGTTTAGACAATGCTATTCACTTATATTATCTTTCGGCTTGAACATATTTGAAACTAAACAAAACAAAAATGCCTTGATTTCAGGAACTTATATAATTATTTTCATTTTTTATTTTTCAACATTTTAATTTTTTTTTTTTTTCTAAAAAATGGAAATGATTATTGAAAAATGAAAATTGTTTTTCTCAACACAGAGGTATTAATTTTTGTTTTATTTTTTAATGCTTCTCAGTTTCGTCAGACGAGGCGTCTCTTCAAGTAATTGAACTCACGGTGGAAAAGGTCCTTGAGTTAATCGAATCCGCTTATCCAAATCCAGTAACCGTTGTCGATTTAGCCAAGTAAGTGCGTCTTCGTTTATTTTTAAATGTTTTATTTTTTAAACGAAATTTTGTCAATTTTTCTTTTTTTTTATTACTTATTTAATTTTCATTATCTATTTATTCATAATTTAGTAATTTTCTCAATTTTATTTTGAGGAAATAAGAAAAAACTGTAGGTAATTAATTTTTATACAAAATAATAAATTAAATATGAGATTTGAAGAAGTTTAAATTTAACCCCTTCGCTGTGTAGCAGAAATAAAGCTTCCGTGCCTCGTATGTGGTAAAAAAAATTAAAAAAAAAAAAAATTGATGTTACCATACCTAAGAATACCCATTGACAAGTTTATCGTATTGTGTCTACTTATTTTTTTCTAGATGCTACTATAGCAGTCATACACACACTGGTGGCACGATATTTTTATGCCTCTATAGAGGTCAATAACAGTGAAGGGGTTAAGGATCAAATATTAATTAAAAATATTTATTATTATTGGACTTATTTGTATTAAAAAATTAATGTCACTATTTTTTAATTGATTCTAACTTTTCTTATTGTACAAAATAGTTGTCTCAATAATGTTTTTTACACACCAAAAATATTGAACTTGAAGGAAAAAAATTTGATAGTAAACAATATTCATGTTTTTTTTCAGCACTTTAAAAATTTTTTTTTTTTTTTTTTAATTATATTTTTTTCCTTATACAGTGGCATTAATTTGTTGATGCAAATAATTCAAAAAGTAATAAATATTTTTAATTAATATTTGGTACGGTTAATTAGACCTTCTATCTCTATCTAAAATTTTAATATTTAAAATTAAAAATTTCTTTTCCAATGTCCTTAATCGTGATATTAGAATTTTTTTTAGATAGAATTCAAAATTAAGAAATAAAAATAATTGAATTTTCAAAATAATCGAGTTTCCAAATCTGAAAAATCGTAAAAAGAATTGTTTTTTTTTTTTAATTCACAATTTAAAAGCGTAAATTTCCATATTTTGTTTGAATTTTCATTTTTTAAATTATTCTACAAATGAATATTTTATTGCATAGAATACATTTTTCTAAATATTTTAAACAATTCCAATTTAAAATTTAATGTGAAACAAAATTCATTAATATTGAATTTTATAATAAAATTTGAAGTTAAAAAAAAGTAGGAAACACAATTTTTTTGTTCATTTGAACTTTCAGAACTTTAGAAACATAAAATTGCATAGTACTTTAAGATTTGTTTAATTGAATTTTTCTATTTTAGGGATCATGGTTGGGAGACATCGGCAGTGGAAGCAAAACTAAACGAGTTACAAGAAAAAGGAGTCGTAAAAGCAATGGAACATGGAGCTTTTACGAGAGTTGTTCACCAAGACACTCAAGTCAAAGTAAATTGCTTTTCTTTCTTAATTCAGTAGAATTTACATTTTTTATTTATTGTTTCTCATTTCCGTTCAGTAATGAATGAATAAATTAATTAACTAATTAATTTATTATTAATTAATTTATTTATGTATTTATTAAATAAAAATTAAATTTTTGTTACTCATTTTTCATATATTTAGTTATAAATTTACGCATTTGATTGTTGAGAAATTTTTTCTTATTTTCATATTTTTTTCTTTAAATTTCAGGTGGTCAAACAAATGCCAACAATGGCGAGTTCGAAGCAACCGACAATTGCAATAATTACGGCACAATATTGCGAAAAATTGGCAGTTGATTCGATGATTGAAAATAAAGAGACATTTGTTCGTTACACGACAGTTGGTAAGAAAATCATTTTTTAAAAATATTTTAATTTCAAATTTTTTATTTATTCTTATTTTCTTTAAATGATATTCTAATTTCTTGTACAATTAGATAAATAATAATTCTTGCTCTTTAATCCGCTAATTGAAAATCTCTGCCGCTTTTTTGTTTATCAATACAGAATACTCTTTAATTTTTTCCTCTGGCTGATATTTAAAAATCTGTTTAATAAATAAAAAAATAATTTAGAATTTTTTCCTTGGTCAATATGTTTTTTTTTTTTTCTAAAGAGCTATATTAACATTTTAAGTTTGCTAGGAACTTCTTATATGAGATTTTAATCGAGCAATGCACGTGATATTTTGCAAATAAAGCATGTAAAGATTAAAAATAATTTTTTTTATATAATCGCTTTTTAATGTTTAACAAATTTTAACAATTTATGAAGCTTTTTGAATCGAGAAAATATAATTGAGTTAAACAATAAATTATATTAATTTTATAAAATGAAAGTTGAGAAAAAAATTTCTCACTAATATTCCGAATGACATTACTAATTCCTAAATTAATAATCATTGGTAAAGTTATTAAAATTACTAAAATAAAATAATACAATTATTGGAAAAAATGTACTTTATGCGCGTGCACTGTTTGGTTGAAAATTAAAAAAAAAAGCTTATAATTTATTGGCATTACTGTATTTGCATGAAACTTTAGGTTCGATGAATTCTCCCGATGCCCCTGAGGGAACACCACGAGTAACATGCCGTTTTGGTAAAGTAGTTTGTAATATAGTTTTTATTTGTTTTTTTTATTCGTTTTTAAAAAATATTTGTGTTTTATCACGTCACAGCTTGATCATCGCTTCTGTCCGAGGATGCTGGGTTTGGGATGTTAGATTGTCATTTTTTTTTCTCTCTTTTGATTCTTGTGTGTTTTCAAAAAAAAAATTTTTTTTTGTCAGTTTTGTCTTTCAAATTTTTTTTTTTTTTGCATTTTCTCTCGTAAAATTCTATATAATATTATACTTCAAGCAATTTCAAGGCTTTATAAAAATTAATTTACAATTAATATGAAATTATTAAGAAAAGTTAAAAAAAGAATTATTTCATAGAATTTTAATTTTATTATTTTTTGCGAAAGTTAAGATTTAAATAAATTATTCATCTTTACGTGTGAAATAAAAGAAAACAATACTTGAATTACAATTTTCACTTGTTTTAGAAAAAAAATTTCTTTAAATGAAGAAATTTTTTTAAAAATATTATTTAAATATTAATATTATTAATGGTATTATATTTTTTAAAAACTTTTTATTTGTTTATTTATTTATTTATTTCCTTGAAAGTTAAGTGTAAAATAGAAACAAAAAGCCTGAAAATGTTTAGTGTTTGTTAAATTTATATCTTATTACATTGTGAAAAGTGTAATAATAATAATAATGATTTTCTTTTGTTTATTTTGTCGGAAATAAAGTGAATTGAGTATTTTTTTTATTATTTCTTAATTATTTAAAATTATTTTTTGTAAAATTTAATTTATTATTCATAAAGTTTAATCCATAAAAAATAGTTCAAAAACAAAATTGTCTTGCATTTTATTAAATTTTTTATTTTTAAACATATTTTTTCATTTCAATTTTTATTTATACTTCAAATGAATAAATTTTCTCTATTAAGTGATTTTGACTTGATTCAATTTTTCTCCAACAAAAAAATTATTTTGTGTTTTTAAATTTTTATCATTTGAACGTCTGTGTTTTTTTTCATCAACTGTGTTTTTTCATACGTCAATGAAATTCACAACATTTATTTTCAACAATTTAGAAGAAAAAATATTTTTCTATATACAAATGATTAAAATATTAATATTAATTAATAGTAAATATTTTTTTTATTTTTAATCGTTGATCATAATTGTTGTAAACTTTATCGACATTTTTTTCTTTTGGAAATAATTTCGAATTGTGAATATTCTGCAAATAAAAATCTATTCACGAGTATAATTTTGTCACATTTTCATATATAATATTAATTATACATACACGATATTTTAAATGTCACTAGTATTGAATAAAAGTTGAAAAAAAAATTTTTTTCAGCACTGAATTTAATATTTCTTTTTCACACAAGTTTCTCTGTTTTATGTATTTTTATTAAAAAAAAAAATTACTGCATTTCTTAGCATTGAATGAGACTGTTTTTTTTTTTATTTATTTTTTTATTTATAAAATAAAATGATTCACCCAAAACACCGATCGAGAATAGATAGCAGCACAATTCACTTTGTGTACAATACACGAGATTTAATTAAAGAAAAAATGTTCTTTGAGAAAATTTTAATATTTTTCATTTTTATTGAATTACAGGAGAATCAAATGTTTATACTTTGGGAAATATTGGAGCGCATAGAATTGTTTGCACAAAACTTCCAACTGTTGGTCATACCAGAGAGGCAATGACTGCTGCCGGAAATACAACAACTCGTTTATTAGGTAAAAAACAAAATTTTTTTTTAATTTTAAAATAATTTTTTTTTGTATTTTTTTATCGTTTAATTATAATTTCTTCACTTTAATAATATTTAATATCTTCTTTTATTTCTAAGAAAAATGTTTATTTATATTTTTATTTGCAGAAATTAAAAAATATAATAAAATAAATATTAAATTTTGTATTTTTTTTATGAAAGTTTACGTTTTTAAAAAATTGTTGAATTATTTATTAAAATTGAAAATATTTAAATAGAGTGAATTTAATTTCTTTGAATTTGTTATTTTTTTTTTCGCAGGAACATTTCAAAAAGTGGACTTTGTTTTTCTTGTCGGAGTTGGCGGTGGAGTTCCTCATTATACAGATTATGTGAAACACGTGAGATTAGGTGATGTCGTAATTTCTCATCCGACTCCTCTCAATAAGCAATATGTTTATGTTTATTGTGAGAGCGCAAAAATGAACGAAAATGGCAATTATCATTTTGAAACTAAAGAATATTGTCCATCGAATTTGTGTCTTCAGGAAATTGCCGCCAATTTGAAAAATCAAGTAAAAAAATTTATTAATAATTTATAATTAGTTCTTTCATTATTATGACATTTATTAAATTTTCATTGGTTTCTATCAAATTTTCATTCGATTTAAATTATATCTACAGCGTATTTAATTATTATTATTATTATATGTGACAGTCCCCGAGAGAAGGGACCTTAGCTCACCAAAACGAATTTCACAGGGCGAGCGTTTGAAGAAGAAGCAGAAACGCGGAACTCGAAGAGTGGGGCGGAACTTCTGAAAAGTCCCCCCACCACACTAACACAACGTTGTGTTTCTGTATACGTGAGCTTCGTCTACTTCGTGTATCTTCGGGTCTCACGTACGCGAAGCTCACGTACGCGAGAGTATAGTTGTGTAAGTAAAGTAGTGGGGCTGATTTCTTGAGTGCCACAATCCGCCTCGAAATGCGCTTGACATACCCATCTTCAAAATGTTATTGTGTCAAAAGCAATTATCCTAATCAGTTTTTGACTTTTGCATGTGAAAAAGCAATTCAAAATCTATCATTTACCATATAAAACTCAATATTGACCTCTGGTGAGCTAAGGTCCCTTCTCTCGGGGACTGTCACATATATTATTTTATTAAACTTTCGTTGGTTTCAATCAAATTTTCATGATTTAAATAAAAATTTTCTTGATTTGATTTTTTTTTACTGTGAATATTTTACGATTCAATTTGAATTTCATTTTGTCGTGTTAATTGAAAAAGAATACAAAATTTAATAACTGAAAAAAAAAATTTTTTTAAGACTCTTTAAAAATTGAATATAAGTACTGACAATATATAGTATAAATATACTAAAAGGCTCTCATTAGTTCCAGAATATTAACATTTCCGCAATTTATTTTTAAACAGGCCGAGAACAATTCAAATCCTCCCTGGCAAACTTATGTAGAGGAAGGATTGAAATCGCTGGGTAGTCAAACGGAACATGACTTTAAGGCACCTCCACCGGAAACTGATAAATTATACATGGCAATCGGTGACAAAGGCGTGATCGAAGTGGCACATCCCAGTGCTCCTCAAGATTCTTCAAATTTAAGGTAATGAGCATTTAAAAGAAAACAAACATTTATTTTTAAATCAGTAAAATATATTAGGAATTTAAAAAGAAAAATTTGTTGAAAATTTATTTTTGAATTAGATTTTTTTTTTAAATTTATGAGTTAAAATCTTAAGAATTATTTTAATTCAATTTTTTTTTTAAATATTTAAATCAACAATTTATGATTTAAAATTTAGAAATCTGTTAAAAATTGAAAATTTTGAAGATACTTTAAATTATTTATATTTATATTTGCCAATATTGGGCCACTTTTTTGCCAATGATAAATTTTTTACTGGGTACTATTTCAAAAATTTTTTTTCATTTTTTCGATCGTGGGCAAACAATTTTTACAATATTTTCGTAATTTTTTAAAAAAATTTTGAATTTTTTTAAATACACACACATTTTGAAAAAAAAACTTTTGAAATTGATCCTTTTTCAAGGAAATTATTTATTATTTGTCTATTGAATGAATTAATTTAATTATCATCAAATATCAAATAAACTAATCGAGATAATAAGATTAACTAACTATAGCGATTATAGTTATAAATAAAATAAACAAATATTGAAAATATTATCAAACTAAATGCCTGTAAAACGACGGCAATTTTCCGCTCATTAATTCTCAATAATTACTAGAGATAAACGTTTCAGAACGGATGGCTGTGCTCGCATTCATTTAGCGCCTGTTGCCTCCGGTCGACAAATTGCCCGGGACGATCAGTTGCGACAAAAATTTGCATCACGCTTTGGAGCTCTTGCTTTTGACGCTGAAATGGACGCAGTCGTTGAAAGTATTTTGGGCAATTGCCGCGATAGTTTTGCTGTTGTTCGCGGTATTTCTGATTATAAAGATGGATCGCGATTCAAAGAATGGCAACCGTACGCTTCACTTGCCGCAGCAAGTGTTGTTAAATCAATTATCTGCGCCATGGATCCACCAGTAAACGCTTAGATTTATTATCAAATCTAAATAATAGGTGCACAAAAAATCTCGTTTCAAAATCATTTTCATACAAAAAAAAAAAAAAAAAAAAAGTCACGTGGGAAAATAGGAAGCACTGAATCAGGAAAAGAGATTTTTCTTTAAATTATTTAATAAGAAAAAATAAGAAGAGAAAAGAGCTAAGAAAGTTTTATCTAATTCTTTCAGAAATAACTTTTTCAATTATTTGCCTCAAGTTCTGAACGTTCAAATGAACGAAAAATTCATTAACTACTTCAAATTTTATTATAAAATATCTATCTGTATTTAAAAATACATTAATTTTTTTATTTTTCGTTTCCATTGTTATTTTTTTGAAAAATTTATAGACAAAAAAAAATATTTCGTTCAGAACTTTAGATACATGCAATTTTAATTTATTTTTAGTAAAATGATTAGATTCGAGATTTTTAGCTAAAATAGCTGAAAAAAATAGGATACATTCGATGTATTGTAGAGTAAATTATTATTATTATTATTAATCGCGATGATTGGAAAAAAGATTTTGTCTGCAGATTCTCTGCAGAAAAAAGGAGAAGTGCATGTGCCATTTTAAATTAAAGCCATTGTGTAAATGTGCCGAACTGTTTAAGAAAATTGGTTCAAGTTCTTTTAATGAAACAATTAATTCGAGTTTTCATTTAATATTACAAAATTATTATTATTTGAAACTCGATTCGTTAGACTTTCGTAAAAAAAAAAAAAAAATTAGCCCGGTGTATCTAAAAGAAAAACAAGAATAGGCTTTAGAGGAAAATTTCTGATACTCTGATTATAAGAAGGAAAAAAAGTGATAATATATAAAAAGTTGTAGGTTAACCATTTAAGTTCCTGGGTTTTCAAAACTTTGGTGCAAATACTTCTATTTTTTTTTAAATCGAATTATAATTATTTGTTTTATTGAAAATCTCAGGAATTTAAAAGAATCGCGAAAAAATGTCGAAAATCAAAAATGTAAAAAGAAGACTTACATTGATATTCCTTGAATTTTGATAAAAATTAATTCAACCACTTATTATATTATTGTTATTAATTTTGAATTAATGTATATTTTTTATTTCTTTCTTATTATATAAATGAGAAGTATTTATTTTTATCTATAAAATAAGAAAAAAAAAACATTAAAAATAATTGAAGAAAAATGCAAAATAAATTTAAATTACTTGAATAATGTTTTTTACAAAATCAAGAAATGTCATTTCTAGTCTTTAGAAGAAGAAAAAGAACAGAGACTTTGTTAAAAAAAAAATTGCTTATCATAGAGTGCAAAAAAGAGTATTATTAAAAGTACATGTAATATTGTATTTTTCATCAAAATAATTACGAATTTTTTTTTTTTTTATAATTTTATTGATAAATTATTAATAGAAAAAATTCATAATTGTTGATAAAAATCGACAATTTTTTTTTTTAAATAAAAAACGAAAGCTAAAATGTGCCAATGTGTTCATAAAAAAAGAAAATAAGAAATAACGAGCAGACTCAAAAAAAAAAAAAAAAAAAAAATAGAACCATTTTATTTAAAAATTAAATGTTTTCTTAGCTTATAAGAATTTTCTCACAGTTTTCATAAATTCAAGCACACTCAAAAAGAAGTTACAAGTTTTTATAGTCTAAAGCACAGGGTAGAAAATAAAGACTAACTGATAATAATTATAAATTTCTAAATTCAGTGACTCGACGCAAGTAATGAAAAAATAAATATTGCTCTCTGGAAATTTTTTTCCTTTCAATTGAATATTTTATTATTAATACACGAAAAATATTAATTAACAAATTAATGATCAATTAATATAATATTAAAAATATTGTTTTTTAATTTTTTTTATTACATTGATTAAATTATTTTTTAATAATTTAAATGTTATAATAATTATTAATAATAATGACTAAAATTAATTTTATTAAATATTTATTATTAATAATAATAATAATATTGAAGAAACGATTTTTTTTCTCCAATTTTTGACGCGTCGAGTCTTGATTAAATCAAAATAGAAATCTCACAATATCAAACTCAAATTTGACATAACACTTGTTGTTTAAGTGCACACGAGGAAAGTCTTTGAACTACAGCAAAGCGATTATATTATAGATAGCAAAAAAAAAAAAAAAAAAAAATAGAATATAGATATATAAATAAATATATACGTATCAAATATAATATATTATAATTATAACAGATCTATTAATATTGCAATTTGCAGTTCGACTTACCTGAAGACAGATTTCTATTTATGGCCTAATCTTAAGTCTGCATTTTAAATATGTATTATTAATTTATAATTTATTTATTAATTATATTAGTTATAATTAAGAAATTTCATGAAACATAAAATGAATTCATGAAAATTAACAATAACATTGTGACAAGTCTGAAAATTTTTTTTTTAAGCAATAAAGAATTCTTACGCTCCTGAAGTAAGAAAAAGTAAAAAAAAAAAAGAAAAATTTCATAAAAGTATGACAATTTTAATTATACTTAAAAAATTTCAATTTATTAATAAAATTTTGAATAATTTTTATTCTTACTTGTGACAATGATATTGTTTACCTGATAAGCTATGATTATTTTTAAGTTTCGGAAAAAAAAAAATTATTTCCGAAAGTGCATTAAGGCCAGGTACAACTGTAAACAAACATGAAAATGTACGTAATTATTGACAAATTTGCGACAGCTTTTTTTTTAATAGAAAATAAAAATTGTTCTTTCTCCATGCGAAAATGGAAAATTCATATATATGAATATATATTTATACCGTATTCGACTAATAATATGAATAATAATAATTATAATAAAATGAAAATTACACTGAAACAACAATTTTCTCAAGGTTACGAACAAATAACCATTTTGAGTATATCTGAGGCACGGACGTTGTAAACCGAGGTGGGAGAAAGAGTGTGGGAAGGGGTAAAAGACCTAGTCTTTGTCCTCTGGTGGGGGTATAATTTCAGAATTTTACCCTTTCCAAGATGTGACCGTCCAATCGTTCAACTCTTTCTCCCACCTAGGTTCACAACGTCCGTGCCTCAGATATACTCAAATGGTTATTTTTTTCGTAACCTTGAGAAAATTGTTGTTTCAGTGTAATTTTCATTTTATTATAATTATTAATATTATTCATATTATTAGTCATATACAGTGTTAGGTTGTAGTTTTATATATAAATTTTCCATTTTCACGTAGAAAAAGAATAATTTTTATTTTCTATTAAAAAAAAGGCTGTCGCAAATTTGTCAATAATTACGTACATTTTCATGTTTGTTTACAGTTGTACCTGGCCTTAAAAATAATATCGCGCCTTTGACGCTAGTCCTAACTTTGATTATTTTTAAGTAATTGTGAAACAACTATATATTTATTATTCGTATAATTAATATATGATACAATTTGCAGAATAGGAGAGAAAATTTTGTGAATTTTTTCCATTGTTAGCTTTTTAAACACCAAGTTTATTCTATAAGAACGCCAATTTTATAAATATATATATCATTTCCGTTTTAGTATTTAGTCTTCCAATGGACCAAGCACAAAAAAATCGACTGACGAGCTTTGTCATCTTTTTTTTTTGTATTAAATATTCGAAGCTCACCAATCGAGGCACTAAAATTGAAAAAAAACTTTCACCTTATTTTTTTTTGTATTCAAATTTTTGATTGATAATTTAGTGTTGAAAAAAATTGTTTGTTCATAACATTTTTCCAAGTTGGATATATTTTTAATTTTTTCCACTTATCATTTATTGACAAATTATTATTTATTTATTAACCGATATATTCTTTTTATATTGGAGAATATATATTATTAAGACCCTTTTTCTGAATTTGTTGTCAAATACACTAGAGTCTCCGAAGAGAGGACAGAAAGAGTCTTGGACCTCTCTACGGAATTCGTCCTTGACGCCGAAAATTGTAAACACTCCAGGGCCGTATATCGTATCACAGAGATGTGTTTTTTTAACAGAATACATTCTGTTACGTATGTAAAACACTACGCGAGAAAGGTACACTAAAAACAAACGCTCCTGAGTTCACGTTCCTCTTTCTGATCCCGCCCATCTCTTCCCCCCTCACTCCTTACCGCGCCGCGTCACTACTTAGTCCTCTCTTCAGAAGTCCTCTCTTGGGAGACTCCAGTGTATAGAAAATAAAATGTTTAAGGGGTTTTAAGGATACGGTGACCGTAACATAACCTCAAACTAAAAAATTGTTTTTAACGCAAAAACTGCAGTTTTTATTATAAACAATATAGTTTATTTACCTGGACCTTCCAAAACTGTTCGAAATTATTAAAACATACCATTTTACCCTTAAATAATGGCGGTTTTAACACCAAATCTTTTTTCATTTTAGAGAAAGTTAGAGATTCAGTTTTGCTTGCAACGTTTTCAATCCACTTTAGCTCTCACTCATATAAATTATAAATTTCATTTTTATCATCAGAAAATTAATTTTACAATTTGGCATTGCTATTAAAAAAAAATAATAATTTTCAAAACATGTGATGTGCTTTGAATTAGGCTGCTTCCACAATAGCTAAATCAGATTTTTTTAGAACGGGACGATGCGCGCGCATCCAATACTAAAAATTAAAAAAAAAACATTTTAGGTTGGTTCCACAATAGGCAAAATCGTATCGTTTTGAAGACAATTTTCATGCCAAAACGATGCGCGCGCATGCTTTTTCTCTTGTCGCCAATCGTTTTGTTTTGAAAATCGTCTTCAGAACGGTACGATTTTGCTTGTTGTGGAATCAACCTTACCTGGGTGGATATAAAATATTTGATTTTCTTTAACAAAACAAATTTTTTTTTAAGAATGGGACCTATGATTATGATATGCATGAGAAACAAATTATAAGTTATGTTTACGATAGTTTTTTACCTTGATTGTTTTTTTATTATATCGATGAAATAAAGTGTCTCGATTGATGTTGTTCTTTGAAGGTGTTCAAATATAAAATGTATACCAATTTTTAATTATTGTAAGTGATAAAAATTGAAATAACAATAAAATATACATTAGAAATTCGAATAATAATATTAAAGAAAAAAAAGCTTGAATTCTCGACTTGGTAATTGAAAAATAACGACGAGAAAAATGTTTTCTAATTTTATATATTTCAATCATTCCTTCTCTTTTGACATATTATATGTATGTGATATCATAATGAAGATTACGTCAGTTTATTAGATTAGTTTTTACATTTTTTCTATATTTGTCTTTTTTTTGGGACGAGTTCATAAAACTTTGTATATGTGTCATTTAGTATCATTATTGTCAAATAAACTCTTATATTATATGTATGTGATATCATAATGAAGATTACGTCAGTTTATTAGATTAGTTTTTACATTTTTTCTATATTTGTCTTTTTTTTGGGACGAGTTCATAAAACTTTGTATATGTGTCATTTAGTATCATTATTGTCAAATAAACTCTTAATTGACGAGAGGTTATTATTCGTAATTGTTATTTATTATATCAATATTTATAACGTTCCACGAGAAAAGGTACCTAACGCGATATTTAAATGAAGGTTATGATTATATACATGTCATAGAAAATGCAATTTTCAATAGTTTTTTAAATTCATTTGCTTTCTTTTTATTTTTCCATATTTATGCTCCTTCTAAATTTTCAGAATATTTAACAATTACATTTAACAAATCTTGAATTTTTAATTTCCTTAAGGCCAGGTCCAAGTGAGGCAGCGCCATCTACATTGATACTAAAATTTTGGAAAATTTTCAACAGCCTTTTCTTGAAAACAAGATGGTAAAATACTTTTTCCTTTATGGATAATTGATTATTGGCAAGATATATACCAGCTAAAACTTTTTTTGAGTTAAAATAATAAAAAAAATTTCCATGTCGATAAATTAAATATGAGCACTTTTTTCACAAAAACTGTAACAGTACTTTCTCAGAAATTACAATCAAAAATGCAATTTCCATTTGGAAAATTAATAAACGCTAAAAAATACACCACCTAAGATTTACCAATCACGAAAAAAACAAAAAAAAAATTTTATTAAGGAAGTTCTACCCCTCCAACGTCAGTCAAATCAATGCCCATTTAAGTTTTCATTTGTATCACGTAGTACTAGCTCAACGCTTGGCAACGTTGGATTATATTTCCCCCGTTCCGTTTCGTGTCGTCTGCTATTGTTTGATTTATTTTCGTTAAATAATAATAATAATAATTTATTATTTTAAAAATCTTAATTTTTTATAAGCAAATTCAAATAATTATTCATTATTATGAATCTTTGAAGAATATACTATTATATGTATATACTACTTATATTACTTTCAAATTTCGCGCTTTTTCTATACCTAACCTACAAGACGCAACGTTGCCAAGCGTTGTGCTAAGTAATTTCTGATTGTCAAAATACGGTGTTTTTTTAGACAAAATAATTAATTGTGAGTCTCCTAAGCCAGGTCTGATCAATTTTATTAAAAGTAAGTGAACATTGGCTATTAAACTTTATGTATATAAAGTTCCAGTAATATCTTTTCGTCAGATTTTTCACAATTTGAGATTTCAGACCAAAAAATTCAATTTCCCATAAGAACCCGTGTTAAATGTGAAAAGAGAAAATTATTTATATCTTTTGTCAAAATCCACCTAGACCTCTAAAAATTTAACTACATCTTCTTTAAACCATTATCTATCAGTTTATCAAGTTTGATAATTAACTCTTCGTCATTTCTGTTTGCGAGAGAACTTCCTTAAATATTTAACATATTGATACTGCTTTACTGATTGTGGCAGCCCTTTGGTAGATTATGTATTTTAGGTGGTTAGCAACAGCGCCAATCTCCTCCTTTCGGCAAAACCGCGAAACGTCAGGTGACATATATAACCTGCCAAACGGCTGTCATAATTAGTAAAATATGTTCTGTTAAAAAACTTTTTTTTTTGTTATTTTCGTGATTGGTAAATCTTAGGTCGTGTATTTTTTAGCGTTTATTAATTTTCCAAATGGAAATTGCATTTTTGATTGTAATTTCTGAGAAAGTACTGTTACAGTTTTTGTGAAAAAAGTGCTCATATTTAATTTATCGACATGAAATTTTTTTCATTATTTTAACTCAAAAAAAGTTTTAGCTGGTATATATCTTGCCAATAACACAGCCACACAAAAAAAAGTACCCGGGCCGGGGAATGAGACCACCATTTCTTGATGTATTTTGATGCGCTGAACACGAATCTGAAGTCCGTTTATCTCCATCACGTCAGGATTTTGACATAACCTCAAAAAAAATAGCTGATTTTAAATGACAGGAGAAATTTTTTAAATAATGGCAGATTTGCTTGAATCTTGTTACTCGGGGGTTTTTGGGGTCGCTGATTACGAATTTAACGTCAGATTTATAAAATTCAAAATGGCGGATCCAATATGGCGGACGAATTTTTAAAAAGTAGTTGGATTTTTACGAAAATTGGTATCTAGGGGTTTTGGGAGTCGCTGATTACAAATTTATCGTCAGATTATTCAAATTCAAAATGGCGGATCCAATATGGCGGACGAGTTTTAAAAAATAGTTGAAATTTTTATGTAACTTGGCCGATACTGGGGTTCCGAGTCCCTGCATCGTAATACGTTTGCTATGTGTGTCTGCCATGACGGCATCAAAGTCATTATCCAGGGACTTAGCCGGATAGCGGACAAACTCCGTTGCCCACCGTCACCGCGTGGAGGTGCCCTGGATGCAGACACATGTAGAAACATAAAGATATTTGACCACCGTACTATATCTGCCATTTTACATTTGAATAATCTGACGTTAAATTCGTAATCAGCGACTCCAAAAAAACCCCATGATACCAATTTTTGTAAAAATCCAACTACTTTTTAAAAATTTGTCCGCCATATTGGATCCGCCATTTTGAATTTGAATAATCTGACGATAAAATCAGCGACTCCCAAAACCCCTAGATACCAATTTTCGTAAAAATCCAACTACTTTTTAAAAATTCGTCCGCCATATTGGATCCGCCATTTTGAATTTTATAAATCTGACGTTAAATTCGTAATTAGCGACCCCAAAAACCCCCGAGTAACAAGATTCAAGCAAATCTGCCATTATTTAAAAAATTTCTCCTGTCATTTAAAATCAGCTATGTTTTTTAAGGTTATGTCAAAATCCTGACGTGATGGAGATAAACAGACTTCAGATTCGTGTTCAGCGCATCAAAATACATCAATAAAAGGTGGTCTCATTCCCCGGCCCGGGTACTTTTTTTTTTGTGTGGCTGTGTAATCAATTATCCATAAAGGAAGAAGTATTTTACCATCTTGTTTTCAAGAAAAGGCTGTTGAAAATTTTCCAAAATTTTAGTATCAATGTAGATGGCGCTGCCTCACTTGGACCTGGCCTTAAATATCCCCTCACAATATTGAGCAATCCAGTGTGACGTCACAACGCCTCGGTAAAACCAATATCTGTACGTAGTTACCACGCGTGGGGCATGTTTACATTGCTTATAATACCAACTTGTCAGAATTTGCTATTATAATTAAAAAATTAATATAAAATGCCTGCCACTTGTCTTGTGCTTGACTGCAAAAGTCGTAATGGAGTTGATTCCGTGAATTTTTTTCGAATTCCAGTGGCTAGGAAATTAAAATCGGAAGATTTATGTAAATTGGTACATGACCGGCGAGAAAAATGGTTACGTGTTTTGAAACGAGGTGAATTAACTAAAACCCAACTAGAAAATGGACGAATTTGTTCTAAACATTTCATTACAGGTATGTATTAATTAAATTTTATAATTTGAAGAAATATATGTATATATTATACATGTTATTGTATTGTATATATAGTACATATATATATTACATAACCTATTTATAACTATCGAATACACGCATCTATGTTTATATATTGAATGACCAGAATTATCAGAAAAATAATTAATATTATACACAATTATATATGTATGTATTATAATAATTCTTTTAAGGTAAACCAGCTGCATTTTATGAAAGTCATCATCCCGATTGGGTGCCGAATCAACACATGGGATACAGTGTAGGTGTTATGTTAAAGAAGCCCTCGGATGTAGAAAGATACGAGAGGACAAAAAGAAGAGTAAATATCCAACAATTTGTTATTACCATTAAACATTGAAAATATGATAATCAATATATTTATTTACTATATTATGGCTAAAAGTTAGATTAAACAGTATACATGTAAATAATTTTAATTGTATAAAAAATGCAAGTGTACAATTTTTTTCAATTGAAATTTTCTCAAATGTTTAAATGATAAATCGACAAAAGTATGAATTTTGATTAGCCTTCATGAAGTGGAGATGAACAATATAATCATGTTACTTTTATAGTTGGAATTTTTGTAAATTTTTTTTTAAATTCTTGTAAATTCCTCTTACTTCTTTCAGATCAAAACTTTCATTTATTAATTGTACTTAAATATATACTAATATTTTCTTGAAAATTTAGATTTATTAAGAGTCTGAAAAAAGTTCATAAAAATTTATTCTTTTTACAATTGCATATCTTATCCATGCTAAACAGGGTTGCCACATGTCAGGGAAGTTAGGGAAGTCAGGAAAATGTCAGAGAAGAAGTTTTTTGTCAGGGAAGATTTTGAAATTGGATGAAATTAAACATGAAAAAAATAATTTAAATTTTCAAAAAATTGAACAAAATTTTATAAAGTAAAATACCGATAAAATGAATTTGGAAATGTCTTTTAAGCTTTATAACATTCAGGGTTACCATGGCTCAGGGAAATCAGGGAAACGTCGGGGAATTTTGTCAAAAGTACTGGAAAGTATAAAAGTTGTATAAATGCTACAAAAATTACGTTTTTTAAAAATTTTAATTCAAATTTTAAGTTTTAAAAATACTTGTTTAATTTTTTTATAGTTGAAAATCTCTTCAAACTTTTGCATTTGGGTCAGGGAAAAACAAAATAAAATTTTAGTGACAAATCTGATCACTCTAAATTTTAATGAATTAAAAATTCAATTATTCCAAGTTCAAATCAATTAAAAATTCAATTATTTCAAATTTAAATTATTGAAGATTTGTTTACATACTTCAGACAATAATTGAATTTTTGAGAATTTTTAAATTCAAAAATTTTTTAAACAATTGAATTTTGGAAAGAGCTACAAATTTGATTTTATTAAATAATTCAATTTCAAGATATTTGAACTTGAAATTTTTGTAAATTTGAACTGAACAATTTTTTACAAATTTTTCACAATAATTGAATTTTAGAAAATTTTTAATTGAAAAATGTTTTAAATAATTCAATTCTGAAAGATTTGCACTTTAGATTGTTAAAAATAATTGAATTTTGAATAATTTATTCTTTATGTTGTTAAAAATAATTGAATTTCCGGAAATTTTAAATTAAAAAGTTAAAAATTTCTATCAAAAATACTAAAAAAAATATTAAAATTTTAAAAATGCACCGATAATTCCATTTTTTAAAAATTTTAATTAAAATTTTTGCGTGTAAAAATTGTTGACTAATTTTTTAAAAAGGACAACCTTTTGAAAATTTTTCATTTGGGTCAGAGAAAAATTCGAAATTCCATTGGGAAATCAAGGAAAAGTCAAGGAAAAACGAAATGAAATTTTGGTGGTAACCTTGACATTAAATTTTGGTAAAATTTTTTATCTGTACTAAAAATTTTCTGTCAGGAAAAATTTTTTTAATGTCAGGGAAAAGTCAGAGAAATTAAAAAATGAATTCTTGTGGCAATCCTGTCTATAAAGTATTGTTACGTATTTTATGTGAATATTTTAACTCGATTAAACTAAACAATTTTTTAGGCTTACCAGAAACTTTCAATTTTAATTGAAAAAAGCATCCCACATGTTGAAGGAGCAGATTCATCGACCGAGGTTTCATTTCCGAATCTAGTGATAGAAACCAATGAAATCGTTTCATTGCCAAAGGAAAACGAAGCAGTTTCTGAATGTTTTACCTATAAAAGAAGAAAAAATTAGAAACTCATATATAATCATAATAACTCAGCGGTTGACAGTCGTGAGAAAAATAAAGAATTTCTTTGATAATGGAATTAATTTTAAAAATTTCTGCTGAGCCATAAATAAATATTATAATTTTCTGACACCTTGGCGGATTCGATTTGCGTAATGTCTACTTAACTAAGCGGACTTTAGGTAGACATTAGGTAGACATGTAAAAAAACGTATAAAAAAGCTATTAATCGACTTATTATGATAAAAAAAAGTTGATAAAAGGGTAAATGAATGTTTATAGAGTAAATTCGTACAAAATTTGTAATTAATAAAGCAATAAATAATTAATAATGAATGGAAATGTGCGCGAGGTACCTGATCAGTTCAGCTGTACAATTATTTTCGTGCTATTTTCATGAAAAGAATATAAATTAACTGCAAAAACAATTGATATTTATAAAAAAGTGTAAAATTGATTTAATTTTATTGTTTGCAATACGAATTATTAAATAATAATTAAGTTTTTATCAAATGTGAATAGTGTTGTGAAAACCTGTGAAAACTAATGAGTTACTACATTACCGATCGCATATGAGAGATGGCGCCACCAGTTTTTACAATACAGTGCGAGCATGTTTTCTTCCAAGCTTTTGCTTTGAAAGAAAATAAAAAGTGAATTTTAAAATGCAGAATAAAGTTATACAAATAATTATTGATTTCATAATTGTTTCTCGTTCAAAATTACGGACATGATTGCAGCTTTTTTGTTACACTCATCGAGAACTTTTTATTATCATATGCGATCGGTAATGTAGTAACTCATTAGTTTTCACAGGTTTTCACAACACTATTCACATTTGATAAAAACTTAATTATTATTTAATAATTCGTATTGCAAACACTCAAATTAAATCAATTTTACACTTTTTTATAAATATCAATTATTTTTGCCGTTAATTTATATTCTTTTCATGAAAATAGCACGAAAATAATTGTACAGCTGAACTGATCAGGTACCTCGCGCACATTTCCATTCATTATTAATTATTTATTGCTTTATTAATTACAAATTTTGTACGAATTTACTCTATAAACATTCATTTACCCTTTTATCAACTTTTTTTTATCATAATAAGTCGATTAATAGCTTTTTTATACGTTTTTTTACATGTCTACCTAATGTCTACCTAAAGTCCGCTTAGTTAAGTAGACATTACGCAAATCGAATCCGCCAGGGTACACTTTTTTATAAATATCAATTGTTTTTGCAGTTAATTTATATTCTTTTCATGAAAATAGCACGAAAATAATTGTACAGCTGAACTGATCAGGTACCTCGCGCACATTTCCATTCATTATTAATTATTTATTGCTTTATTAATTACAAATTTTATACGAATTTACTCTATAAACATTCATTTACCCTTTTATCAACTTTTTTTTATCATAATAAGTCGATTAATAGCTTTTTTATACGTTTTTTTACATGTCTACCTAATGTCTACCTAAAGTCCGCTTAGTTAAGTAGACATTACGCAAATCGAATCCACCAGGGCACCTAATATTAAAAAGATAATAATTATAAAAATAACAATACTACAAAAAATTTCCTGATATAAATTTTAAAAAATTCAATTTTTAGTAATTGCTGCAGCTAATGTAATATTTAATTAGTTTGTCTTTTGCTTAATATTTCACTACCTAAAACAATGAAAATAACTATTAATTTGTAAGTTTATGAATAAAAGAGAAATCATAGATTTCTTTCATTTTTAATTTATAACTTAATACTATATATAAATGTGTCTCAACGCAGTTAATGTATTTACTATTTACTATATTACATAAAAATTCGTATATACATACCTCACCACGCACGACATACTTGTCGTTTATTTTTATAAAAAGAATCTTTTGTACAAAACCAGCGACAAGAAATTTAAAAGCTTCCAAGCTTTTAAAAGCTTTTACTTCATCTTCAGTGTAGCAACTACGTGTTGAAAGTAAATATCTATATAAATCAACCACTTCAATTGGCACTAGTTCTTTGAGATTAGCACTCAAATCACTTTCTTTAATCGCATAAGGATCACAATTGTTAATATCCTTTATTTTTTCTAATTAACGACGCTTCACATCTCCTTGAAGAGTATGAAAATACTTGCTAAACATTTTTACTTTTTGTTTAAATTAATTTATTTCACCGGCATTCACATAATCTCTATGCAACTGAATGTAAACATGCCCCACGCGTGGTAACTACGTACAGATATTGCTTTTACCGACGCGTTGTGACGTCACACTGGATTGCTCAATGCCAAGAATCTTTAATTTTAATATTTAACAGAAATTCAAATCCAATATTCAGTCAACCTCTGTGACTGACCTTTATGGCCAGGTCCAAGTGAGGCAGCGCCATTTACATTGATACTAAAATTTTGGAAAATTTTCAACAGCCTTTTCTTGAAAACAAGATGGTAAAAATGCTTTTTCCTTTATGGATAATTGATTATTGGCAAGATATATACCAGCTAAAACTTTTTTTGAGTTAAAATAATAAAAAAAATTTCATGTCTTTAAATTAAATATGAGCACTTTTTTCACAAAAACTGTAACAGTACTTTCTCAGAAATTACAATCAAAAATGCAATTTCCATTTGGAAAATTAATAAACGCTAAAAAATACACGACCTAAGATTTACCAATCATGAAAATAACAAAAAAAAAGTTTTTTAACATAACATATTTTACTCATTATGACAGCCGTTTCGCAGTTTTGCCGAAAGGAGGAGATTGGCGCTGTTGCTAATCACCTGAAATACATAATCTACCAAAGGGCTGTCACAATCAGTAAAGCAGTATCAATATGTTAAATATTTAATAAATTTTTTTTTTGTTATTTTCGTGATTGTTAAATCTTAGGTGGTGTATTTTTTAGCGTTTATTAATTGAGGGGCTGGAAACAATAACAACCAGTACGCTCGGCCGGTCGCTTTGAAGCCAGTCAACACGTCAAAAAGGTGAAAAAATTGAAACTCAAAATTCGGATTCTTCAAAAGCTTCACTTTATAGAAGATAAAAAATGCATCTTTTTTCTCTCAGAAATTTTTTTCTAAATCCAATATTTTTGATAATAAAAGCAAAAAACCCAAAAAAAAAATTTCTCAAATTTAATTAAATTTTGAAATATAAACGAACATTTCTTTCACAAATAGTAATAAATTTGTTTACAACTTGGTATACATACTAAATTAGGTCTAATAAAGCCATTAAAACATTAGAAAAGGCAAAAAAAATTATTGTTTTATTATTTTTAATTAAAAATTGAAAGAGGTCGATATTCACATTTTCTAACTTTTGACGATAAAATGTCTACAGGGAATTTCAAAACTGTAAGAACTTCTCTTATAATATTTATATTATTTATATTTATTTATATTATATTTATAATATGCGTATTTTAAATATTTACAAAATATCAAGTATGAATTATAAATGTTACTAATATTAATATTGTTAACAATTCTAATACTAATGTACATACATATAAGATACTGATCACAAAAAATAAACATAACTTTCTTCTTATTTCACTAATTTCTTATTATTCGAGCCGAAATAATTTCACATACTTCAAGAAAGAGTCTCCAGCGGGTTAAGTGAACGCGATGGGCTATCTGCTTTTTCTTGAAAATTAATTTTTTTAAAAACTATAACAGGAATTGATTTGGAATTTTGCAGAAAACTTTCTGAAAAAGTAGTGAATAAATATTATAAGAGAAGTTCTTACAGTTTTGAAATTCCCTGCAGACATTTTATCGTCAAAAGTTAGAAAATGTGAATATCGACCTCTTTCAATTTTTAATTAAAAATAATAAAACAATAATTTTTTTGCCTTTTCTAATGTTTTAATGGCTTTATTAGACCTAGTTTAGTATGTATACCAAGTTGTAAACAAATTTATTACTATTTGTGAAAGAAATAATCGTTTACATTTTAAAATTTCATTACATTTGATAAAATTTTTTTTGGGCTTTTTGCTTTTATTATCAAAAATATTGGATTTAAAAAAAAGTTTCTAAGAGAAAAAAAATATGTTTTTTTATCTTCTATAAAGTAGTGCTTCTGAAAAATCCGAATTTTGAGTTTCAATTTTGAGGTGTTGATTGGCTTCAAAGCGACCGGCCGAGCGTACTGGTTGTTATTGTTTCCGGCCCCTCAATTTTCCAAATGGAAATTGCATTTTTGATTGTAATTTCTGAGAAAGTACTGTTACAGTTTTTGTTAAAAAAGTGCTCATATTTAATTTATCGACATGAAATTTTTTTCATCATTTTAATTCAAAAAAAGTTTTAGCTGGTATATATCTTGCCAATAATCAATTATCCATAAAGGAAAAAGTATTTTACCATCTTGTTTTCAAGAAAAGGCTGTTGAAAATTTTCCAAAATTTTAGTATCAATGTAGATGGCGCTGCCTCACTTGGACCTGGCCTTATTATGCGCGGACATTTAAACATCAACTCAACCTCGTTTGGTTCGTTTTATTTATATTTATTATATTTTTTTATATTTCATGTTTTATAATATATTTTTATTAAAAATTTTTTTTTTAAATTATTGTATTCTGAAATATTGATTTCCCAGTTTCATTAATTTAATTTCCCTTTTTTCAAGATTTTTCCCAATTAATTTCAAGAAAAACGGAATATCCTTTCGAGTTAAATAATTTCGTAATGAATTATTGTTATAATATAAAAATGTACTTTGATCTTTTTGAGGTAAAAGAAAATTATCGCATTTTGGTGAAATTTTTTTATCGCATTTCTGTAAAAATTTTGGAAATAAATTTTTATTTCTTTTCCAATTCTCGGAACCTGTGGAATTTTTCATTGTAGAGCATTTTGTATGAGAGAAACTAGTTTCAATTTTAGTATCTGAAGCATTTTCAATTTCTTCGGTTGGATCTTTTTTTTTTTTGAGCAAAAATTAAATTCAATTACTTGATTATATTTTCAATTAAATAATTTTTATACCTAAATGTAAACTTAAAATTTTTTGCTTCCTCGTGGAGGAAGCTATGTAGTCCTTTCGTTTATAAACTTTTTAAAAATGGTGAAAACAAATTTTCCTCTATATAGAAACATGTTATATGAGATCCTGATCAATTGTCCGGATGTATGTATGTGTGTGTGTATGTGTGTGTGTATGTGTGTGTGGATAGTTTTTGTGAACACGATATCTTTAACAGGTTTTAATGGATTTGGGTAAAATTTGGTAGGCTTATTTAACACATTAATCTCTCAAAAATGACGAGAGGATTTTTAAAAATACCCCAAAAAAAAAATTTTATCGTCTTTTTTCCAAAAATTTTTTTTTAATTGAAAAAATTTTTAAATCGAAAAATTTAAGGTAATATATAATATAATCGTCTTCTTTATGTCAAGATGAATCGATTGATATATATAAAGTATAGATTTGATTGAAATTTAAAGAATTAATGAAAGTTAAAAAATCAAAAATTCTCATTTTAGCTAAAAAATGATGTGTTTATTTAAATTCATGTTTATATATGAAATAATTTTATTCCCTGCATTGAAACGAATTGGTTGGTATATATAAAGTATAGATTTGATTTAAAATTTGAGAATTAATAAAAATTGAAAAATCGAAAATTCATATTTTAGCTAAAAAATTTTGTGTTTTTTTAAAATTCAAGTTGATGAATAAAATAATTGTATTCCTTGCATTAAAACGAATCGATTCGTATATATAAAGTTTATGTTACACTCAAAATTAATTAAAATTTTCTTTATTTTTCAAAAAATTTAATTAATTTAAAACATTTTTAACTCGAAATTTTTTAAATCAATCAATTGAATTGGACAAATTCATTGCTTCCTTCACGAGGAAGCGAATTTTTTGCTTCACAAAATGAGGAAGCATAATGTTTATGAAATAAACATAAAGGACCCCCTCCTTGTTTAATTTATAATACAATTTATGTAAAATTTATTTGAAAACAAAAAAGGAAAAGAAATTTAGGATGTAAATTTTTTTCAATAAACTACCTTTTTTTGGTGATTTTAATAATTTTCTCGAGTCGAGAATAGTTTTCATTTCAATAACTTCTTTGATTTGTTTAATAGCATAAATTAACATTGATCTATCTTGGTATTTTTCCATCTCGAGTTTATCAATTCGACAATTTTCCTCTCTATTTGTTTTCTTATCTTTTAGTTTTGAAATCCATTCCATCATTTTATTAAAATCCTTTTCTTGTTTTCTGTTACGGTTTTTTAATTTTTCCTCTTCCTTCTGAATCTTTTCATTTGGAATTTTTTTCTCATTTTCCAAATAGTCAAAAGATTCGAATATTTCATTGACCGAGGTTTCTAATTCCTCAATCTAAATATAACTTCAAGAAGAAGGGAATTTGCCAAAAAAAATCGAATGTTTTATAAGAACACAAAACGAAGCTGAAGTACGCAACGTTTATGATAAACAATTTTTAAAAAAATAATTTTTAAAATGAAAAATTCTATAATTTTTTGCTTAAAAAATATTTCTTGTTATTTTTTATTAATCAAAAAATTATAGAATTTTTTATTTTAAAAAATTATTCCTTTAAAAATGTTTATTATAAGTGTTGCGTACTTAAGCTTCGTGAGCACAAATTAAAATAATGTTATTTCAATTATGATAAGAAAAATGTAAATAATATTAATAGGGTAAATGCACTAATTGCGGCGCGATTCCAGTCAAAATACCTTTGAAATAGAAAATTCGACATTTCTATTGTATAAACTCAATTTAAGACACTAAAAGCTTATGTTATTTAGATTTTTAAAAAAAATTTTTAACTTATTTATAAAAATCGATTATTTAAACAAATATGAGAAATTAAAACTGATACCGTAATTTTCTATTGCGGAGTGTTTGTATCAGTTTCGATGATCAAAATTGCGTGTATTTTGAAGATACTTTGCCCGCCGAAATTGGAGCCAATGGAAATCTTACACTGAGAAAAAAAATTTAGTGTTTGCAACAAAATTGTTTGGTTAGGCAATTTTGGTTCTTGGAACCAAATTTTGGTTGACTGAAACAAAGTCGTAGGGTTATCTCAACCAAACATTTGGTTAGGCCAACAAAATTATTTGGTTGAACATTTTTAAATTCCAACCAAAATTTAGTTACGACAACAAAATAATTTGGTTAACACAACAAAATAGTTGAAACCAAATGATCGTTTGTTGTCCTAACCAAAATTTGGTTGCGACAACCAAATAGTTTAATTCGCTCTTAGCTCATAGCTTAAGAGAACAGTTAGTTTAAATCTCTCACAAGGATGGGTAGTCCAGTGGTCAGAGCTCCCGACTTTCAGTTTTAAAACAGAGGTTCGATCCCAGGCGGAGGTGACATTTTTCAAAGTCCATAAATATTTCAATTGGATGAATATAAATTCAATGTTAAATTGATAATAAATAAACAATGAAATAAATAAAGATGATAAAAAGAAAAGAGATAAGGTATAATAAAATTTTTAATTTTACAAAAAAAACTGTTGGTTTCATCAACCAAACATTTTTGTTGACCTAACAAAAAAAATTTGGTTGAGCTAACCAAACATTTTTGTTATGCCAACAAAAAACACTCAACCTAATTTTTTGGTTGACTCAAACAAATAGTTTGGTTGCTTAAATACTAACAAAAATTTTTTGTTGGCCCAACCAAATTTTGGTTGCTCTGACTAAACATTTTTCTCAGTGTAAAAATATTTCAATTGCGGCGCCGAAAAAAAATTGGTCTCAAATAATTAAATTAATAATTGTTTAAATGTGCATCTTTATAAGTAATTGTATCAAAAAAAAGATTAAAATAATTTTTTTTAATCATTTTGCAACAGTTATATTAAATATAATAGTAATAATAGTTATTTTTTATGAACGTGTCGTTACTGATGCACTCGCCGTAATTGGTACACTTACCCTATAGTTAAAATCAGGATACTAATAAAAATAATATATTAATAAAATTAAAAATTATATTCATTTATACCTGTTTTATAGTTTTACTTTGATTTTCCCTGAGTTCAGAAAATTGTTTCAAGTAAATATTGTAAGATTGTTGAATTTCATTAATTTCTTGTCTCTGTTGTTTAAGATTGTTAATCATTAATCGAATATTTGAAAAATCTTCATTTTCCAATTGAGGAAAATTATTTTCTATGGAATATTTTACTCGATGTACGATGTCATCAATCTATAAAAAAATTATATATTTTTTATTTTATTATTAATTAATATTTTTATAATTTCAATTAATTATTTCTTGAAAATTAAGATTTTTTACTTTATTTATTTCTCCACCAATGAGATTCAATGCTTGTTTCACTTTACAACATTTGATATTATCTGTACACTCATTTTTATCGTAAGTTGTAATTTTGAATTCATCATCTTCATTTAACATCTAGAAAAAATGTGTAAAATACAAATTATTATTAAAATAATTTTTTTATTTAATTATATCTACGGTTATAAATATATACCTGTTAAAAATTGGGACAATTGCATTTATTGTAATTAAATATTGAATTTTCCAAGTTTTTCGTTATTGTTAAAGTTTTCTTTGGATGATATTTAAATAATTCTAAATAATTTACTTGTTCTTTGATAATGTCCCAATCATTCATAGTTTGCATTCTATTTAATAAGTTTTCTCTATAAACTGTTTCGTCTAACTGTAATTTTATTTAGCTATAATTAATTACTAATTAAATTAACTAAATAATTTACTTGAAATCTAACTATTTGAAAAGATTTATTAAAACAAATACTGTAATTTTATTCGTTGATTGTAAATCACTTTTATTTGTAATTAAATTTTCCAAAGTTTGTTTTTCAGAAATTTCATTCTGTAATGCTTCAATTTTTACATTTTGAGTTTGTAGTTTTTTGATGATTATTTTTTGAATCTGTTTGCAAAAAAAAAAAAAATGTTCAATACTTTGTGAATATTCCGAAAATAAAACAATAATATAAAAATTCAAATATTGAAAATATATATATATTTTCCAAATTCAAAATTGAAATCTATATTTTTAAAATTATTTTGTGCTTTTAGATTTATAATTTTTTTTATTTTTACTTCAGATATTTCGATTGTTTGCGGAAGAATTATTTCTTCGTTTGCAAATTTTCGTGTGCAAAAATAAAGTCTTTTTGATTTTTCACAACAACCATGCGATCGACGTTTGTTGTAATTTGATTTTTTAATTTTACTAGTACACTTTTTATTTCCTAAAGAACTAAAATTTTGACCTATTGCCCAAAAACTTATACGTTGCAATTGATTTTTTAAATTCGATCTCTATAGAAGATATTTTTTAAATATTTTGAATCGAATTAATGCAAAAATATTTAATTAATACAAAATTTAATCTCAATATTAAAAAAAAAATTAACTTACTTTTTCGGGATTCCAAAAATTAATTTTCACTTTTTTCATTAATGATTACCTTTCTTTTTTTTTTTTTGACAAAAAATAGCTAAAATATGTAATAAGTAAAAAAAATTAAATAATCTTAAATATCAAGTGAAAAAAATTATATTTAAATATCGAGTAATTTTATACAGAAACAATAATTTGCATTATTTACAATTATTATGCCTATGCTCAAAACCTATAAAACAAAACAATGAAATTATCAACAAATTAAAACAGTATCGATTTTCGACAAACGAAGATTATTATTTTTTTTTAAACTTGAAATGCTCGTTACTATATTCTTTGGTAATATTTACAAAATATAATTCACATTTAGCTGTAAAAATAAAATTTTCCCAATTAATATATAATTTTCATCACGTCTGTTCTTCATTAATTTTTGGTAATTGTATTTTCTCATGAATTTCGTCTTTCGTAACAGACTTTTCACATAGAGTTTGCATTTCGTCAATTTTCACAATATTTAAATCTTCGTTAGTTTTATTGTTCCATGATTGTTCTTCAGATGTACCGAAAAGCATAAATATAAACCCACTGACAAGAAGAAGAATTGACGAAATTGAGAAAACAATACGCCAACTGTCAACGGTTTGCTGAAAAATTATCATTTAGGAGTTATGTTTTGTGCACAAAAACTTTTGCCTAAAGAAGGTTCTACAATACAGGTGCAAAAGGCAAGTGAAAGTCCAAGACAACCATGATTGCAAGAAAGATAGATAGTCTAGCAATCTCTCTTGCACTTGTAGTTTTTTTTAGACTTGCAATTGCCATCTGCACTTATTGTAGAACCACCTTAAGGCCAGGTACAACTCGTCAAATGTAAACAAACATGAAAATGTACGTAATTATTGACAAATTTGCGACAGCCTTTTTTTAAATAGAAAATAAAAATTGTTCTTTCTCTATGTGAAAATGGAAAATTCATATATAAAACTACAGCCTGACACTGTATATGACTAATAATATGAATAATATTATTTGAGTATATCTGAGGCACGGACGTTGAGAAACTAGGTGGGAAGGGGTAAAAGACCTAGTCTCTGTCCTCTGGTGGGGGTATAATTTTAGAATTTTACCCTTTCCAAGATGTGACCGTCCAATCGCTCAACTCTTTCTCCCACCTAGGTTCATAACGTCCGTGCCTCAGATATAGGGGAATAGTGTCAGGGTTGGACACTTGGCTTTTTTTATATAAGAACACTAGCGCCACCTGTGTGCGTACGTGACGAATTTTCTAGTAGTGTAACCTAACTTTTTGTGGCATTACATTTTTGGAGAATTAAAAGTAGCGTCTCCTGTGACTTCGGTGCAATTGAAGAGACAAAAAAAGTTTTGTTTGACTTGTGAATAAACCTAAAAAATGTGTAAAAAAAGCAAGAATTCGGCAAGGTAAGCTTATTGAATGTATTGTGGGGTACATAATTTAAGAAGAAAAAAAGTGAAAAATCGAATCGCGACACATGTCTGGTTATGGTTAGCACAATTCGAAAATGATGCTTCTAGTTAGGGTTGGACACCCATATTAATTATGAATTTGACACAATTTATAAATTTTATTTTATTGATATTTCAGTGCAAAATTGTGCCAAAGATATTAGACTTTTTTAAACCCATGATGCTTTACAATTTGTAAACAATAAGTAAAGATAAACATGAAAAAATATAAGAATAAAAAACATTACAAATGTTATTTTACGTTTTTACCAATAATGCGTTTCGATTTTCAAAAAGTGTCCAACCCTGACTGAAAAGTCCAACCCTGACTAGATTTTTTTTTTTTAATGTTTATAACTTTTTTAATTTTGGACCAATCAATTTACGGTCCACAGCAAAAGTGTTCCTCTTTTGTAGATCTTTCCACGCATATACCACGATTGACTGAATTTATCTAAACAAAATATTTATAAACAAAAAAACCAAAACAGTGTCCAACCCTGACAATATTCCCCTACTCAAATGGTTTTTTTTCGTAACCTTGAGAAAATTGTTGTTTCAGTGTAATTTTCATTTTATTATTATAATTATTAATATTATTCATATAATTAGTCAAATATGACGAGTTGCACCTGGCCTTAAAGACCTAAGCAGAATGACTCCGGTTAAAGCCAACACAGAATAGAAACGTAACCGTAAACGCAACCGAAATAATGAGTTAGAGAAGGACAAACAATATGTCTATCCTTCTCTAACTCATTCTTCCGGTTGCTTTTGCGATTACGATTCCGGTTACGTTTCTATTTTGCTCAGGCCTTAACCGGACGTTATTTTGCGTAGGCCTTCATGGGGCATTTACACCTTTGGTAAAAAAAATTTTTTATTTTGCATTTTCCGCAATACACAAACCTGATTGGTTGTTCACAATCTGATTGATAATGGACAACCAATCAGATTTTTGCATTCCGGAAAATCAAAGAAAAATTTTTTTTCTACTAAAGTTGTAAATGCTTCATCATTCACAGTTTCGACTTGTAAATTTACATCTCTCATTATAAAGGTGCTTCTACAATAATTTGCAATCTGTGTACTACACTACTTGCTGTGCATTTTTCTACACATGTTTTTCTTGTGTGTGCTTCAGTTGTCGAAAATTAAATTAATTAATTAACTTAGTATAAAATATTAGTATTAATGGAGAGCAAAATGCAATGTTGTAGAAACACCTTCATTTTTCTATTTTCTACACCTTAAGGTGCTTATATACCTCAAATTTCGATCAGATGAACATTATTTCTGGACCGTGAAAATGCGTGAAAAGTCATTTTCACGGCGGGTATTTTTGAATTGTTTTAAACAAAAAATGTTTTTTTAAGAAATATAATATTAAATAATTGTTTTAATATGTAAGAACACTTTAAAATAGTGATAGAAAAATGATTTGATTAAAAAATATAGCAAATTTTGCTTTAAAACGTTTCTGCTACAAGAAAGTGTAAAATGACGATGTTTGTGAAATGGTTTGTACAGTGTACATGTGTATATGTTTCTTTCAGTTATTCGAAACAATTAGTAGAATTTAAATTTATTTGATAAACATTTCAACTTACCGATTTATTTTCAGCACTCATTATTTATTACAAGTTAAAAAGAAACGACATAACATAAACAAAACTCTGAGAGACACTCACAAGGAAGAAGCACTGTACAAACCGTTTCACAAACATCGTCATTTTACACTTTCTTGTAGCAGAAAACGTTTTAAAGCAAAATTTGCTAAATTTTTTAATCAAATCATCTCTCTATCACTATTTTAAAGTGTTCTTACATATTAAAACAATTATTTAATATTATATTTCTTAAAAAAACATTTTTTGTTTAAAACAATTCAAAAATACCTGCCGTGAAAATGACTTTTCACGCATTTTCACGGTCCAGAAATAATGTTCATCTGATCGAAATTTGAGGTATATAAGCACCTTTACGCATATATAAGTATGTATTCGTCAAAACTTTTGAAAAGATGAAATAAAAAGAAATTACAAATTGGTTCAATGAAATTTGGGACAAAAATGAAAATTTCTAATAATAAATGAATTTCGAAATTTTTAAAAAGTGAGACAAAAATGAATCAGTAAGACAGAAGAACTTACATTGTTGGTAGTCAACAATCCAACGAGTAGAGGCGAAAGAAAACCAGAAGACGCAGCAATTAAATTACAAAATCCAAGAATAACACTGGCATAATTTGAGCTGAGATCAACAAAAACTGCTAAAGTTCCCGAAGACACGGCACCATTAACTGCAGTTCCTGCCATCATGAAAATAATCGCCAAATTCGAATGACAACCACTTGAACCAAGTCCTAATGTTAGAATGCCCTGAAAAATTGTGCACATAAACGTTGCCAATTTTCGAACATCCGTCAGACTTAAACGTTTCGTTTTTAAAAGCCAATCGCTCAAAATTCCAAACATATATGAAAAAAGCATTCTCAATACATGTGGAAGTCCAGATAATACACCAGTCTAAAAAGAATCAATAATATATTATTACGCAATGGTAAGGAATCTATTATAATTATCATACATATGACCCTGGCGGATTATATGATGCGAATGCTCCACGACATTGTCGGAGCATTCGTGGAACACGAGGTTGAGATTGAAATTTTGTCTCAAATATATAAAAAATGATGAAATATATAGTTAAATGATTGAAACAACAAGATCTATGCTTTTATGATGATTAATGTTGAATAATTATAAAAAATTAATGTTTTTATTACTATCAATCTATTACAGTTTATTAGTAACATTTGTAGATAAAATCAAAAGAACCGCGCTTTTTAGAAGGTAGGTGGCAGCACTCTTCTTTTTCCTATCCTTAAATTTTTTCAATAATTTTTTATTAAAAGCAAATCTTTCATTCGTTAAACAGAAATATTTGGTATTTCACATTCATATATGGCTGCTCGATCAGCTGGAAGCCTGGAGGAACAACAAATAATTTTACTAAAGTCCATCTACAGTTGGTAACGTTAAAAACTTCAAAAACTTAACCTCAAAATCACTTGTTTGACAGTTCTTCATTGTTTTTTTCGTTTGTTGTCCCTCCAGGCTTCAACGTCATCAGCCACTGACGTCACAAGGTAAAATGCCTAATTAGTCAAAAAATGTATTATTTTATAAGTCTAAATAAATTCTGTGATTTTTTGAATTCTTCGGCATCCCGGCAAGAAGTCTGGTTGCTACACTTAAAACTATTTTGAAAAAATTTTCGAAAAATTCAATTCGCGAGATAATTGTTCGGGAGAACCGCCAAAGAAGTTAGAAAAAAGTTCTGAATCAAAAATGTATAGCGCACATTTAGATTGGTCCAGCGGATGCTGAGCTACACTCAAAAAAAGTGGGAAAAATTTTCGAAAAATTAAATTTGTGAGATAATCATTCGGGAATACCGACAAAAAAATAGTCAAAAAGTTCCGAACTAAAAATGTATGGCGCACTTTTTGATTGGTCCAGCGGATGCTGAGACACACTCAAATTAATTTCGGAAAAAATTTCGAAAAATTAAATTTGCGAGATAACTGCTCCGGAATACCACCCGTAAAATAGGGAAAAAGTTCTGAACAAAAAATGTATGGCGCACTTTTTGATTGGTACAGCGGATGCTGAGACACACTCAAATTAAGTTCGGAAAAAATTTCGAAAAATTAAATTTGCTAGATAATCGTTCCGGAATACCGACAAAAAAATAGTCAAAAAGTTCCGAACTAAAAATGTATGGCTCACTTTTTGATTTGTCCAGTGGATGCTGAGCTACACTCAAATAAATTTATAAAAAATTTCGAAAAATTAAAATTTCTAGATAATTGCTGAGATACACTCAAATTAAGTTCGGAAAAAATTTCGAAAAATTAAATTTGCTAGATAATCGTTCCGGAATACCACTAATGAAATAGTCGAAAAGTTCCGAACAAAAAATGTATGGCGGACTTTTTGATTGGTCCAGCGGATGCTGAGACACTCAAATTAAGTTCGGAAAAAATTTCGAAAAATTAAATTTGCTAGATAATCGTTCCGGAATAGCGCCAATAAAATAGGGAAAAAGTTTCGAACAAAAAATGTATGGTGCACTTTCAGATTGGTCCAGTGGATGCTGAGCTACAGTCAAATAAATTTATGAAAAAATTTCGAAAAATTAAAATTTCTAGATAATTGTTCGGGAATACCGCCAAAGTCTTTAGCAAAAAGTAGCGAACAAAAAATGTATGGCGCACTTTCTGATTGGTCCAGCGGATGATGAGCTACACTAGAAAACAAATTTGGAAAAATTTTTGAAAAATTAAATTTTCGAGATAATCGTTCGGGAATACCGCCAAAATCTTTAGCAAAAAGTTCCGAACAAAAAATGTATGGCGGACTTTTTGATTGGTCCAGCGGATGCTGAGACACACTCAAATTAAGTTCGGAAAAAATTTCGAAAAATTAAATTTGCTAGATAATCGTTCCGGAATAGCGCCAATAAAATAGGGAAAAAGTTTCGAACAAAAAATGTATGGCGCACTTTTAGATTGGTCCAGCGGATGCTGAGCTACACTCACTAAAACTGGGAAAAAATTTTCGAAAAAAAAAATTTGCCAGATAATGATTCGGGAATAATGCCAAAAAATTGAGCAAAAAGTCTCGAACAAAAAATGTATGGCGCACTTCTTGATTGGTCCAGCGGATGCTGAGCTACACTCACTAAAACTGGTAAAAAATTTTCGAAAAAAAAAATTTGCCAGATAATGACTCGGGAATAATGCCAAAAAATTGAGCAAAAAGTCTCGAACAAAAAATGTATGGCGCACTTTTTGATTGGTCCAGCGGATGCTGAGATACACTCAAATTAAGTTCGGAAAAAATTTCGAAAAATTAAATTTGCAAGATAACTTCTCCGGAATACCACTAATAAAATAGTCAAAAAGTTCCGAACAAAAAATGTATGGCGGACTTTTTGATTGGTCCAGCGGATGCTGAGACACACTCAAATTAAGTTCGGAAAAAATTTCGAAAAATTAAATTTGCTAGATAATCGTTCCGGAATAGCGCCAATAAAATAGGGAAAAAGTTTCGAACAAAAAATGTATGGCGCACTTTTAGATTGGTCCAGCGGATGCTGAGCTACACTCACTAAAACTGGGAAAAAATTTTCGAAAAAAAAAATTTGCCAGATAATGACCCGGGAATAATGCCAAAAAATTGAGCAAAAAGTCTCGAACAAAAAATGTATGGCGCACTTTTTGATTGGTCCAGCGGATGCTGAGATACACTCAAATTAAGTTCGGAAAAAATTTCGAAAAATTAAATTTGCTAGATAATCGTTCCGGAATAGCGCCAATAAAATAGGGAAAAAGTTTCGAACAAAAAATGTATGGCGCACTTTTAGATTGGTCCAGCGGATGCTGAGCTACACTCAAAAAAAGTGGGAAAAATTTTCGAAAAATTAAATTTGTGAGATAATCATTCGGGAATACCGACAAAAAAATAGTCAAAAAGTTCCGAACTAAAAATGTATGGCGCACTTTTTGATTGGTCCAGCGGATGCTGAACTATACTCACTAAAACTGGGAAAAAATTTTCGAAAAAAAAAATTTGCCAGATAATGATTCGGGAATAATGCCAAAAAATTGAGCAAAAAGTCTCGAACAAAAAATGTATGGCGCACTTTTTGATTGGTCCAGCGGATGCTGAGCTACACTCAAAAAAAGTGGGAAAAATTTTCGAAAAATTAAATTTGTGAGATAATCATTCGGGAATACCGACAAAAAAATAGTCAAAAAGTTCCGAACTAAAAATGTATGGCGCACTTTTTGATTGGTCCAGCGGATGCTGAGACACACTCAAATTAATTTCGGAAAAAATTTCGAAAAATTAAATTTGCGAGATAACTGCTCCGGAATACCACCCGTAAAATAGGGAAAAAGTCTCGAACAAAAAATGTATGGCGCACTTTTTGATTGGTCCAGCGGATGCTGAGATACACTCAAATTAAGTTCGGAAAAAATTTCGAAAAATTAAATTTGCAAGATAACTTCTCCGGAATACCACTAATAAAATAGTCAAAAAGTTCCGAACAAAAAATGTATGGCGGACTTTTTGATTGGTCCAGCGGATGCTGAGACACACTCAAATTAAGTTCGGAAAAAATTTCGAAAAATTAAATTTGTGAGATAATCATTCGGGAATACCGACAAAAAAATAGTCAAAAAGTTCCGAACTAAAAATGTATGGCGCACTTTTTGATTGGTCCAGCGGATGCTGAACTATACTCACTAAAACTGGGAAAAAATTTTCGAAAAAAAAAATTTGCCAGATAATGACCCGGGAATAATGCCAAAAAATTGAGCAAAAAGTCTCGAACAAAAAATGTATGGCGCACTTTTTGATTGGTCCAGCGGATGCTGAGATACACTCAAAAAAAGTGGGAAAAATTTTCGAAAAATTAAATTTGTGAGATAATCATTCGGGAATACCGACAAAAAAATAGTCAAAAAGTTCCGAACTAAAAATGTATGGCGCACTTTTTGATTGGTCCAGCGGATGCTGAGACACACTCAAATTAATTTCGGAAAAAATTTCGAAAAATTAAATTTGCGAGATAACTGCTCCGGAATACCACCCGTAAAATAGGGAAAAAGTCTCGAACAAAAAATGTATGGCGCACTTTTTGATTGGTCCAGCGGATGCTGAGATACACTCAAATTAAGTTCGGAAAAAATTTCGAAAAATTAAATTTGCAAGATAACTTCTCCGGAATACCACTAATAAAATAGTCAAAAAGTTCCGAACAAAAAATGTATGGCGGACTTTTTGATTGGTCCAGCGGATGCTGAGACACACTCAAATTAAGTTCGGAAAAAATTTCGAAAAATTAAATTTGCTAGATAATCGTTCCGGAATAGCGCCAATAAAATAGGGAAAAAGTTTCGAACAAAAAATGTATGGCGCACTTTTAGATTGGTCCAGCGGATGCTGAGCTACACTCACTAAAACTGGGAAAAAATTTTCGAAAAAAAAAATTTGCCAGATAATGACCCGGGAATAATGCCAAAAAATTGAGCAAAAAGTCTCGAACAAAAAATGTATGGCGCACTTTTTGATTGGTCCAGCGGATGCTGAGATACACTCAAATTAAGTTCGGAAAAAATTTCGAAAAATTAAATTTGCTAGATAATCGTTCCGGAATAGCGCCAATAAAATAGGGAAAAAGTTTCGAACAAAAAATGTATGGCGCACTTTTAGATTGGTCCAGCGGATGCTGAGCTACACTCAAAAAAAGTGGGAAAAATTTTCGAAAAATTAAATTTGTGAGATAATCATTCGGGAATACCGACAAAAAAATAGTCAAAAAGTTCCGAACTAAAAATGTATGGCGCACTTTTTGATTGGTCCAGCGGATGCTGAACTATACTCACTAAAACTGGGAAAAAATTTTCGAAAAAAAAAATTTGCCAGATAATGATTCGGGAATAATGCCAAAA